CTATTTTTTTAAAAAGTTTAATATGCAAGATATTTTTAGCCTGCCTTTCTGTGAGGAAGTCAAACTTTAGACAGCTCAGTTGCTCGCAAACTTATTCACTGCACGGGATGAAGCAAACTTTGTAGGCTAGGTTCATGTGTGTGTACATGAAGCCATCAAAGCCAATAGGGCTGTGCACCCCCACACTAAAGCAAACTACAGCTTCAGTATAGCATTTGCATGTTTTATGGCACAAACCAGTGGGGTGCCCACACTTGCTACATGTATGGTTACGGTGAAGGAAGCACTTACAGTGATTTCTGGCAAGGTGGCCTATAACATTGCCAAACAAGAAACAAGAAAAAGTTAAAGAATGCAAGAGCCGCCCTGCTGGCTCATCAGGTCCAGCATCCAGTTTCTCACAGATGCCACACAGATGCCTCTGGGGAACACTCACACAGATCATGAGCACTTCTCCTGCAGTTGTTCTCCAGCTATTTATATGCAGAAGCATGGTGTCTCTGATCCTCAAGGTAGAATATAGCTATCATGGTTAGCTGCCATTTGATAGGTCCACATGTAATGACGACCCACACTGCAAATGAGCTCCACAGGATGGGTTCTTCAGTGCACCCAGCAGATGACTGGGCTCATCATGGGTTGTCTCCCACTCCTTTCCTTTTGCTTGGCCTGCAAATATCCCAAAGGATTCTATGGCAGGATCAATTTGCCTGCTCCCTCCCCACCATGGCTGTAAGCCGCCCCGAGGCTTCGGCGAATGGGGCGACATAAAAATGTTTTAATAAAATAAAAAATAAAATAAAATGGCTGTAATTACGCCTTGCTTGACTTGCCAGGGATTCCCCCCTCCCCTTTATCTTTTTGTTTTGGAAGTTCACAGTCACTAGATTGACAGCCAACCCTTGCAAGCCCTGTTTTGACAGCCTCTGACAGCTCTTTCAAAATGCACAGGTGGCATGTTAAAGGGGCTTTTTCCATGTCTGTAAATGAATTTAATGTTTGTTTGACCCTGAGGTGACTTGGCATTCATGGATACCCTGTCAATGGGTGCAAGGCCTAGTGCAGCAGGATCAACTAGTAACAGCACAATACAGCACAATAGGAAAACAGACCCAGTTTCCTCAGTGCAATAGTGTTCTTGGTTCCTTAGGAACAACAGGCGAAGGATTCCATTGAGGTCTCGTGTGTTGGGTTTCTTTGCAGCTGCCTTGTTTCCTTAAAGGAGCACAGCTAGGTTATGTTGAGAACTAGTCTGCCCCCTCTTCTTTACAGATTAGGATAAAAGGCTTTCTAAATAAGGTATATTATTATGTTACAATTGGCCAACCAGGCTGACTTTGTGATTCAGAAAAGGAATATTGCAGAAGTTTGTAACAAAAGACAAAGAACAAAGGGGTAAAGCTAGAATACTGGCTGTAAAGAAAAAGTGGCTTAATGATATGAAGTTGATTCCAGACTGAATACTTCTCCCTCCCTTGACTCCACCTTCAAGCTGTTTATGGGGAACATCTGATGCTACTCAACTGGTTTGGCCTTTAAACTGACGCCATGCAATTGGACAAATGATATTGAATTTCCCCAGATCCAATATAGCGTGCTAAGAGGAATTTCCCACTGAATGCGATGTTGCCTGCTTCTCACTGGCCACTTTTCTCTGGGTCAGTTGGCCTTGGCATTCCAGCTAAGAATTCCAATCCAACCTCTTCTTCCAGTTCTGATTTGGGATCTGAGGCAACAACCTTTGAAGGTATCCTAGAAGAAGCAGGCGGAATCAGTTCAGGTTACAGCTCTTGCCCAGTGGACTGCACTCAACCAGGTTATTCGGTCAGTGTTGGTGTAGCCAGGGAAGTGGTGGACCCCTTGGTGAGCCTCCTCTAACCGCCAGAGAACACTGTCCCAGTTTTGGTGAAAACAGGGTGAAAGACGTACTGGTGATGCAGGGAAATGTACAGAATAGGGAAAACTGACAGAATGGCCAGTTCCAGAGCACAAAACTGTAAGGTTAAAGTGGGAATTCAGTAACAAATGACAAATAAAATAGCTAGCACAGTCCTTGGTTCTTTGGAGAGCTTCATTTCCCCCAGAGAAGTTCTCCCAGCGCCTGTGCCATGTCTTCTCATTGCTTCAGGGAAACCCACACACTAGTAGCACCTGCACTGGGGGAGAGACCTTGATACAATCTCCCCTTGTGTCTGCCTCAAGTTCCCCTACTTCCCAGAGACCTGTAATGAGACGGGAAGGCCCCCATCTTCCTTTCACAAGAGATAATATCTCCATCAGCCCTTTCTCCCCTTGCCTTGGTGGAGATTCCAAAGGAATATTTTATTTAGTTTTATTTAAAATATTTATATGCCGTCCTATTGCAAAAAGCCTCAGGACGGCTTACAACGTAAAATATAACATAAATAAATTCCCAACCCACACTGGCTGCAGTTAAAAACATAGAAAAGACAATATTAAAACTTATTAAAATATTGCTGGAATAAAAAGGTCCTAACCTGGCGCCGAAAAACAAATAACAACAGCACCAGGCTTATTTGCCTGGTTACTGTCTGGTGGAGATGGGATTTACACTTCCTTCACAGCAAAATCCTCCTTTGGGGAAGAAATTTGGCTGCCCTAAAGGTACTTTCACCTTTCCACTCGTTTCTGAGAATCTAGATACTTAGAAACATTGAAATGTGTATGCCATGCCCTTTCCAAAGGAACTGGTTGGGGTTTTTTTAAACAGGGTTCCCCGTCTTTTTTTTTCCCCATAGGACCATATGCATTCATGTTTGCATAAATTTCACCATCCCCTCTTTATGGATTCAGATCAGTTGCACCTTTGGTTTGGCTAGACAGCTCACCTTTCTGACAACTGTCAAACCGAAACAAAGGAGTGAGGAGAGAAACTACTGGGGAGCTTCCCTGGGTCAATGTCCAGGACTCTTAGACAGAGTTCAGATGAGGTTGCCCAGTTTTGAGCCTCCATATCTGAACAGGCATGCACTTGTGAAAGACACCCTCAAAATATTTGTTAAAATGTGCAAAAGTATTTGCACACATTAGCGGATCCAAAGCAGTGTTTAAAAAATGGTTTGCAGCCATGAGCAGCTTGTCTATGGTGCCACTTGAGCACTCTGAAGGGGCTGTTGGTAGGGATTGTGAAAACCAGTTGTCAAAACAGAGACAATAACATTGGTGAGGGGAGCATCTCTCCCCCAGCAGTTAGTCTCAGCAGTGTTTTTTTGCCAAACGTCTTTATTTTACATGCAAGTCTCTGAGCATTCACAAAACGAAATGTTGAACCCTCTGACGTTCTTCACCCAAAGCTTTCCTTATGAACCCTTCTGCACCTGTCCCTGGTGGGAGGCGCACTGTGGAACTGGGCACACCTGCATTCCTCTCTCAGAGACCCCATTTGGGCCACCATATGACTGTGACGATGGACTATTGGGTCCATTTCCTCAGGAGGTGGGAGTCCAACAGACTCCCCATCCCTAAGTCTCCTCCCTCGTGAAGTTGTAGTTCTTCCCTGTTCCCCAGGTGGGTTGAGTGTCCCCTCGGACTGTGCTTGAACTAACCTCCCTCATAACAGGCACACAGGTACCCAGGGCTGTGGGCTGCAGCTGGGACAGGGACTGCCTCAATACTCCCGCCAGAATAGGCAGCCTCTCCTGCATACATCGCATTCTCGGATTCTGAACTGTCAGTCCAGAAAATGGGTGGCCTCTTGTGTGCATGCCTGAGGTCTGCCAGAACGTGTGTGCACAACAGGGTGGGGTGGATAAAGGATTTAAGACCTAGGGTGAGAGAATAGGTAACGATTACTGACTGTTTGTGAAATTATTTGAACTTGATACTGTATGTAATATTTGTGCAAGATGCCTAGGCATCCTTTTTCTTTATTCTACTTTTTAATTAAAGTAATAAAAATCCAGGCTCATAATTATGGGGGAGAGCATCAGCCAAAGCCAATCATTCCACACTGCCTCTTGGGCACTTGTGTGGGGTGACTGGCAGGAGAACCAAGTTTTTTGCCCCTCTTGCCAAGCAGGCCCCTGGATGGCTCCTGGTATGCACGATGCGGTTGGTTGCCCAGGTCGAGAAAAGACAATCTGTGGTGGGAACGACAACCCACATGTTGTTGACCTCGAAGAAGTTACCCTGAAGGGGATGAACGGGGTTACATGACATGACACACCAAACTGCTGTGGCTTGTCACCCATTATGGGTTTTGCCATGTCATATGAAGGAGGTTTCCCATATCCTGACATTTTTAACACATTCTGTAAGGCTAGTGAGATAGAACTTACCCGTGCCAAAACCACCCTATTTCCTTCAGCAAGACATAGTCTTCTATATGTATGATTTAAAAATAATAATTCTCCACCAATTTCCTTGAAACAGTCATCAAGCTAACTATCATGTGATTTCCTCTGGAGCTGTTTTAAAAATTGGTGTTACATTAACTGCTTTTCAGTCCTCCGATGCAAAGGCCAACCTTAAAGTTATTTTTGTTAGGTTAGCAATCACACATTTACTTTGTTTATAAACAGGCTGGTGGATACCAGCCAAACCCAGTTCATTTGTCCATAAGGCCTTCCATTACTACCCTTTGGCACAATTCTTGACATTGTTCATAAAATAAGTTTTCAAGCACAGATCTCTCTCCTGTACCTTCCACAGCATACAACTTTGCAAATCACCCTGATTAAAATGGAAATAAAATCTGGGGAAGAACTTGTGTAATGCCAACAACTTTTTGTTTCTTATAGGTAATATGATAAAACCAGGAGAATGGTTTTTTAATCTTACAAAGGCTGAAGACAAGGTTATATAAAAAGAGACACAAACCAAAATAACATCTCAGTTATAAAGTGGATAGTACAAGACATATAATAATAGATGTCTTTTGCGCCTGTTTCTCTCCCTTCACTTTTCTTTTCAGCTTGCCCATTTGGTCCTATACCAACTGAGGTTAAGACACATTTGTGAGTAACCAAATTCATTTCAAGTGAGTAAGCAGAAATGCATTAAATTCTTTATTTAAGAACATTACAAAAGAAAATTAGCTTGGTGCTTACATAAGCATAATTTGGAAGCGTCTTAGTGATTAAATTAACAGCAGTGAAAATGAATATATTATGAATTTAAGATTAACTGAAAAAATCACAGGACTGCAAAGCTGTGATTGCAAATGTCCGTGAAAATGACAGCAAACTGAGCTCTTAGCATGGTTTGTTTGGATACTATGATGGCTCTACAACTTCCTCCTCCACTGTATTTGCATTTGAAAGCTAAACTAAAATTTTTGATCTCTCCTTGACTTCCTCCTGCTCACTACTTGAAAGTAAAAAGCTAAATTAAGCATTACTCTAGCCATGTGATGGATTAAACTTGGTGTCTAAATGCAGAAGCCAATTTAATAAAATCAAAGTCTAAAAGTAAAAATTAAAGGTGCAATCCTATGACCCCCCACCAAACTCCTACACTTACATGAATTTGGTGTGTGGCAGTGGGTGCGGCTACAGCACCATTTCATTCTACTTCTATGGTGACCATAACCCGAGGGTTTCTGACTTTGGAGAGGCAGTCAGAGCCACATCAGCTGCAAAGATGGCTGAGCAGGGGCTTGACCTTTGGAGTCCCAGCACTGAGGCCTCAGGACATTTGGAGCTCGATTAAGAACAAGTCTCTCTCTGCTCCACCCTGGTGATGTCAGAAGGCAATAGGATTGAACTTTAAATACTTTCTGGGACCTAAGGGGTTAATTTTACATGGCTCCATTATAAATGTTATTCTAAGACCTTACATCTAAATTCTATTTTCCGCTTTCTCCCAGCCATTGTTGATGTCATTGCTATGGCTTCTAGACCAATAGCCATTGAGTAAGGATGTCAGCTTAGTGGGTACATCGCATGAGCACAGAATCAAAATCAGCATGTGTCAAAGAGAATTTTTTTCTATCCTGTAACATTAGTCGCCCAGCCTTACATCAGAACACAGCTTGCTGTGACCTTGGAATACCAAAAGCAGGCATATGGCCATACTGTACAAAGCTATTTCTTTCAGTGCCAACTATCAATTAATTGATGCAGCCTTCAATTCAGGACTGCTAGACACTTTCATCTTAGCCGTTACAGAATCACACATCTGGTTTCTTTTTGCTCATGGGTCAAAAATTCTCTCAAAGAGGAACCTGGGATCTTTTAGGGGATCTTCTTGTAGGGTTTTCCTGCAACCCTCAATCAGATTATACCAAAACCAAATTCAAAACCTCAAATCTCAAGACCAAGCCAATGTTTTGACATTGGAGATGGTCTGAAGCAGCATGAAGTCACTCCTTCATTCTCCAGATAATAATATAATTGAATTCTTTCCATGCAGGATTAATGCGTCACTGATGCGTAAAGTTCTCTATCATACATATTAAGCAATTTACAATTATTGCCTTCACATTTTCTAATGTGTCTATTATGGTATTATATTAAATGGTGCGAGGGAAAGAAACCCTAAAGAATGAGGGCAAGGCAGTGAGGGGGCAGCAGTGTTCTTGAGCAGGAGGCAGTTCCAACAATTTCACTTCATATCCCTGCACTTTTGGCCTCAAAGCTATATCTCTTTTTTAACAAAAGCATCTGGCTTTTTGAACGTCCTTTCAACAAGTATAAGTAAGTCCATCAGCTTCAGTAACATACTACTTTTGGTACTAGGGCTGCTTTTGGTCCACAGTAGACAGGAGACTCTGTCGTCATAACCAGAATAAAACACGACGTCCTGAGTTAGTTAACTTTTTCTCTTGTTTTTGCAGGAATAGTCTTCCTCTCTTACCAAAACTATTTTCTCCCAATCTGGAAGAAAAGGAAAGACATTTACAATTATAGCAGGAGATATAAATGAGTTCCTGGAGCTAAAACTGCAACTGTGATGGATGGGCTGCCAGTCTTTCTATCCTTTCTGGCAGTAAGCAGCACAGAGAGGAAGGATCATAGGACCAGCTCGAGCTAATAAATTGAAGTGCATTGCTTCCAAAACAGGAAATGTTGGGGTAAGCGTGTGTCTTTTAGGCCTAAGGAGTTTGTCTGCTTTAGGTAATCTCCAAAAGCATCTTTATGTAGGGAAGAACATGCCACATGGAGGTAAATCATTTAAGAAAACTTCGTGTGTATTTTGCAGCAAAATGTACTGTTGTTCATTCCATAAAATGATCCACATTGCAGTTGAATGATGTTTCTTACACAGAAGAGACTTCCATGTTAGAAATGATTCAATGAAACCGCCTTTAGAAAATTAAAATTGGAGGGTGGACCCTTGAAGAGATTCTGTACAAACTCATTTCTCAGCGTAGACACTCCACAAGAAGCTGTACAGATCACAAACAGAAAATCCCACTTTCCCTTTCCCTTTCACTGAGTATCTGTTTGGAACATTTTATAAAAGTATAAAGCAGTGATGGCAAACCTTTGAGAGACCGAGGGCCCAAAAGCAACCCAAAACCCACTTATTCATCGCAAAGTTCCAACACTGCAATAAAACCTGAAAACTGAGGTTTTAGTTTAGAAAAAACAACTCACAGCCAGTCCAAGCAAATATATACATATCCTTGGCAGTGCACTGACCAGTCATGCAAAAGCTCGGATGAGTCACGGGTAATGAGCCGTGCCTTATGACATCATTGCCTGGCGCCACTACTCTTGTTCGAGCATGCACATGGCCCCTATGTGCACTGCTATCTGATGCTCGGCTGCTGGGGTGATGCTGAGGTGACTTGGCTCGCGTGCCAACAGAGAGGGCTCTGCATGCCCACTGTGGCATGTATGCCATAGGTTCGCCATCACTGGTATAAAGTATATACATACTCGTACCTTGCCATCACTTAATGGTGCTCATGGACATAAATAGCTTGGTCTTATATAAAAAATAGGGAAATCCCAATTCCATACTGTTCTCAGGTGTGGCTCCTTCGTATTATGCTCTATTCTCAGCTGATGTGGGTATATTTTGCCATTTTAAACCAGAAATTTAAGATGTTAAGATATAAAAAGTATGAATCTTTGCAGATTATCAATAGGCTTTCTGTTCTTCTTTGTTTTCACATTATAGGGTGGTGCAACAGCTTGTGTGAACAGTTTCCTTCCCCGTGTCTTGGAGCTTAACCTATGTTTATGTAAAATGATACCAGTATCTTAGTAGTACTTTTTCCTACATGTCCCTCACCTTCAGTGGAGTGGTAGAGATGAAGTCTAGTGGAAAAAAGGTACAAATCATTAAGCTACAAATCACTGGTTCAAATTCATCTTAGTCACAACATCCTTGAGTGACTTTAGGCAAACCAATGTCTCTCAGCTTCTGCCATGCAAACCTAATAACATAAGAAATATGGGGATAATATCTGCCTACTTTTCAGGGCCTCTGTATTTCAGGTGAGGAGTTGAAGTTTCAGGGCATTTCTGGCTAATATGAGATAGGAAGACACTGACATTTGTGGCATAAACATTAGTCTCTTTGCCACCTGTAAAACAGCAGAGAATTTTGATGAACTGGAGTTAATGTTTTGCTTTAACATTTGTTTATGTGTTTAAATAGGCTTGATTTTAAAAGCTGAGAGCACAGCTTGTTTGAGGCAGCAGTGCGCTAGAAGGATGGAGAAAGAGGATATGCAGGCTGCACAGCTGTAACCGTAGTTCTTCAAGCGGTCATCTGTGCGTTCACATATATGGGTGCTGTGCCCACGCGGTTCAGGAAGATTTCTCTAGCTTGGGCTAGAACTTTCCACAGAGCCTGCCCCACTCCCCTGTATGAAAGGTGGGCTCCTGCTACTAGTCAGTTCGCTTTCAGTCGCTGTCTGCCAGTGCATTGGGATCTCTAGCATTCATTGCTTTTTCTCCTCACAAACTCAATTGCCTTTTTCAGAACTTTCCTTAAACTTTTCTATTCCTCCCTCTAATTTCCTTTAAAACTTCTGATTACCACAATTCCTCTTTTCCCTCAAGAATCCCTTCTTACCCCCATCCTTCCTCACAACTGTCACTCCCTATAAAAATAATTTAAAAAGCCCTCTATTGTCAAATTTCTTGTCTACTATATCTATTCTTATTCCTTTTCTCCTGATATTGCTCAGCAAACTGGCCTTCAGAACGTGCGCTGGCTGCGGAGTCAAAAGGCCCTCTGATGGGCACTCCCTCTGTCTGTTTTGCCCTGGTGAGGAACAGTATGGGCAAGTGCCAACAGTGCCAGGCGTTCACTAAACAGGCACACAGAAACAGAGGATCTGCCCATGTGCCAGGGCTTGAAGTGTTCTGGAAATGCACAGTCACCTCACACTTGACTCAACTTCTGCTTTCTAAGTGTTCCGACTCACCTATAGCTTAGATGTTATAGATGACGCTTAGGCAGAGACTGCCACAATCACTCAGTGAGCTTCATGGCTGAGTGAGGACAACAAACCAGATCTCCTGAGTCTTCATCCACTGCTTTAACCACCATGCCACACCAGTCCTCTAGAAGGACAGAAATGGCAAGGAAGCCATTTTGGCTAATTAAGGAAAAACTTCCTCTGGTAAGAGGCATACAGCACTGGAGCAGCCTGCCTTGGAAGCTGGAGACAGTCTTCCCTTTGCTGGGATATTTGAGCAGGATGGGATGGTTCCCTGCCTTAATTGCACCCTGCCTTGTAGACTCACTATCGAGCAGGACTAGGTGAACTCCCAAGATCCCCTCCGACAATTCTATGAAAAATAGAACTTCTGTATGTAAAACAACTTCTGTCAACACTTGTAAGGTCAGATTTGCTCTGAAAAACCAGCCTCTAAGCATTGGCCATTTTGCTTACTTCTTGCAAAAGATCAAAGGACTTCACCCACTCAGCCACTTGTCCCAGCATTCTTAGGAATAGAGGGATGCCATCCCTCCCCAGACTCTCTCCTGCCCTTATCAACACTCACTGTATGAAAGACAGGCTGGTGCAAGTCTCTGTGAGATGCCGGATGAAGGGCAGTGATGCCTCTGTGAAGGAATTATCCTGAAGATGGAGAGACTTCAGTGTCTGGCTGGTGCTCAGGGTGGTACAAAGTTCCTGGGCACACGCATCTGTGAGGTAATTTTCAGCAAGGCTGCCAATGGGAAACAAGACAGCATAAGCACAGGGAGATCACTGACTGTTTTGAAGCACTATTACCTTCCTTCAATGCTTTGCTGAGCACAGAATGAAAATGGCTGTATAGATGGAAGTGAACAACTATAGCTACTCCCACCCTGACCAGTTGCACCTTCCTTCCCCTTGGCTGATATCAGAGACAGAGGGAGCCCAGTGGCTTGTTCTGTGGTCCAGTGCATGACCTAACACTGGCAACTTAGAGGGGTTTGCCAGCTATTTCCAAGAAGACAAACTGAGACCAGCCCAAGCCCTCCTGTGTGCTGAAGTGGCTATTATGTGGGCTTGGTACCGCACCCACGCATCTCTGTCAAAAACACCATGCAACTGATGGTCTTCCCAAAGCGTAGCAGCCACCGCAAGAGACCAGCCATCGTCACTGCCAGGGGTGGGTCAAGGGCGATGTTTGATACTTAATGATGGCTAGGGACTGCACGCTGAAGAGGTGAGGCCAGAGCAAAGCGGGGTGGGGGGGATTTACCTTTGTTTTTTGCCACAATCCTGAACCCCCACCCTGCTGTGGGAGCTTCTGCTGGGGCGGCATTTCTGGCAGAGTGGGCCCCACCCTCCCAATGCAGGAAACTTTTCTCAATTTGTTGCTTTGGTGCTGAGGGCGATGGGAAAAAGGGAGGAACCACCCTCTCCTGGCCGCTGCTTTCCCCTTCATCACAGCATGCTCCCTTTGCTCGCCTGCACCTGCCACAGTCCCCTGTAAGACGACATGACAGCATAGCCTAGTGCCCTCCAGTTGTTTGGGGCCCCAGCCAGCTTGACCAGTGGACAAGAATGGGTGGGGGCTATAAGCTGGGAGTTGCAAATCCCAGACAGTGAGTCTGGGATTTAAGCCAGTGATCCTAAGCAGGAAGCTCGGAGCGACAGCACAAAGAATGGCAAGGCTCCTCATTCCTGTGTGTATATATGAAAACTCCTGAATATACCTAGGAAGACAGAGCTCCGATTATGAAAGCTCCCTTCCCTCCCTCCCCTGAGGGGTGGCCCTTGGGCTGTCATCAAGGCCTGTGGAGGAGGTCAGGTGCCACTGAGGCTGCCTGGGAACTGTCCTTGGCCCTGCCCATCCTGTTTCAAGCCCCATCTCTGCCTTAGCTAACTGCTCGTGAGCATCCCGCTCTTGACACAGCCGCAGCAAGTTGTTTCTGCTACCAACAACTTCTGTAAGTTTCCCCCTTACTGCCAACTTAGCCTTTACAGTTACAGCCAGGATCTTGGCCCAACACTAGAACCATTTATTAATGCTGCTAGATTGTGCCTGGCAAAATGCTGACAGGCTGATCTCCCACCTTTCCCTCTTCCGGAGGCTACCCCAGCCCCTCTGTGCATGTCCAGGGCTGCCTGGAGGGCTTTGCAATGAGCTGGTTCAGCACAGCCTCTACCCTGCCACCGGTCTGGTCTGAGTAGAAGCGGAACTGATGAAGCTGGAACCTCACCAGCTTCTCTGAAGCCTGGCTGGATGTGGCCTTCCTCCCTTTCACCAGGCTGCCCACAGTGATGTTTCTGCTGGCGCACCTCTGATCAAGGCCACATGTACAAGAGCATCTCGTTACCCAACGATCTGAACACCAAGACTGCAAAGACAGCACATGCACCCAACATTTAATATGTGTCTCTGCTCCCTTATTACTCACCTCAGAGTCGTCACGTTACAACCCAGTTCCTTGAAAATGGTGCAGAGAACGAGCACTCCTGAGTTTCCTAGTTTGTTACTTCCCAATCTGCAGTCGTGGTGAAGACAAAAGAAAAGAAATTCAGTCTCTGAACTGGTTCCTTCAAAATCAGAGAAGAATATAGGAACGTACAATCTGTGTGACTGGGATCATGACACCCAATGAAAAAGTGTAAGTTTCTAGGCAGGACAGATGAGGTTATGCTTGAAAACAAGCAGTCATTAATTGCTAGGGCTCAAGTATCAGGAAGTGGCTCTTTAAGAGTCACTATTTCCCATCTTTCTTTCAGAGGTAACACCAGCCCCCTTTTTGGCTCCTGTGTGCCAATGCCTGCCTAGCAAACTTTACAACAAACTGATGCAGCACAATCACCTTTTCTCCTCTGTCCTTTGCTGTTTCCCTCCATCCATGTTTGCCTTCTGTGGAGGTGCAGGTCCTTCTACCATGCATTTCAGATCTTGACCAAATGCAGCTGGGGCTTTAAACCTTTAGGGCACAGATCTTCCTCTTTGTCTGCACCCATCTACACAACCCATTTCTATCAAGCAGCAGATCTTGTCCTGAAGATCAGAGGGTGTTTCTCTCCATTTGGAGAGGCTAGCCTAGGAAGCCTTTAGAGAATGCACTTGGGCACCTGCTTGCTAGAATTTTAATGCACTTGAATTCCACACTGTGTATACTCAGGAGGGCGTTTATTTTGCTTGTGGCTATTTTGGTCCTGGTGTGCTATTGTAACAGGGTTTTTTAAGGCAATAATAAATGCTGAAGTATATAAATTAAATATCCTATGCCAAGATTAAAGGTGAAATCCAGACCATTCTACTGGGCCTCCTCCCCCAGCAAATATTAGCCAGGGAGCCAAGTATTGTGCATTCAGGAGCATTTTACGAGTACATCTGTAACCCACGAGTTAGTAAGACAGGTTAGTAAGTCCTTCTGCTCTTCCTATCTTAACTGCATACACTGAATACAATTTCAGAAAATGTTAACAGTCAAATATATCACCATAAACATGAAGCCTGAATCTTTCTTCTTCTGATCCATGAAATGCAAATATGCAACTGGACAGGAAATTATGGTTTTCAGTACCAAAGCCAAATACAAGCTAAGTCACCCCATTTGGTAGGTTTGTTCTGACTTGGGAGAACGTGACTCATCTTGGCTTACTGGATAGCATGTCCTGTGCTATCACTGCTTTTTCCTAATCTGCTCCACCAAAAAGCAAAGGACGAGTTTGCTCTCAATTCAGGGAATTTTGGGAAGTATCAGATGCATTCCTTAAACTTACTGGATCACCTTGAAGCACAAAGTTCTGTGCTGAACAGCCCAAGATCTAAAAAGCCTTTATCATTTTTAAAAAAGGAAATCTATTTCTTACTGTTTTATCACCCCCAAATTCTGCAGATATTCCATGGACGAAATGCATATAATAGATCAGCTTTCATGCACTTGTGGGAATTTCTGTTCAGTGAGGTCTGTTTCACATTTTATTTAAAGACACACCACAGATCAGCTCATGTGAACACAGCACATACCAGAATGTTGTGAAGCACCTGCCCACATCTCTTCCACCAAGAGCTCTGCAGATCAAACACAGGCTCCTCTAATCGGAGGACACTAGGCATGGTTCTAATTGTGAAATTCCCAAAAGAGCCAACTATCCTAGAAATGGCCAATCCGGTGTCACTGGCTGATCTGCTGTCTTCTTTTAGCCTCGTCCTTAGTGAGAGGGGCCACCCTTTCCTCCCTCTGCACCAACATGCTCCTAGTCTTCAGTCAATTTGCCTGCTGCCTGTCAACCTTCAGGACTGAGCACAAGGCAAGGCTGCAGGGGAGCTGAGTGGGCCCAGATGCTGCGGCTCAGAAGGACAGCCAGAGCTAAGGCTGCGGTTCTTATAGTTCAGGGGTCTGGGGACAAGTACAAAAGGTGCTGAGCCATCTGCAGGAAGCAAAAACAAAGGCAAAGGTATAAGCCAAGCATGCAGAGAGTCAGTCTAGTGGCCAGTGTCGCTGCACAAGTTAATTCATCTCTCGGTCCATGTCAGTTTCATGTGTGTTGCTTGTTCCATTGTACTTCTGCATCAACTGCGATTATTTGAGGTGGGGGTAGTGGGAGGCTTGTATGCATCTTGTAGACATGTTAGAGTAAAACATGCAGTGCAGTATAATGGACTATGGACCAGCCACTGACCAACCAAGCCTACCTCACAGGGTTGTTGTAAGGATAAATGGAGAGTAGGACTACTTTCAGGGTCCAGGGCCGGGACACGGGCAGCCAGGGACAAGACAGGGGCACCAAGACCTGGGCAACAGAAAGTGAAGCGAGGCAGTCCAAAGTCCAAAAGCAAGGTTTAATAGCAAGTCCAAGTCTTAGTCAGGGTAGAAGCTGAGGTCAGGCATCAAAAGTACACACCAAGGCAGGACAAGGAAGAGGCCATGAACAAGCCAAGGGTTGACAACCAGGAAACAAGCAGAGGTTCAGGTGCCTTGAGGCAGGATATGTGGCAAGAGTCCAGCAGGATGCAAGCGCTGAACCAGAGCCTGCAAGAAGACCTGCACTGCTGAGCCAATGATGGGGTACAGGTCCAGCAAGACGCAGGCACACAGCAAACAGAGAGACCTGTGATGCTGGGGCAACGTGGCAAGGCAGGACACACAGCAAGCAGCAGGACCATTCAGGCAAGGTGCAGCTCACAGGAAAGCCCATGCCACTGAGGCCAGTGCTGGAACGAAGAGCTTGCTCTTATATATGTAGCTCCCCCCGCCCCCCCCCGGGGCTCCCAGCTGCCACTCGTCAGGAAGCACCGCACTCCAGCACAACCTGGGACGGATCCTGCGAATATAGTGGCGGTGGTTCTGGTTTTGGCCTCCACCATAGCCCAGATCCTGACAACTACTATGTAAGCTATCTTGGATTCCTTACAGGACAAAAAGCAGTATATGTTAATAACAATAATGTTAATAATAGTTTCTGTGTAAAATACGCATTTTATAAGTATCATGGTATATTTTAAGATCAAAATTTATATTGCAAAATTCAGGGAAGCAAAGAGCAATGCATTCCAACACATTCAAGAGGTACAAATCATATCATTTCCATTTGAAATGTGGACTGACCTCATCCTTACCGGAGACTCGCAAAATGTTTTTGTACAAATTGAGAGAACACAGAGAGTGGCACAGGATTGGCTTTTCTGGATCGCATGCCTCTCAAGATCAGGAGCATTCTGATCTCTGGTATCTATTTTCCTCCAACAAGCAACCCTAGGAATATGGGGACTAGGGTATCAAGGCTCAGCCCACGGGTTTTTGGTTTGAATCCTGGAATCCCAAACAACCATACTTAGCATTTACTATTCCTAGAAAATAACAGGATGAGTTTACTTACTCTAAAGTTGTAGAGTTTTGTATTCCTGGCCGTAAAGCCTCAAGGTGATGAGATTTCAACCTGCAATAGGTTAGATCAAGGGAGTGATCCTTGATGGTACTGTGCTGCAAGCAGAATGCCAGGGCCCTGCAGTCTAGCATGGAGAGTGTCTTAAAAGAAAAGTTGATTTCCTGGAAGCGATGCATCACACACTTGGCAAATTCTGCTTCTTGGTTCTCAAACAGACAATGCAAAAACTCCAGAAGATGATAGCCTTTTCGGGGTGGATTTTCAGAAGCTACTTCTTCTACTTTCTGAAATAAGAGAGGCTTCACAAGGTTAGATGTCTTGCACTGCAGTGTTTGCTCAAGGAAGGTGCATACATCTTCATTGCTCAAGCCAAATATGAAGCGCACGGTTAGTGTCAAATGCTCATTGCCTGGCTTCCCGTACTCAGCTAAGAGTGTCTTCAGATCCTCCATATTGTTAGCCTGCTCTTCTGTTGGCTCCTGCTGCAGAATATACGACACAGCAGCAAAAAATTCCTGAAAGCAGAGGTGGAGAAAACTGTAGAGGCTGTGTCGGCCAATCACCTTCCGGAAGGCTCTTCTGTCTAGAAATGGATCTTTAAGAACAGAAGTTTCCAGATTATGTTCCTTGAGATCCTTTTCCTCAAAGAGGATTTTCTGTCCCAATACACCAGCTCGTGCCAAGAAACAGAGTTTTCTGAACTCATTCAAAGGGAATGTCTTCCATTTCTTAGACTCATGCTTAAGGAGATTGTGCAAGAACTGCACAAAGACTTTTGTTGTGGTGTCCATGGTGTCTGTAATCTCATCTTTACTTTCCAATTCTACTTTAATGACAGAACAGATGATCCAGCAAACCATGGGGATGAAGCAGATGGTGGACACCACAGAATTATTTTCAATAAAGCTCAGAGCTATAAGTGCTTGCTTGTTATCAAAAAACTTGAAAAAATATTTCCGGCGACCTTTTTCAGAGAATCCAAGGATCTCAGTGAATCTAGGAAACTTCAGGTATCCCTGCAGTCTCTCTGCAGCACCAGGCCTTGTGGTGATTAACAGGGAGGACTTTGGTAGGAGCTCCTTCCTCAGCAGGCTGCTCAAAAGAGCTTCCATGGATACCTTTGAATAAGGATCATCACACAAATGGTCTCTCGCAGGCTCTAAAAAGCAATGAAGCTCATCAAAGCCATCAATGATGAAAAGCAGCTTTTCAGGGTGAGCTAAGATTTCTTTCACTGGGGCAGGAGTGTCTTGATACCATTTTGCAATATGATCAGCCAGACTACTGGCCTCTCCAGCAAGGTCCAGTTCTCTGCAGCGAATACAGAACACATAATCAAATAGATCTGAATAGAGGTCTCCGGAAGCCCAATCCAACATGATCTTCTGCACAGTCATTGTTTTACCGATCCCTGCAGATCCTTGCATCACCACGGTCCTCGGGGTTCTTCCTGATTCGTCAGGATCAAAAAGGTCCTTGATGTCAGTTGATGTGTGATCAGCAGCACTGGCTTCCAGGATCGACATGTGCAGCCTGCCCGTGGCAGTCAGTTCATGCTCCCTCTGCATCTGGGGCCGATGCTTTCTGACAATAAGCAACTCTACATAGCGTTCAGACAAAGGGGTGCTCTCACCCAAGAGGCAGTTGCTGTCTTCTATCTCCCAGTATTCGTCGATCACATTCTGTGCATACTTCTTTTTGTAATCTAGTGCGGTGCCACACAGCAAAGAGAAGGGTCCATCACCTATGAGAGCACCGCTGGCAACATGCCTTGCTTACACAAGGAATCCTCCTTTTCTCCATGACTCTCTCTCCGACCCTCTGTGGCTGGCCCTTCTCCCCTAAACAGGTGTGTCTTTCACTCAAGATGCTCAAGGTCTGCATTTGCAGACCACTAAATGCAAATATCCTGAAGCAGAAAGTGTTTTGGTTTGCCTCATTTCTGAACTGTTTAAATAGATGGGCATGTTTAAGCTGTTGGGCCTGGATTGCCATATGTCTCTACCACTTGCTGGCCTTATTTATCTTTTCTTCTTAAGCAAGGTCTGTGTTCAACTGTATAGAGCCCACATTATTCATCAGTTATTATTCACTGGAAGAATAACCCAAGTCCTGTTCTCTCTCTCACCAAATTTCTCTACCACCACTCACTGGTATGGCAGAGCAGTACTAAATTTGGCAGTGATCAAATATTTAAATCTCCCAGTGCCCTTCCTTATCTAATTTTGGTACTGTCCACACTTAAGCTACTCAGTCCTGAGGTTTTCCAATTTTGTTTGGATTTCTCGTTCAAACTTGGGTTTATATACAACAGTGGTGGAACAAACTTCCCTTTCCCAAATCTAATCCAGAAAGTGGGTGCAAATCTATTCCACCCAGGTGGGTGCAGTGAAGAAGAGAGGAAAGGAAATCCTCATTGTATGACTACAAGCTCACTGGCGTGATGTTGGATGCTGCCTATTGTTCACATATTACTGAACCTCTAGACCCTTCTCAGCTCTGTTGTCTGTTTTTCAAAGATAATGATGAGGAGCTCACTTTTCCTGAGTTCTAGAGTAGCCATTACAACAGGTCATGAGGAGGTGCTCACATACCTTGAACTTGCATCCCCATCGCTGAAAGAGAAACAAAATAATTGGTGAAGCATTTTTGTATTTCAAAAGGCAAGTTTATAACTCTAGAGATGCTGCTGTATAGAATGTGGTAGTAAGCTTGATCATATGTGCCTAACCCTTTACTATAAAACTGAGTTCCCATCAGCTTTGAAATAGTTAATGCTTTACATCAAGTATAATTTGGAATCAATTCCATTCTATATTGTCTCATTTGTCAGGTTGGTGTGAATAAATGCTTCTCACTTACTGAAACTGTAAAGCAAGTAAAGATCTGGTCTGTAAAGCAAGTAAAGGTTGCTTAACCAGAAGGCAAGAAAAGAGAGGAAAAGTTCAGCTGCATGTTAAATATTGCCCAAATAGTGGGATGAGGGCAGGCAGGGCACAAGAACCAGAGAGGTCATATGTGGTTGTAGAGGGAGAGCTGGAGAGGGATGAGGGAGGGTCTGCTTCTCCCAAATACAGCATTTCAACATGGATACCTCAGATTCTGAATATGAGCTGGAAGACAAAGCAGGCTTGAAATTATTAAAGCAAACTGGCTGGTGAGGACTACTTCAGTACTCTCTACTTCAGGCAGAGACGTTGTGGACTAGGGAGGGGTGTAACACAGTAAATGCTAGGCTAGGCCAAAAGAGCTAGCCAACTAAATGATGTTTTCTTTAGGCTAGGCCAAAAGAGCTAGCCAACTAAATGATGTTTTCACTGTGTGACCCACAAGCAGCAGGAACTTCCCTGAGGGTGGCACTAACTCCATTTGGTGAGGAAGGGAGGAGGGGGATTCAGTATGGAATCAACATCTGGCAGAGGCAGAACTCAATCTGCAATTTGTGGGCTTATTAACTGGATGGATATCTATTGCTAATGACCCCTACATCACCTTTTCTATCACAAAGCCAATTCTGGCTGGCTCACTTTAAAATACTGTAATTAGAAGCCTCTCCTCTTGATATGCTGGGAAGGGAAGAGGCTGGGTGAGAGAGACCAGCTCACAAAAGATGTGACACTCGAAAGGGCATTTGGCCAACCCTTGTCCAGTATGAAGGTGATCAGCTGGAGGTGGCTCCAGACACACGGCAGGGATGGGGAGAGCGGAGACTATGAAGCAGAGGTGGGGGAAAACAGTGATGGGGAAGAGAGTAAAAGCAATGGTGGGATCAAATACTGACTTGCACAGAACTGGGCCATCCCATACATGAAGGATGGGGAAAGTGTGGCCCACCAGCTGTTGCTGGACTGTAACGCCTACCACCCTTCCCTATTTAAACATGATGGCTAGGGCTGATGGGCACTGCAGTCCAGATGAATATGGAGTGCCAGATGTACCCTACATACCTCTGCCTCAAATTATCACTACCAACATTGAACTGTATTTAATCATAAGGTCTACTATGTCTATATACAAGCAAATCCATACCTTTGTTGAGATCAGAAGCAATGAACTTAAGACCCATCTCTTCCAAGATAGCTGCTGTCAGGGCAGCAGCCTTGTCCTCATAGTAGTCTACCAGAAACTCCGCTAGCTGCTCCCGATTTGCATCCTGCAGCCGTCCCTTAGGAATTTTCTCACCTGTGGGAGTGTCTGCGTAACGCAGCTTGAACTTAAAATTGGTTAATTCCTTTTCGCTAAGCTCTTCTAAGGCAGTCAGCAAAAGCTCTTGCATCACTGCTTCTCTTGAGGCCATTGTGAGGTCCCTTCCAGGCTGCAAATAAAGAATTATGCTAAGTGCCAGGACAAAAGATGTAGACATCAGGTATGGAAGGGGATGATTCAGAATTTTGGAGGGGAGAAAGAAAAGCAGGTGTAAAATCATAGGCATTGGCCATAAGCCTATAGTTTATGGATAGGCAATTATATTCTTCCAGATGTTTTACCCTACAACTCTCAATAGCTCTAGCCAGCACAGCCAATACTGAGTTGTAGGCAGTGCTTTTTTTGTAAGAAAAAAGGTGCTGGAACTCATGAAATTATTTACCTTTCGCACGTAGTCAATCACTGTACACACACCCACACACGTCAGTTGTGTAACGAAACATAACAGTCGCCACCTGCGGCAAGCACTCAGCGCACGACCACACGACCAATCACAAGCTGAGCAGCGCTATCACAACCAGCGCAGATGAAGTACGCATGCATCGGATTCGACACACAAGCAGCCCACATGCACCGTTTTAATGATTTTGCCGCCAACCTGCTATGCTTGACAGGGAGATTCAAATCCATGTGGATCAAACATCAAATTTTCAAAAGTTACTTTTAAAACTTGGAAAATCTGTTGAAAAAAGGTGCCGGAACTCTGTTCTGGTGCGTTCTATGACAAAAAAAGCACTAGTTGTAGGTCAAAACATCTGGATGGTCACAAGTTGCCCATGCTCGACTGTACCTTCATCCCAGCTTGCAGGAGAAGTTAAATGATGTATCATGGATGTTGACAACCACCAATCAGAAAAGGGAACAAGGTCTCAGGTTAGCACAGTAGAATCAACAGATTCTAGGACAGCTTCCTCAACCTGGTACCTTCCAGATGTATTAGATTATACCTGCAGAGTGACAAGTTGGAGAAAGCTGCTCTAGGAGTTTATTGCAGGATTGCATTAGGGACATTTTGCAGGTCTGAGAATGGGTAGCATGGAGTGAAATAACCAGGAACCACAGAGCTTTTTGCTGAAGAACTGGAGGAAACAGTGTTACCCAGAGCTAACTGTGCTAACTGTTCTGAACTGCCCAGAGAGCTGTGGGCAGTAAAGAAATTAAATCAATCAATCAATAAATAGAACTATTTAAAGGCCATGCATGTGTACTGCATTTACTTCCCTCATTTTAAAGAGAAGAGAAAACCCATCCATTCATCTTCTGCAGACAAGAAATGCATTCAAATTTCAACAAGAAATATTTTTGAGTTGTGTTGTTTGAGCATGAAATGTTAATGATGTTCTGCTTAAGCATGTAGTGAAGAAACAACATGGGAAGTTGTTGACCATCCTCTCCAAACTCCTTCACATGCAGCCAAACTTCTTATCTATCATCATCATCATCATTTCTGTACTGCTGGGCCGTTTACAACTAAGTAAACTTTAGATTTATGAACTCCAGACAAAGTAGGCTGCAGAATTAAGAGCATTTCATTTTCCAAAAGCTTTTAACATAGGATTCATTTATGACTATTGCTTTTCCCAGTGCTATTTAGGGAACAGTCCTTGGCATGTTCAGGCACAAAAAGCCATTTCAGCTGGGGGATGCTGGGGAATGTATAACTTTTTTCTGTCTAAAAATGCGTAAGATCTTGCCCTTAATCAATGATGGATTTGGGAAGGAGAGATTATAAACAGATACCTTGATGTTAATCTATTCATTGATTAGTCCACTTTTCCTCATTTTTGACTTTAACAGCCTTGAACATTTGTAAACAGAAAGGTAGGAGATTATATCATTAACTGGTCAGAAACAAAATTTCCATCCAACAAATAATTTTTTAAAATCCCAAGTCTGGCTTTCTTTTCTTTTTAGTCATCTATAGCAGAAGCACACTCAGTCTTTCCAGGCTGGGGAAGCTGTACTTACTTGAATGGCTGGGCAGATATTTTTGAAATTGAGGGTCTGCTGGGAATGCAATTAAATGGAAGAACTATTTAGATGGCATTGGGAACATCCTAAGAAGAATATGCCAACAAATATGGAAAACAAAAAATGGCCAACAGATTGTAAATGTTAAACGTATATTTCAATTCCCAAGAAAGGGGATGCAAAAAGGTGCCCCAACCATGGGACACTTGCAGTAATTTTCCATGCAAGCAAAGTGAAGCTCAAGGTGTCACAACAAAGAATTTTACCCTATTTGGAGAAAGAAATGCCTGATATTCAGGCTGGATTCTGAAAAGGAAGAGCCCGTCAAGATCATATTGCAAATTCATTGACTACTGGAGCGCGCCAAAGAATTTCAGAAGACCACTCTATGCCTTAGAGACTAGGGCAAATCCTTAAACTGTGCCTCTCGGTTTTTAAAGGACTCTGCCCCCTTAAGGACACTCCTGATTATAAACGGGGATATACGCATAGTGGAAAGGAGAGCAATTGATTTTCAGAAAAAGCCTCGGGCAGGAAGATTCAAGGTGGTGGGACAGCAGGAGGGGAAGCATACGTGGGCAAAAAGCCAGCTCATCCAGAGGGATCAGCTGCAACAGAGATGAGCGAAGCCCCTTCATCTTTATTGCAGGAAGTGCTCGTCCACAGCAGGGTGGTGGGGCGAATGCCTCCCAAAGATCCGGAGCTACGGGCCAAGTGGGCCGGCCACTTCAACAAGTGTTTTCCTTGCGAGTCCTTCCCTCCTTTCATGCCCCAGGAGCCTCTCTCTGGAACACCGAGCGGCTCTCCGTCCTCATCCCGCGCAGCTTCCTGCCTTCGCCAAGCAAAGATCACACGCGAGGCCGCTTCCCAGCCGTCCTGCAGCCCCACAGAGACAATAGCATTCTCCATTTTCCCACCAAAGGGCTCGGTCGCCTTTAGGCCGGCCACGGCGGAGCTAGGACGGGCGCCATCGATGGCCACAGAACTTCAAGCCCAGCTGCCAGTGCGGGCTTCGGCTTGCTGCAAGCATAGCGGCTACCCTATGGCATAGTGGCAGCGCGTGGCTCTTGCAAAGCGGAATAAAAGAGGCATTACCTGTCCGGAGCCAGCTAAGAATGAGAAAGTCTCGAATTTCAAGCGGAAAAAGAAAGTGAAAGTTGCCTGACTGGCGTGCAAGGGGATGGGCTCGGCTCAGAGTTAGGACTGTGCGTGTCAGTAGGCCCTGCCTTCCTCACGGCATTGCCGGCGCTTATGGAAGAGGCCCGCGCTTTCTTTGATTCCTGTTACTAGGAGGACTGCACTGCAGTCGTGTTTACTTTAAAACGACTCGGTTAACTTAAAACCGGAGGGGGGGGGGCAAATGCAAAATGTGGATCACTGCGGAATGGGTGTCCCCCGCCCCGCCCCGCCTCGCCCCGTTTACTTTTGCACATTCTCACGGAGGACGCCGCTTGCACAGAACGAACTCACGGTGGCCCCTGACAACGAAATGCTTGTGTACGATCAGTGTGCACTTGCATTCTGTCATTCTGTGGCTGCTTATATTATCGGGGGGCGGGGGGGACAAAGATAGCAGTGCTGGTCCCTCAGGACCCCTCTTTCCAAGATCCACGAATGGACAAAAGCTTTATCAGGACCCAGACCAACCCCAATTCCACAAAAAACGTGAAAGCTTGCAAGTTTTCCAGAACGTCAGTCTAGATGGCACAAAAAGAAGTGTAAGTGGTGTGTGTGTGAGAGAGAGCGAGCGAGCTACGGTTTCGCGAAATAATATGTAGGTAGACCAAATTTCCAACGAATGAGTCAGTGATAGTCATTACACCTAGCGATGCATGTTTCTATTAGAGAACCGTTGTACCTCTTGTGAAATAAAATCGAAGGTTTATTCAATGTTTACCATTAAAGCTTAAAGAGCCTGATATTGTATTGGGATGAGTTTCTAGGGTTTCTTATTCAAGACTGCTAGAGAAGCTTATTCTTTAATGGAAACCAGCAGGTGTTAGTGACCTGCCAGCAGTGCAATCCTATGTATAAAATATAAATTCACTGGGACCAGCTCCCCCCATTGCATTTTAAGTTTAATTTTGACCAAAGTGTGTATGCTGCATCTGTAAACCATGCCCCTTTTCCTAATTTGAGTTTCCACAGAATTCTTAATATTTTGGCAACGCAAAGGATGAGAGAGAGCAAAAAAAAAAGAAGATGGAAACTTTGTGGGTTTTTTCGCATGGACTAAAAGGCATTTTAAAAGATGAAAATTGAAATGCTCCAGGAGCCAGATTTTATGCCAGAAGCCACAATGTGATATGCAGATGATGTAAAAAATGACCCCCTTGCCTTTTAAACTCTGAATATTCTGCCTTACTTCACTGCAATGATTTCAATAGCCTATCAAATCACTGCTTTCCAAAACCATTTAATTTTGAAATACATAACCCTGATTCATATTCTGCTCTGGTACTCTTCTCTTCTACTCAGATGATTGCCTTTGGCTTGTGTAGGGACTGTCTTCTCATCTTTTCTCTGAAGCTACAGATGGCTTAATATGATTGATCTAAGCTTACACCCTAGGAGCTCTGGAGTTCTTTTACAAATGAACAGCAGGTAGAAGGAAATGCTGGAACTCCATGTATAGGAAAATAGCTTAAGAATGCATGAAACACATACTCATTTGGCAGAAGACTGCTGATTTTGTTTCCATTCTCAACCGCAAAGTGCTTATATGAATAATGGATTTGCTCACTTCCTTATCCTTTTCTCTTTGTACAAACCTCCTAGTTATTTCTATCCCTATGATGATGTTCTCGTTTGTTTGGGGGAATTAGGGTGAGTGATGAGACAGGGTATTACTGAGATCATGCACAATTGTGCAAGTTAGAAGCAATATCTATTTGTCCTTTTAAAAAAAGCATCTGTTAGGACAGCTGTATAGCTGGCTGGAAGCACCTCTTCCCCTTACCATTCATGGTGCCAGGACAGAATCACTGTAAGGTCCACGGCCAATAAGGCAACATATCTAGGGTGAGTTGAAGTGGTTTTTTTTGTGTTGATTTTTTTATTAAAAATGTTGGAATACTCTCTCAAGAAACGGAAACCTAGACGTTGAGCTTTACTATGAGTGAAGCTAAGAATGAATATCAACCAAAGCCTGCTGTCACCTTTCAGCAGCCATATATCCTCCACCAGCTGCTATGAAGGGTCCTCCCTCTAGACTAGACATGCGCCTAATTTCAAAGCCTTATCAGTTCTGACCTCTGACAAGGGTGATTTGGTAGGGGGAGAGAAATGGGGACTGATAGATTACCGTCAAGGGAATGTGGTCCCTGACAGGAAAAAGTTCCCCCTCCATCATCCAGCCTGTAATGCTACTATTAATTTTTACACTCCTGTGGGATGACCTTTGCTGGGAAAAAGACTGGGACTGCAACCTTGTTGGTCCTCCTGAGCCTCTCAGTATGTTTTGATACCATCAACCATGGTATCCTTTTGGACAGGTTGGTCAAGTTGGGAGTAGGAGGCACTGCATTGCAGTGGTTCTGCTCCTACTTGACCGGCCATGTCCAGAAGGTGATGCTGGGTGATTATTGCTCTGTGCCATGGCATTTATGGGGTTCAACATCTACATGAAACCATTGGGAGAGGACATCAGGAGGTGTTGGGTGAATTGTTATTGGTGTACTCAGCTCTACCTTCCCTTTTCATCTGACACAGGTGTGGCAGTAATGTTCTGAATCAGAACCAGATTCAAGGCCAGAGCCTTGGAGTGGATGATAGCCAGTAAACTGAAACTTAATCCAGACAAGATGGAGATACTGTTGGTGGAGGGATTGCCTGCTGATATGGATGACATCTTGCCTGTACTGGATGTGGTTGCTCTTCCTCTAAGGACAGGGTTCATAGCTTGGGGTGCACCTGGACCCTGATTTATTGTTGGAATTCCAGGTGGATTCAGTGACCAGGAGCCCCTTCTGTCAACTAAGGCTGACATGTCAGCTGTGGCCCTATCTGGACAGGCAGGACCTGGCAATAGTTATTCACACACTGGTAACCTCTCACCTGGATTATTCCAATGCTTTATGTAGGGCTTCCCTTGAAGATGGTCCAGAAACTTCAATTGGTCCAGAATATGGCAGCCAGACTGCAGATGAGGACTGCCAGATATGGCCATATAAACCCAGTCCTCTACCACTTTCACTGGTTACCAGTTTTGGTCTGGGCCCAATTCAAGGTGTTAACACTAGTGTTTAAAGCCCTGAACAGCTTGGGGCCATGGTAGCTAAAGGAGCACCTGTTCCCATAAGAACCTACCTGGCACCTTAGAACTGCATCTGAGGCCCTTCTGAAGGAACCTCCTCAAGAAATTAGGGTGGCAACAAGAATGGCCTTTTTGGGAGTACCCCCCACAACTCTGAAATGAACTCCCCAGATAAATTTGCCTGGGTCCCTCTTTATAATATATTCTATATTAAAATACCGTTAAAACCAGATTAACAAAACACTGCTCTATTTATGCATAGATTCTGTTAAGAGGTGATAGGGTTAACTTTTGTGATAGGGTAAACAAACAAAAAAACCTTTTTATTGTTATTTAAGTGTCTAGTATTGTATTTTTAATATAATTTTTTACACATTTGTATTGTCTGTAACCTGCCCAGGGAGCCATGTGGCTAATGAAGTGGGCTAAAAATCAAATAATAAAATAAATATCAAATAACAAAAAACTGGAGGAACATTGCACCTCTCACACCAAAATCTGGGTTTAGCTCTTTCATTTTCCTTGCTGCACATTTACCATTAAACTAAGCCAGGTAGCCATGGTAAGTTTCCTTGTACTGCCTAGTTAGTTGAAGTACACATAAATCAGGTATGGGCAGCTTCTGACCCTTGGTAAGTTTCAAACTACAACTTCCATCATCCACAATCAGCACAGCCAATGGTGAGGGATGAGAGATTTTAGGTCAAAATATCTGGCGTGCCAACAATTGCTACTGAAATATCCATCTGTTTCAAAGCGAAATGCAACCAACTGTGACAGTGAAACTAAAGGTAACCATACTGGAAGGGAGGTGAACTCTGTTGACTATACGAATGCTTCTCAGCATAGGCACATTTCTTTGAGTTGCTAAAATTAGTGCATTAACTGTTTTCTGTACCTTCATTAAGCCATGTAAGGGAAATACATGTTTAGAACCAATGGTGAAAATGAAAGGAAAGCAGGTTTCCTTCCATTATAAGAAACTTCCTCACTGTGAGATCTGTTCAGCAGTGGAACACATTGATTTGGGAGGTGGTGGGTTCCCCTTTGCTGGAAGTATTTAAGCAGAAGCTAGATGGCCATCTGTCAGAGACGCTGTAGGATATACATTGAGCAGGATGTTGGACTAGATCAGGAGTTGGCAACCTTTAACACTCAGAGTCATTTGGACCCGTTTCCCACACAAAAGAAAACACGGGGAGCCGCAAAATCCTTTTGACATCTAAAATGAAGATAACACTGCACATATCATTTATTACCTTGATGCTATGTATATCTTCATTATGATTTAGCTGCAGCTCTTGTTCAGTCACCAAAAACTGTTATTTTTAATCTTACATTATAAACTAGTAGGACTCCTTTCATATATTTTGAATAGGAGAACAGCTTTCTGAAGAGTCAAAGTCAGTGCTAAAGGGCTGCATGCATTAAACAACAAACCCCGTAAGTTCGTCAGCAGTAAAAGCAGATGAATCTACCCGCGTATCATTAAACATTTCGTTTTCTTCAGAAACTGTTCTTCCATTTATCCATGGTTGGCCTATGGGGGGGCGGGGGGGGGTCTCAGTAAATCGGGCGCTGGTCCGCAGATCAGATATAGGTGTGTTTAGTGACTGATTAGCAGAAAACAGTCAAGTGCTGTGAATTGTGACAGGTCCCAAGTGCAGCTTTTAACATTCGGATGAAGGAGATTACATTGGGACAAAGAGAATCTTTTCAGTAGGGTTTTGTGTAACTTGAGAGCCTGCAGGAAGCCTGTTTAGCAGAGAAATGTAGTGATTTACTTAACTAGCTGATTCACTTAACTAGCTAGCCCTGAGTTCCTGAGTGGAGCTTGGAGCAGATCAGCGGCTGTGCCGGCGCGTGTTTTGAGCGACGGAGCCGCAGCAGAGGGTTCAAGAGCCACGTGCGGCTCCAGAGCCGCGGGTTGCCAATCCCTGGACTAGATGATCTATAATGCCCTTTCCAACAATAGCCTTGTTTCTACACAATATTGTCTTTAAATTTTGACAAGCATTCCAAATAAAATGTATGCATAATATAGTCACATCACTTTAATTTCCCCCTTAAATATTTCAGGTCAAATACTTAATCTAGTGGGACAAAAATGCAGCACTGTTTTATTTTTATTATTTACTAACTACAAATAAAACAAACATAAGACATTAGATTTCTCTAGAAACAGAGTTGGGCAACTTGTAGCCCTCCAGATACTTTGACCTGTGTCTCCCATCCGCTCTAACCAGTGTAACGAATAGTTGGGAATTATAGGCCAAAACTTGTGAAGAGCTACAAGTTCCCCACCCTGCTTTAGAGGATCAGAACACTTTTTTGATGCAAGTGACCCTAACATGCATTGGAAAACTTTCTAATACAAACAAAAAATTTCTATGCAAACAATCCTACGCAATTCAACCTAACTGGCGTTAGAAAATTTTCCAATTCAGTTTTCCAGAAAAACTGCATTACTTAGCAGAATCTTTTGCATGTTCTGCTCAGGAATAGCTCTGTGTTCCTCAAGGCCTACTCCCATATAAGTAGGTATAAGATTGCAGCCTTAATTTTCGTAAGTTTCCATTAGACTAGAATGGAGTAATTGTTAGCTGACCAGAATTGGAGGTATTTTAACTCTTTGGTAAACTAAGCTCAGCGTAGTCCTTCATTGTGCAGCTGGAGGTTAAACAATCCCCAAATTTAAGCTCTAGGGGTGGTAGCCAGGCACTGCCTCATAACCTGCAGTGCATGCATATGAGATTAATCACATGGCAACAGTAGGAGGACTTCAATGAAATCCTAAGGCAGGGCAACAGGAAGTCCTTTATCTTGCACATCCCTAAGATTAAGGAAAGTGTTCTTTCGTTATATGAAAGCCTGCTCCGGTTCTATCCAATTATTTGTAGGCCTTTTGTTACCTGCAGATGCTCGCCAGAGGCCTGCAAAGTTTTTAGGTGCTACGAGAAAAAGAGTACTTCTAGAAAAACCGTAAGAGGTAGTCATGTATTAGAGAACTACAGCCATCAACCAAGGACTCTTGCACACATCATTAATGAGGAAATCTCTCTTCCACAGGTATACTTCAAACTTTGGCGGCAGGCTGTCCAGACATGTTAAACAGAGGTGGTTTTATTGTTGAAACACAAATGGAAAAGACACCCCAAGTTACATCAGAGAATACAAAATACTTAGAAAACTGAGCCATTTCTCCCTTGGCACATGATCTTCTTCCCACCCCTCTTCCCACATACACACTGCACATTTATTCCATTGGGCATATGCAGCAAAATGGTTCACTTGATACCTTCCAGCAACACAAGCTAGCCACATGCTGCTGATTATGTATACTGAAACTGCCGCTAGAGCTGCCCAGCACGCACAGTCCCAACATCCTGATTCCTTTATATCCTTTAAAAAAATAAAAATGAAATTGTGTTCCTAGAAACTAAGATTTGGTTCCATACAGATTCTGCTGGTGCAAAGCAAGAGGGCTTTGCAAGCAAATGGGGGCAACAGGGCATGAACAGCATGAATATACTTGTATAAAACCACATAATTAAACATGCTTGTGTACAATTGAGCAGTTTCAGCTGGAATCACCCAGGCAAAGTCACAGGCTCCAAATGGGGGATGCAGCTTCTCAAAGGGCAAAAACAAGCATAACTCTCATCCATATCAAGAAATGAAGAAACTTGATGTTTGATCGTCAGCTTTGTATGCAGCTGCACTTTGTTTTCCATGCTGGTTTCCCACCAGCTTCCAGCACACCTATGTCAGCGTTTCACCTTTTGTTACCTGCCAAGAAAAAGAGAGTTTGCTTACCTTGGAATACAGTTTCTTGAAAGGGAAAGAGGAAGAGGAGACCTCATGTCTATGAACATTTAAGGAAAGATATTTGCATGGGTTACTTGGGAAAACAAAATATCATCATATGCAGGTCCCACGGCTAGATTTGCATTAAGGTCTCTCAGTGGAAGGAAAGTGTAACCATTTCCCAAGGACACTTTCTCTGGTCCAGTATCCAGTGGGAAGCATGAAATGCTGATGATCTAAGAGACATGGACAAAACTAGGTCTGTGAACATTTCCAAGGAAATGAATATGGGAATAAGGATGTAGCCACAAAGAATTAGGTAAAACTGTTTAGAGGATGCTACTGGACAGATCTTATTACAAGAATCCAAATGGCCGCTAACTCTATGAATTTGCCTACAGTTACAATCCTATGCACACTTCCCAAGGAGCAACTCCCATTCAACACAATAGGGACTTTGTGGACTACACAACTTTTGAATAGCAATTTGTGGAATTCAGCTGCAAACTATTCAGTCCAAGGAGGTAACTGCTGCTATAATTCTGTTGCTGGCCAAAGCAGTGAGTGTCTGTTTGCTGTCAGCTGCTGCTTCTTCCACATGCAAGCACCACAGTCAGGATAGTCCATTTAATACACCACCCCTTTATACCAGCAAAGGGAAACTTGTGGCCCTCCAGATGTTTTTACCTACAACTTGCAACACTGGCTATGCAGGGTAGGGCTGATGGACAAAAGATCCAGCAGGCCACAAATTTCCCAAAGTTACTACTTTAAAGCATCACAGAACCTTCTAGGAAAGGAACATCCCCATACACCTAAATACTGCAATGCATTCTGCATGGCTGCTTGTGGAGCCATGCTGGCAGCTTCAACTACTGAAGAATGCAACTGACAGGTTCCTATGAGACGAATACACAGTGGCTCTTACAAGCATGGGTTACACTAGGGCTTTCACATCTGAACAGACTGACTCATCTTCCAAGGATAATTTCAGGAACTGGTTTCAATTCTCTACTACAAAACAATGGGCTGGACATGATTCATGGAAGGGGTAGTCAGGCCTGGAGCTTACAAAATTGACTTTGGTTTTCTCTAGAACCTGAGCTCCACCAACCAAGACTAGATGCAAAACAGTGGCTCAGGAAGGTGAACCTAGGTTATTAATACATTGCATTTAAACCTCACCTTGTTCCTGTTGTGAGGAAGACACAACTTGCATAGCTCCATTTTATCACAACAACCCTGTGTGGTAGATTAGGATGAGCGTGTATGATTGGCTCAAAGTGGAATAGAGACTAGAACATGGACTGGTGACTTGAGAGATCCAACACTCTCACCGGTGTTGTCTGTCAGGGCTAGGAGCTAAGGTTAAACCAACAAAGTTCTTGGGAATAATTTAATCTGATTACTGTTAACGTTTGTAATGGGTAGGCAATATATTTTAATACACATACTAACTGGCTCTAAAAGGATGTAGGACACTCTTTCTGTAACCCAAAATGCTTCAAGGCCCTAATACAAACTACTAGAAATATCCATTCTGTGGTGGCACAGCCTAAATCCAATACATCCCATGACTTTCCAGTACAGTTTCTCTTCCTCAGCTAATTAGGAAAAAGCTCACCTACCTGGTTGTGAAAACCTGCAAGGGGTATAATGATGAAAATCCTGACTAATCTAAGAGAATGGGAAATCTGTTATTACTTTTAGAAGGATCTGATCAAACCTATAAACACTGTAGAGGAGAAATAAAGAGGAAAATGGTCTACTGGGTGGCAAGGGAATTTGAGCTGAGGTGTCTGTTCTGTAAGTATGCCCATCATCTTAAAGAAATGCCAAACCAAAGTGGGAGAGTTCATATTCTCCAGGAATACAGTTTGCAGCATTAGGACAGGGGTACTGATACGGGGTATGGTGTGCCCATGTAGAGAAAAATAAAAAACCTAACATCCTGCAGTCTGTTTTCTGGGCCAGAACATACTTTGCCACATTAATCAGGCTCTAGTCAGTGAAAACTTGCCACAACTTATATATTCATTTAAAAGGATGCCTTATCCTCGACATACTAGCTTTCCATGCACATGGAACTTTTAAAAAAGTGCATGCGTGTGTTGAGACTAGATGAAGGGGGGCTATTCAAACACGCAATAGCTCCGCGGAGCCGAAAGCCATGCCACCTAAGCTTGACCAGTTCACTCCTCTCAATCTAAAGGTGCAAGAACCGGGCGTAGAACCGGGCAGAGCCAGGCTGGAGCTGCCGCGCCAGCAAAGAGCATTGGGGGCGTGGGGCAGGAAGGGCGGATGGTGGCCTTCGATGGTTCCCCCCGCCCCAGCTGCAGCACCTCCTCTGCGGGGATGCCGACAAGGGAGAAGCCTCACCCGGGCCTCGATGTATTCGATGCGCCTCTCCAGCGCCGTCAGCTTCTCATTGAGCGTGGCCAGGCGGGAGCGGCAGGACATATCTGCGAGGAGAGAGGAGGGGAAAGAGGTGAAGGGCCAGGGGACCCGAAGCCACCCCTCCCGCCCGGATATGGAGGAAGGAAGAAGGGCGCCGCCTTACCGAAGGAATTGAGGAAGTCGGCGATCTTCTTGATGGAGCTGGTGATCACTTCGATGTACTCGCGGTTGGCCCAGTCCTGGTGGATCTCGCGCTGCACCGGGTCCTCCTGCACCGACATGACGGCCAGCTGGGAGTGGACCCCCCCCACCAGTAACCCACCACGCCTGCGCACGCCGTCGTGCCACCCTTCGCTCAAAGCGAGAGCATCACGCATGCGCTCGTTTTTCCGTCCCTGTCCACGAGCCTGCGCAGCCCCGCCCCTCCGCCGCCTGCCAAGTGGGACTATTGGTTGCCCGGGCGGCGACGCCAACCGTAGGGGGGGGAGCGCGGACGCCACGCAGCGGGGGAGGGGTGTCCGTCTCCTCCTCCTCCTCGCGCGCGCTGGTGCGTCGCTTGCGGGGACGGTGATAGTCGCGTTGCAGTGTGAACCTATCTAAGATTGTTGGTCGCTGTAGGACTGTTTTTCCAGTGTGTACGTGTTTATAGGATTGCGACCTTAAAGACGGCCATTTGGAAATGTACTTGCATTTGGCATAAAATGTGTTTGGCATTTGTAAGACTGGAGAAACGAAATGCGAAATGATACTGTTTCTGTGAATTGACGGTGGATGCGCTGAGTGGGGAGGTAAATTAATGGGGTGGGGGGCAGAAGAGGTTAGGTTTTCCAAACGTATGCTTTCTCTCTTGTCTCCCCTCTGTGCTGTTAGGGTGGTATGAAAGATGTGACACGGAATGCTCTTTTGCATATTAAACTACATGACCTCGAGCATTTTTTAAAAGCAGAAGGAAGAAAAAAGCAGCGGAAGGAAGGCCACATAAGAATAATAGAATAGTAGATTTGGAGGGGGCTATGAAAGCCATCAGGTCCAACCCTCTGCAGGTGCAGGACACCAATTTACACCATCCCACTCAGGTGGCTGTCCAGATTCTTTTTGAGATGGGCCAAGTCCATAAAGGAAACCACAGCCTTGAATTTAGAAGAGCTAAGCAGGGATTCATGGATATTTTGGAGGGCTTTCATTCACAGTGTTACCATAAAAGACTTGTAGCACATAAAAATAACACATTTTTTCAAGTGTTTAGATGCTATGCAACTCAGTTGGTACAATAATACAATATTTTAATGCTGCATACTACAGTAGCCTTGAATGTGTATGGGGATGGGTGAGAAAGGAATAGAAAAAAATACTGAGGATGCACTAAACTTACCCATCTAGAACTGTATAGATTTGAGAGTGCACACAACAATGGTAGAGTTTTCCTCTTTATTTAATACATTTGTGAAAAACCCAAAGGTGTTAATATATTCACATGGCACAAAAATCCCAATCTACAACACACTATTTGTGCAAACTAGTACTGAACTCTGGTAATGAAAAGTAGGTATAAATGAACATTTTAGCTCATGTTTCCAAATAAATGGTTTGTGGAGAATATATTAAAGCAGGGTAATTTTTCTTAAAAGTGCATACATACAAAGATGATAATCCAAGATGGATTTGGACATAGCATTGATTTCAAGAAACAAACACACAAGCATGCTTTGGACTGTGCTCAAAAAGTAAGTAAAAGTGCCATTGATTGAAATCGAAGGAGCCTGTGTTAGGGGCTGAAATCAGAAATTAAGCTTATTCTGAGAGCCATTCTTGCAATCCTACCAAAACTGGATACATGAAAAAATGCTTTATTTAACAATCCTAGAGTACACTTGCTCAACACTTCCAACACCACCTTAACTTGAAGCTTGCTTTTAGACTTTAAATAAAATCCAGTTAGCAAACCATGCACTTAAAAGATACATACACTGTTTGAGATGTCAAGCAGGTATACACAGTAGATTCTCAACAGTCATGTTATGGTGTTTTTCTGCAGTCAACAAATGGCCAATGTAACATCATTCCCTAGTAAAGAACAGTGCCATAGGAATTCCTAAATGTTGGCTGGGCTTCAGGCAAAACCTTTTCTGTTAAAGATAATTAAAGGGCAAAAAGTTAATTGCAATGCCATACCCCAGATCTCCTAAAATAACTTATTGTCTAATCTTTTTTAAAAAAACTTTTTGCCCTTTTTAGAAAACATGGAAAAGGGTTAGGGAAGAAGATATATGATGCAGAAAATGGGAGACGGATTTTGAAACAAAAGCAGGCGGATGGTTAATGTTGTGGTTTTCATGATGAAAATCACTGCAGAGATGGGGAGTCTGGTATTTGAAGACAACCAAACATACTTTCTAAAGTTCAGGCTGTAATTCACCCTACTTTAGCACTTCCTGGACATGAATAAACTCATTGGGGCACAATACCTTCACACTATCATCCTGCTTCATTTTACAAGTTCACAAAGAGTTAAGTGATACATAGTCCATTCTAATCAGAGTCGTCTTCCTCACTGTCTTGAGGATCCATTTTATTTTCACTCTCTGAATCTTCTACCTCTTCCTCCTGGGGAAAATATATATTGTTTAAGCATTATATATTGGGGAATGAAGAATATATGCACCAGCCAGTATGATCAACGTAAGCCACTGTGGCTTAACCATGAATTATTAGAGGCTTGTTTTCCCCTCCAACAAGTTGCTTTCAGTTGATGACTACAGAAAGTAACTTGATTTGCATGATCAAAATATGCCACAGTGGCTTCTTTAAATCATAGAGCATTTTCATAATCACCACCCAGGTGCAGCCGCTTGTGTCATCCAAACCTGGGTGGCATGGTTTACTGGAGTGGGAAACTATACTCCAATAATCCATGGGTTGTTGTAGAGGGTTGTTTACCTCTCCAAAAAGCCATGCCACCTGGGTTTGGACAACATGATGAACTGCACCTGGGTGGTAACTATACAAATCATGCCTGGCATGCGCCATCATTCAAGTAAGTCACTGTACCTTATTTTGATTCTGCTAACCATGTCAATTTCTATAATCACTACCTGGACACAGCTTTCTGCAATATTCACATAGAAACTGGCTGGGCCATGCAGTTGACTTTAATTTCAATGGCAGCTGAAAAACATTTCAGCACTTTTTAAAATGATAAAAATCAGGGTTATAAAATATACCCTTTACAGTAGGCACCATTTTATAAGTGAATAAGTGTAGGTCTGGGATAGCTTCATCAGCCTGATATGGCACTGCCCATGTCAAAACCATACCTTTTAAAAAGAACAGTCAAACTAAAGGCATTGATGCCTATGCAGATTGGACTACTTTTCCAACCTTCCCAAGAAAACTGACTTTCTAAAGTAGGAAAAAGTTGGAACAGCACTGGAAAAACATGGGAGGATTACAGATGGATGACACATGGAACCTGAGTAAAATTTGAGTGCTACTTAGTATACATTGCTTAATGTTGCTTTTTAGGAGTCACAGATGAAGGTTTCCCTTCCTGTGAAAGGTTTGGCAAAATCTGAAGTGCTCATCAAGGTAGGAAGGTCACAATTCTTTCACAGAATAAGTTAGACACACAAATAAGAGAGGTAAGAAGTGTCAATGATCTAAGCAGTCACTGTTTTTCTCCCCCTATCCATCTGTTTACTGGGTCCTTTTCCAAATTAAAAGCAGTCAATAAGTGGTGCTCACAGTCAAAAAGTCCCAAACCCAGAGCAAGGCCATATGGGAGGCTTTGCTAGACAACAGGGCCAATAACTCTTTAAGCGCCGTTCTCAAGAGAGATGAGGTGGAAGAGCACACAATAGAGTAAGGTGGAACTTGTCTTTCTGAGGAGGGAATCACCTGACTGTCTACATGCATTAGCCTACCCCCACCTAGATGCCACACATTGCTTTGGGAAAAAGGAGTGAGAATAGAAAAGCGATACCTTGATTCTAGGTTGTTGTGTTCAGATGCAGTAAAGACATCTCACAATTTTGCATTTGCTGGGAAAATGGACTGATCATCTCAGTCATCACCAAAGTGCAAAGTATAACAGGTGCTTTAAAAACATCACCATACAGGTATTCTGCTTTTAGAAAAATACCTCCACAGGATCCTCTTTTGGGTTCAGAGAAATCTCTTGCTGTTCTTCCTCCTCCTCCATCTCGCTTGTTTGGGATGCCTGTGAGAGGATCTCCTCTCCCTAGAATGGATACAATAAACCTCAGAAATGGAACTCTGGGATTGTAATGAAACAGATACTCAGCAATCTGAAGAGTTGTTTACTGATCCCATTAGAAAGACCATCAGCACCAGTTCTGAATTTTAATCTGGCAGCATAGAAAAATGTGTCTTTTCAGCATGCGTGTGCAATTACTGAAACAGAAGTGCTGTTAGTAAGCAGCACTTACTAGTTAGTAACTGGCCAGTAAGCAGCACACAACCAGTTCAGTGGCATGCTATTTTATAGTTTTTATATGAGATTAATTTTTCATCTGACAATTACTGGCCAAAGGTTTCTGTATATGACTAATTTCCTTGACATTCTTGGTTTCAATACATTTATATCTGATCTGACTGATAAGGATTTATACTTGGTAAAATTAATTCCAGGCTCTGTTCTAAGCACATTCCTAACATGGCCTGACACCAGCTATGTTGTCTTCTGATTAGTTACCAGGCACAGTTCTAGGTGCCAGTCATGATCTTCACAACTGAATCCTGCATAGGTCACATCTCCCTCTCTAGGGATGGAGAAAGGATTCCAGCCTTGGAATCCCCATACCCATTTCTTGCAGAAACTTCTTTAAGGTTTGACATCAGAGAGGGAGGAAACAGGCAGATCAGTGGATGGAACTTGGGCATCTTGAAAGAAGTCTTCCTAGTCCCCTATCAGAAAATTTATACCAGTTCTGGAACTAGCCCTTTCTCTCCCATTACTTTCTTCCATAGGAACTCATCCATGTATTAAGATCATTTGCAGAGGACACCCTGACAACATCCAATATGGATTTAAGATCAGGAAAGGGCCTTTTTGGTGGTTGCATCTAGTGGTCTCAAACGCGCGGCCCACGGGCCAATTGCCGGGCCAGGCGGGGCACGGGGGAGGGCCCTGCGGCCTTCAAAGCGCCGGCGGCGCCCGGGCCGGCCTCCGGGAGCGACGTGGGATGAGCAGCCCACCTCCGCGGGGGTGGAATACTTAATGCGGCCCAGCCTCACCCGGACTCTACTTCCAGCGGCCCCCAGGTAAGGTGAGTTTGAGACCCCTGATCTAGCCTCTGGAACTCTGCATCTAGATAATCCTCTTCCTTTTAAGAAGAGTAAAGACCTTCCTTTACTGGCAGGAATCTTTTAATTTTAGCTCTCCTAAAATATAAACCTCTGATTTTAAAGCTATTTTACTTGCTTGCTCTGCCTGCTTTTTTGCCTATTGCTACTTATTGCTGATTTGCTCTTAATACATTTAATGTGTTGTAAATAAAATGTGTTTTGAACATTTTATTGGAAAGGCACGATTTAAATACCTTAAATATATAAGCAAGTTTTGGGCTGAATTCTACTGTAGACATATATAATAAGAATTGCTTACTAGTTAACTTGATTTAATTCCTCTGAAGGTAGTATTCAAATTGTCAGTAAATTACTTTCTGAAAGCCAGTATTGAAAAGTAATGTCCAGGAGTACAGATGCTCTTACAGTGTTTCCATGGAGATAATCTGAAACTATCTTTTTTCCTATATCAAAAGTTGAACGACAAAGAAAAAAGCTATATTCCCTGCAGCCTAATGAGACAAGAGGAACTCAAGTCATAGTGCTCATTTTGCATAAACAATTCAAACTTTGGCACTTCTTCACTGCTCAGAGATTGCTCGTGATATTCATCCAGCTTTTGAAAATGGCATCTATGCTTGTTTAAATATTATTTACTTGGGAATAACTCCCACTGAATTCAGTGAGACTTAATTATGCATCAACCTGCATGGGAATGGGCTGCTAGTTTTCAAGTCTCAGTGTCCATTAAGTATCATATTCAGCCAAGGAGGCCTTTATGGGACGCAAAGCAGTGCCTTCTATGAACATCTGCTCACCTGCAGGTCCCTGTTTTTGAGGACGCCCACCCAGAAAGCCTCCTGACAGTGATTGAGGGCCAGCATTGCTTTCACACGGTATACAAATTGTTCGAGGGACTTCTTTAGAAGAGGCACATGGCTTATGAGTCCTGTGTCTTGGTGAATCTACATGTGAAAGAAAAGCACACAGTTAAATGACCACCGATCTTTCTTTGGAACCTTTACAGCATGTAATCAGTACTGTTCAGAGTAAGGGGTCTTGAACCTGAGGAGATCTGGATTATAAGTGCAGTGAGTGGCCTTCAGAAAGTTTTGTGCCTCAGCATCTGCTTTGCAGTCTACATGATGGGAACAATGACCTACTTTGGAATGGTGGTTCTGTCAGTTAAACAGTGTAAGAGTTACAATGTGCACTTAAAGTGCTCTAGTTTAGGAGAAATGTCTTCTTCCCCTCCCTCCCCATTGCCAACTCCAGAAACAAAAAGAGGAATGATAAGGAATAACTTGTAGCAAGAGGACTTTGCTACAGGCCATTGATGGGGGCATAATTGGGTTCTGGATATTGCCACACCATCAAACTTACAGTCTAAAATTGACCAGAACTGAATAATCAACAACAACAAGAAACAGCTGCAGCAAAACAAAAATGACAGTAACATGATATGCTTCCTTATCAGACTGTTAGCCTGACTCTCATTATTATGGATGGACAACGACTGATACAGTAAGACTGATGGGAGGCCAATTTGGACATTTCTAGGTCAGATGTAACAAGAATTTCCCTATGGGGCTTCTTGTTTTTGACCCATTGTGATTATTAGATTTGCAAATATTTATAGGGGGGACTTTGTAGCTTGCTGTTACGTGCAAACCTGGCAAGGGTGCATTGTGGGGGTGGGGTATGACAAGCCACCAAGAACCCACTGTCACTGGGTATGCAGCTAGCAATATGCTGTGGTGTGTCCCCACCATGGTTCAAATATTTAAAAAGGGTCCACACCAAGCAATCCTGTGGGGAAATTCATCCACAGTGGGTTCTTATTATGTGTGAACCATGGTCACTGAAATTAGCCAGATATTACCGATGCCAAAACACAACACACTGCTTGTAGCCCAATTTACCTTGGAATGGCCACACATGTGGTGAAGTTGTCTGGTGCTCAGTTGCAAGGTCTTCAACAAGCTCTGCACATCCTCCTGAAAACCCAAAGAACAGCATTTGCACATGTGTTTAAGGCTACCATGTATTGGGCTCCTGTAAGTCAGGGTTCTGTTTTTCACTCAGTAGGCTATTATTAAACAGGACAGCTTCATATATTACATGACACTAAGTCCAGATATGCCATTAAGTGCATACTAAAGGAGGAGTTGCACTCAGTCTTATCTCTCTGACACACACACACACACACACACACACACCCCACATATGCAGATTATAAAACATATGTATACCTAAAAACACTATGTGGGAAACAGCTCTTAAATGGGATACTGTTCAATTATGGCTCCATGCTCTGGGTTTTTGAAGATTCCCCCCTCCAAAGGGGGGGGGGGATGTTGCTAAAGCAAATAGTTATTCCATGCTTGCACAATTCTCTTCTTGGATCTATTTAATTATACATAGTTTTCTACCCATTTCTGCTGTGGTTTCATACACATGCACTGGATACTTGGAAAGAGTAGTCATTACCTGCTGAGTCCATTCTCACATCAATCAAAAGGCAGTTCTGTCCCTAATTTCCTACCCTGTGTTTTTTAAAGCTGCAGTCCAGAAGGGGCATGCCAAGCTTCAGAAATGTTTCCATGAACAGACGTCCATACTGTGTGGGAAAAAGAAAGGTGAAAAATGCAGCCAGTTCTGACAAAAGAACACTGGCTTTGAAAACCCCAAGGCATGGTTCCAGATATTCAAACATCCGTGTTAGTTCAAATTTCACAAGAAAAAAATATTTTATATTTGTTGTTTTCCCCTGCTTTGCACAGTTCATTCTGAATGATCAGTAGAAAAACAATACTTTAGAAGGTATTTAAAAGAATACAGAATTTAAAGTATGTTAATTAATATGAAACAATTTTACCTTTATTTCATACCATTTTAACTACTTAAGTTATGTGGGAAGATGTGCCAACTGTAAGGGTGTTGAATATTCTGCTAAATACCTAATTTTACTCTTGGAACCAAACAGATGTAATCAAAAGCATTTTGTACCACAAGTTTGTCTATAATAACTTTACTATTTAGTCTGAAGGGATACCTCTTGTTACATCAAGCCACTTAACAGTAATTTCAGGCAATGACATGATGCTTCCTTGTATATATCACTAGGATCACATAACCAGTACATTTTAATAAGCTTTGCTATTATTGCTATTGAAAACGAGAGCAGAGTCAAACTGAAGCCATGGAGTAGAAGCCTGCAGAAATCCTAGACAGGCTGGGTTTTTCAGCACCAAACAAGGGAAAGGCAAATGTTTTAGCTGCTTCATGCTTTTAATTCCAGCAGTTTAGTCTGAAATACCTCTGGTATATTTATAAACTGTCCCGAGACGTCTGTGAAGGGACAGTATATTTAAACATTTATTTATTTAAACAAATGAATAAAATCCATAGCAATTCTAGGTAGCTTGACTGCATTCTTGCCTGCAATCCCCCCCCCCGCCGCGTGCTTTTTTCCCCCAGAGGGATGATTTGACATGGACAGTGAATCTATGCCTGTGCAACACACTTTCACTACTGCAGTAGGTCTCATTTTATAACCCTGAGTTTTTTAATCACATTAATAAGTATTAAAACTTTTACAGATATAATTAATTAGAGTCAACAGTTGCAAATGTTTATTTATTTAAGCATCACAGGTTAACACATAGTGAAGAGCCTGATATAATAGTAATAAAATCAAATCTTCACCCCAAGAATTTCCTGTCTTATATGATGCAAACTTCACTTACCTTCAAGCAAGCACTGAGCACCGGCCTGGTGTCAAATACCTGTGGAAGACAGAGTGGCAGTCCAGTTCAAAGGATGAGATGCTAGAATGACAACTCAAATCATTTTCCTGATTACCTGGGTACTATGTAAGTGAAAAGTATTAAATCTCCATGCTCTCTTTGCAGTCGTTACTTTGGTGCTAATTAAACTGTTTGGGCTGGAGTTGAACTGTTTATCAGAGACCAGTCCTCCTCTGTGAAACACAAAGATGGCTTGCTTTTTCTCCCATTTGTAGGCCAACTATCAAGAACACACTCGGCTCCTCTTCATTCAGATACGTTTCTCAGTTCCTCTGCAATTATGAAACCCAAGCACTTCCTTACAAAAGTTGTTGTTTCTCCCTGAGCACTTTAAAAAGTCATGAGATGAACTGTAATGGTACTACAGCCATTTTTCAGAAAATATTTGGTATTGTTGGTCTCAGAGAAAGAACATATGCTATCAACTGTCTAGCATTTTACAAAACAGGACAAATCAGAATACCAGAATCATCCTTACCCCGTGAAAACAAGATGTGATCCAATGTAAAAGAAAAATGAACTCTGAACTGAAGGAAACCTTCAGCACATTACACCAGGCTCCCAAGGTGGCTTACATGTGTCAAAAGTCAACATAGTTAAAACTGTGCATCCACTGTGTAAGAACTACTGCAAATATGAATCACATAAAAGAGAAGATGGATATGATAGCTGCTCACCTTGACTAGGTTAACGAGGATGTGGAAATCCCGTACTGCCATGTTCCAGTGTAGCAACTTCTCTAGCTGCACCTGTGAAGTAATAATTTGCACATAGGAGCAGCAAATTGTGGGTTACTGAGCTGCTTCCATTTTGAAAGTACAATCTATGATAGGAGCTTATTTCAGTCACTGTTATCTAGTTTATACATTCTAGTGTGGTACTCAATCATGGAGCTAAGTGGGTGAGTTTGGGCCAGTCACAGACTCTCAGTCCAACCTACCTCACAGGGTTGCTGTTGTGAGGATAACATTGAGAGGAGGAAGAGAAGTAAGCTACTTGAACTCCTTAGAAGGAAAAAAGGAATATTTATATTCTAAATATAGTAACAATATTGTAAAAACATTCAACCCCCAATTAGGCCAATTGGAGATGGTTATGTGATGTCCAAACTTAGACACTGTAGGATAATTGTAGGTTAAATAATCCAGACTTAACCTACAATGAGAAATTAGATGCGGTTTACTGCAAAGTATGCACACACAATTGCCCTGTGGGGTTATACAAATTATAATTATGTAAATACACAGTGTTGGAGCCAGACTTTTAAAGCACTCCAATTAATGGGACTTAATTTAATCCCATTGATTTCAATAATTCTACACAAACCATGACAAAAAATGGGTCCAACCCAGTATTTATGTATATTTGTGGAAAATGAAAACTTGATTCTGAAGCTTACTGGATTTTTTGTACAATTCATGACAGTGAATGCTTTTCACTCTGATCCCATTAAAGTCAAAAACAGCAGTCTCCAATGTTCTTAACAATTCACAGTTCATTTTTTAAAAGCAGATAGAAAAAGTAAAAAAAGGTAAAGGTTTCCCCTTGACAAGGGTGCTCATCTCCGTTTCCTAGCCGAGGGAGCCAGCGTTTGTCCGCAGACAGTCTCCGTGGTCATGTGGCCGGCATGACTAAACACCGAAGTGCACGGAATGCTGTTACCTGCCCACCGAAGTGGTACCTTTTTATCTACTTGCATTTGCATGCTTTTGAACTGCAAGGTTGGCAGGAGCTGGGACGGAGCAACGGGAACTCATCCCGTTGTGCAGATTCAAACCAGCGACCTTTCGATCTACCAGCCCAGCAGCACAGCAGTTTAAACCACTGCACCACCTGTACCTGAGTTTAAATGGCAAATTACACATACACTTATTTGCTACATACAGAACACTAAAAATGAGGGCACACAATTTGTTATATGATCAGGCGTAAGTGAGCTTTGACTTACAGGTATCTTCCTCCCTTCTGCACTATTGTTGTGGCCATGAGGATGGGATTGGAAGCTTTTGTTTGACAGTTGGACACTGGGATTTGGATGTAAACTGTGCTTAGACTTCACTATTGTTTATAAATAAGTCAGCATCATAAATCAAGGATTGAATCTGACTTTTTCACTAAACTATACCAAAGATTAACCAGTTTGGGTTTGGAATAAAACTAAACTGTGGTGAGTTAGAAACAGAACTGAAAGCTTGTGCTCTTCTCAGAGCAATGCCAAAGGAAGAGAGAGAGAACAGTGAGTTTGTTCAAAACTTTCCTAAACTGTAGTTCTCTTAAGTTATAAGTTAGGGAAGTAGCTCTCAGTTATGAAACATTTACAGGACTGGATTTCCCTATAGTAAATACACAGATGGTGGCTTGATCCTTTCTCAATAGCTATTTTTGTGTTCTTGTATTTAAGTTATTTTTAAATTTTATTTTTAAAATTTAAAACTGTACCAATAGTCCTATATGGGATTCTGTGTGTGTGTGCCTGCATGTGAGCCATTCCTTGTTGATGATGCTACATCTATATCTCATTCTTCAAAATACAGGTATTTTATTTCCTAAAGTTTATGAATCAGATCCAAGGTTCAGAAATGAAGCACGTAATGCGGATGACCATGCTTTCCCTGAGCTGTGGTATTTTCATGCTTTTTCTCAGTATACGGATTGCTTACTAGAAACCTCAGATATGTTCTGCAAACTTACCTCACTGGAATCTGATGGCGTCCCAGCAGAAATGCTTCTCACCAAACTCTCTAACTGAGCCATCATCACTCGAAAGAAAATGGGAAAAGTTTGCCTGGTGAAAAAGAAAGGTGAAAGGTTGTGAGCCGCCCCGAGGCTTTGTTGCGATGGGGGCTGCATAGAAATGTTCTAAATAAATAAATAAATAAATAAATAAATAGAACCCAATGTGACTTAGTTTCTGGAGAATGGGTCAATAGATAAAGTTCTCAAGATGGCAGCAGTAGCTTTTCAAATGGGGATGTGAGAGGTTATGAGAGTCTAGGGGCATATGCAGGCTCTTTTGGTCTTATCCATGGTGATTATTTGGGATTAAAGCAATTTGATTTAGGATTACAACATTTAGGGGGGGCATGATGAACTAAGCACTACCAAGCCGTTGAGTTACTTGACTCATCAGTATATGTCTCAACATGTCTCCGGCCCGACCCATGAACGTGGACACACTCTGGATCTGGTTTTCTCGATGGGGCAGGAAGAGGGTGACCTGAGGGTGAGGAATTTATGTTTGACTCCCCTGTCGTGGTCAGATCACTTCCTGGTGAGGTTTGTGCTTGAGAGCGGCCTCTCCCTCTGTAAAGGTGTGGATCCGATTGTTTGGGTCCGCCCCCGGAGCCGGATGGATCCAGATGGATTCCTGAAAGCCCTGGGGGAGTTTCCGGCTGACAAGACTGGTGCTCCTGTCGAGGCTCTGGTCGAACTGTGGAACGGGGAGATGACCAGGGCTGTGGACATGATCGTTCCTAAGCGTCCTCTCCCACCGGGCAGAGCCCGCTCTTCCCCTTGGTATACACCTGAATTGCGGGCGATGAAGCAGGTTGGGAGACGGCTAGAGCATAGGTGGAGGAAATCACGGGATGAATCTGACCGAACACATTTGAGAGCCCACTATCGGGCCTAGGCTGTGGTGGTGAAGGTGGCGAAAAAGAAGTTTTTTTCCGCTTCCATTGCCTCCTCACAATGCTGTCCGGCAGAGCTTTTTCGAGTGGTGCAAGGCCTGGTTCGCCCGGGTCCTAAGGAAGATCCGGTTCCACCCTCAAAGGCCCGCTGTGACGACTTTGCCAGGCATTTCAGGGAGAAAATCGCTCAGATTCATCACGAGCTGGACACCACTAATGAATCAGAGGTTTCTGGGGAGACGCCAATGCTGCCGTCTGGTCCAGAATTATTGGATGAATTTCAGTTATTGCGGCCCAATGATGTGGACAAGGTGCTTGGACGAGTATGTCCCACCACTTGCCTATTGGACCTTTGCCCGTCTTGGTTAATAAATAATTCCAAGCACGGGATTGGGACCTGGATCTTGGAGGTGGTTAACACTTCTCTGAGGGAGGGTCGGGTGCCTGCCCCTTTAAAGGAGGCGGTAGTCCGACCGGTCCTGAAGAAAGCGTCACTGGATCCAGAGATGGCCACTAACTACAGACCTGTGGCCAACATCCCGTTTCTGGGCAAGGTGTTAGAGCGCGTGGTGGTAGGACAACTCCAAGCACTCTTGGATGAAACTGATTATCTGGACCCATTTCAGTCCGGCTTCAGACCCGGGTACAGTACTGAATCTGCCTTGGTCGCCCTGTACGATGACCTGTGCAGGGAAAAGGACAGCGGGAGTGCATCCCTGTTGGTTCTTCTGGACCTCTCAGCGGCTTTCGATACCATCGACCATGGTATCCTTCTGGATAGGCTATCGGGATTGGGGGTCGGAGGCGCTGCTTTGCAGTGGTTCCGCTCCTATCTCAACGGCCGATTCCAGAAGGTAGTGCTGGGGGACTATGGCTCTGCGCCATGGCAGCTATGCCATGGAGTACCACAGGGCTCCATTTTGTCCCCTCTGCTATTTAACATCTATATGAAACCGCTGGGAGAGGACATCAGGAGGTGTGGGCTGTGGAATCATCAGTACGCTGATGATACCCAGCTCTACCTCTCGTTTTCCACTAATCCAGGTGAGGCAGTGGCTGTGCTGAACCAGTGCTTGGCCGAGGTAATGGGCTGGATGAGAGCCAATAAACTGAAGCTCAATCCAGACAAGACGGAGGTCCTGTTGTTTGGCGGATTGGGCTTCGGAGAGGGTGGATTTGACCTGGTCCTGAATGGGGTTGCACTCCCTCTTAGGGATAAGGTCCGCAGCTTAGGAGTACTCCTCGACCGAGAGCTTTCATTGGAAGCTCAGGTGACAGCGGTGGCGAGGAGCACTTTCCTTCAGCTTCGGCTGATTAATCAGCTGCGCCCCTACCTGGAGTACGACTGCCTGGCGACGGTGACACATGTGCTGGTGACTTCCCGCCTTGACTTTTGTAACGAGCTTTACGTGGGGCTTCCCTTGAAGACGGTCCGGATACTTCAACTGGTTCAAAATAGAGCTGCCAGGTTGCTGACGGGGACGGGGCGTTATGTTCACATGACTCCAGTCCTCCGTCAGCTTCACTGGCTTCCCATTGAAGTCCAGGCCCAATTCAAGATGTTGGTTATGACCTATAAAGCCCTAAACGGCTTGGGTCCTGGTTACCTGAAGGAGCGCTTACATCCATATATGCCCGACTGCCCCTTGAGATCTGCGGGAGGCCCTTCTCCGGGAACCCTCCGTGAAAGAAATTAGGAGGGTAGGTCCTCGGAGGAGGGCTTTCTCTGTGGTGGCGCCCAATCTATGGAATGCGCTCCCCAGAGAGGTCCGCCTGGCACTGTCGCTATTTGTTTTTCGGTGCCAGGTGAAGACCTTTTTATTTAAATGTCATTTTAATTGGTAACAATATTTGCTTATTTACCTGGCCAGGGCGACTTCTTTTATAACTTTTATATTTTTTATTTATTTTATATTGTTAATTTTAATTTTATATTGTTATTTTTGTATTTTATTGTATTTTATTGTGTTGTAAGCCGCCCCGAGGCTTCGGCAAGGGGCGGCATAGAAATGTTCTAATAAATAAAAATAAAAAAAAGTTTCAGCTAGCTATTGAGATCTTTCCAGAATAAAGCCATATTGCTGGTTATTGTTGTTAGTCATGAAGTCGTGTCCAACCCATCATGGCCCCATGGACAACATTCCTCCAGGCCTTCCTGTCCTCCACCATCCCCTGGAGTCCACTTAAGCTCACACCAACTGCTTCAGTGACTCCATCTAGCCACCTCATCCTCTGCCATCCCCTTCTTCTTTTGCTGTCAATTTTTCCCAGCATTAGGCTCTTCTCCAGGGAGTCCTTCCTTCTCATGAGGTGGCCAAAGTATTTGAGTTTCATCTTCAGTATCTGTCCTTTTAAAGAGCAGTCAGGGTTGATCTCTAGGACTGACTGGTTTGATCACCTTGCAGTCCAAGGGAGTCGCAGGAGTCTCCTCCAGCACCACAATTCAAAGGCTTCAGTTCTTCGGCACTCAGTCTTCCTTAAGGATATTGCTGGTATTCAATACCAAATCTGGTGGTTTTATTTTTTACATTTTTTTCACTTATTACAATGTCCAAGTTTGCAACCCTAATTGCTACAGAGAAATTGTTCAATTTATGAGGTCAATGCAAGCACAATATTAATGCTGGAGATAATGCCCTGTGGCCTGGGCTTCTGCCCCCTACCAAGTTGCCTATCATTCTGCCAAATACCTTCATGCTCCAACCCAGTGGGTCCTCCCCTGCCACTGAATAAGTATGCTGAATTCTGCAAAGATATAAACAATGTATCCTTAACTACCTTGAAAGCTACTTACAGAATTTTACTTGGAACAGAAACTGGGCTTCTGCAGCACAGAACTGTGACCTGGGGGAAGGGAAAGCAAAGTATAATCCTAATTGTAATTATATCCACTGATATAATTTATTTTATTACCTGGTCAGTGTAGGGTAAGTGGAAGAACATCCATCTTTAGAAGAACGAATCAGCTCTGGAATTGCTGTGGTAGAAATATCTTCTATAGCTTTCAATATATTATCTGTATGCTCCATATAGATGCTGCATGGAATTATGGTTCACAAACGTTAGAATTCTGTATGGCAACAAGAAGGCCATTTTAAGGTTACATTAGATTTGGCTTGATATTTTGGCAAAGCATAAAAGGTAATTGGTTTTCTTCTCACTCTTGTTTGCAATCATAAATACAAAAGCAGTAGTTCAGTTACAATTTCAGCTCTATTAACAACCATGAATCTATTCAATTCAATTTTCTCCTTTTCCTTGTGGGACCTCCCACATTTCTTATACTGTTTGTTCAGGATGAAGCATGAGAAAAGAGGACAATACCACAGATTTGAACTATGGCATTACACTGGCTTCAGGAATTCAAATTTATGTTTGATTCTCACATTTCAGTTAGAAAAAGTATTGCTTTAATCAGCATTGGGATCTGAAATAAAAGCCATTCATCTGTTTATAAAGCAAAGAAGACTGATAGTGAAAGAAAATGAAGTTTAACAAATATGAGACTACCAAATAATGAGGCATCTCTCTTTTCCCCCTCCTATTTGAGAAGAAGGGTAAGGAAATAAGATGGCAGAAAGATGCTGTAAAATACAGGAACTTCAGGTCTGAAACCATCTCAGTAGCTGGTGATGATCAATTTTCAATTGGCTTACCTTCAAATGAAATGAATTGGCAGCTTTACAGTAGCCTTTTGTGGGAGTGGGGATGACTTGAAAAGAAGATAAGTACAAGCCCATCCTTACCAGAACAAAGTGTGAAGGGCATCATTGAACTGGGTGCCCTTTGGACGTGTTCCACTGGGTTGCACCCAAGACTGGCAGAGGAAATGTTTTGTAACAGAAGCTGTCAAAGAACCAAGAAGGAATGAAGACATGTTTTTCCCATTATGTAGGGCACACAACTGTCCAGTATTGGTTTAAATGTCTAAACAGATTACATATTCCAAATGCAATGTGATTTCCTGTCGCCTTTCAATTTAGATTCCTTGAATTCTGTTGGGGCCCTCAAATGCATGAGATATTTGGCCAACAGCAGTTGCAGACTAACCATCCTATAACTACCTTGATTCACTGGAACGCCAGTGTGGTGCAGTGGTTAAGAGCATGGGACTGGGACTCAGACAACCTGAGTTCTTGTCCCCACTCAGCCATGGAGCCCACTGGGTGACTTTGGGCCAGTCACAGACCCTCAGCCCAACCTACCCCACAGGGTTGTTGTTGTGGGGATAAGATGGAGGAGATGTAAGCTGCCTTGAGCCCTTTGTAGGAAAAAGGCAGGATATAAATCGATAAATAAATAAATATAAATCGAAAAATAAATAAATAAATTCAAAGTCAAGTTGTGACCCACATTTTGGGAATGCCTGAGTTTTGCTTAATTTCAGAGAACATCCAGAGAGACATGCAAAACTCTGTGCACCCTCTACTGGAATCCTCAGCTTCACAGGTTGAAGAGCACCTCCCATAAACTAAATCTTCTGACATTCTATTTCCCGAAAGCATGGCTTGCCTTCTTCAATGATTTGTTGATAGTGATGCTAGACACTCTCAAAACTGCAAAGAAAATTAAAGTGATGCAATACAAATAGAAATAATATTTATACACATTACCTATTTCATTGTTTTTCAGGTTGACCAAAGATTTTTCAGCAATGACAAGCAGAAGCTGTGTCAGACTCAATGCACAGTAAATATTGGGAACACTGTGCTGGAAGTTCAGCAAGTACTGGAAACTTTGACTGTAGAGTGTACAGGAAAGAAAAGGTGCATGCATGAGAACTAGCAGTTTGGCAGGCATAATAATTTTCAGTTTCTCCTGGCTAGCCTCATAGTCTGCTTCTGAATTGCTCCTTTTAATTTTAGCCCCTTTTGGAAAAGTAGGCAAAAGGAAAGGGCTTACAATTTTAGCTATCAGGTATTTTAACCTAAAGAAAAGTAACCATAAGGGGAAAAGGCCAAACAGCTGCTAAGAAATATAGTCTGATATCTTCTTTGAGTCCTACCTGAGTAGTTCCTCAAGAGGGAGCTCTCCCATCCCTGGCTTTAGTCTGTGTGCAAGAACACAGAGACCTGATTTCAGCAAGTTATGGTTTTCCTGTTGAGAAAATCCACTCCTGAGGGGGAGAAAAAAAGGCAGCAATCACCTTTTGGCAAAATGCCTATAAGTGCAGAAAGGGCAAAATGAGCATTCTGAAAGCTTCTGTGACTCTTGTGCGAAGAATGCTAGCAGAATCACATTAGAAGTGTTGGTTCTCATCTCTAAACTACAGGACCATAAACTTTTGTTGTATAGATGGAAAGTCCAGTGCGCTTACTTTGATGGATTTAAGGCTGGGTCACCAATCCATGGTCACTTCACATGACACCCTCCAGTTTCCCCACCCTTCCTGATTTTTAGTAGGTTTTTTTTTGTTTTTATGATGATGATGATTTTATGGCTGGGAGACGTGTGTGTTGCAAAGCAAGGCACTAGGCCCGAGTTATATCTTTAATCTCAGAAATGACTCCAGACATGCTCCCCAGAGGTGTTCTTAGAAAATAAAAAATGGATGTTGGAGTTCATCACTTCATCTATCAGCATGACCAGCTGAACTGAAAAACCAAAAAGGTGATGAGGAATCCTGGAACACAGCGCTAGAGGGGATGGCAGGGAGTGAGAGTGGCATTTTGCTTGTGTTGTGTGTTTCGATGGATTTGAGCTGAGAGGAGTATAGTGTGGTGCATTTTGGCTGGCTTGTTTACTTGCTTTGGTGTGGTGCAGTGTGTGTTTTGTGTGGGTGTATTTTTTGTGAAGTGTCATCAGTTTTCCTTCTGGAAACGGCTATTTAGGGGGTAAATGTGTGATTTGGCTTTTTGGGCCCAGACACCAGTTCCCCCATGTGTAGGGTTTCTTGGCAAAGTTACTTGTCTTCTAGGAGATGGCTGCCTAGACAGAAAGCTGTGGATTCTGAAGGATGCTTTTTATGTTTTGGGGCACATATCATACCTTGGCTATGTATTTATGGTTTTGGGGAAGTTATTTTTCTTTTAGCTTCCAAAGTTGCTTTTGGAAAATGGATGTTTTACGAATAGGCAAGCCCCGAACCTCAACTGACAGCATTTCTGTGAATAAGCAACCCCTCCCATGGCAGCTATTTTGTGTGTGCACCCACAGTACTCTTTCAAATGTGCCCACTGATGCAGAAATTTTGGGGCCTTAAGAACAGAAGGTGCATGAAATGCAGTTCTGTCACAAACACCTACCACAGCAGCCTAATGCTGAACTCATGCCCTGGGGATAGTTTGCAAGAAGGAAAAAAATAAACATTTAAATTATAAGCAGGGCCTTTTTTTTTTGTCATAGAACGCACCGGAACAGCGTTCCGGCACCATTTTTCGATGGATTTTTCCACATGATTTTGAATCGCCCTGTCGAGCGTAGCAAGTCAGTGGCAAAATCATTAAAATAGTGCATGCAGGCTGCTTGTGTATCCACGCTGGTTGCAATGGCGCTGCTCGGCTTGTGACTGGTCGTGTGGTCTCGCGCTGAGTGCTTACTGTGGGCAGTGACCATTGTTTCATTACACAGTGTTGGTGTGTGTAGAGTGACTGGCTACGTGTAAAAGGTAAATAATTTCTTTATTTTAAAAAAGTTGAATTGAAAATCTTTTTTTAATTTTCAGTGTAAAAGTGTGACCCCAAATTTAAAAATGAAAAAAAATTACTAATAACTTCTCAATCACCGGTCCTGCTAATAAAAGATTACCCTAAAAAAAACCCTAAATAAAAGATTAACAAGATGTGAGTTCCGGCACCATTTTTATTTTTTTTTACAAAATAAGCACTGATTATGAGAGTGTTGCTTTGCCCTCACCCGTAACTCCACACACTCACCAAACAAACAGAAGGTGGAAGACTTGTAATAACCGCTGGTAACAGGATGACATTAGCTGGTGTTCCTGAATGTTGACCCCTAGCCCATCCACCACACCATCGTTCTCTGCAGTCAGTGCCTTAAGCAAAGAACAAGTGATTAAGTAACAGCTGCTATGCGCTATAGCACAGCCTATGAAAACGAACACCCAAGATTTATAAAAAGAATATTGCATGCTGATGTAGATAAATACTATGTTTTCTAACCTGGAAGTAGTTGTGCATATTTTCCATGTGATTGCACAGTGGCTTTAAGAGGTCAACAGCACACTGAACAACTTCTTGAGATGATCTTTGGCAAAGATGTGAGAATCCAACATTTCTGTTTCCTTTTGCCTGCAGGAAATCCAAGGGTGTTTTTTTCAAATTGCTGAATAATTCAAAGTTATTTTTATGCTGCAGTCACACTTTAACATAGGCAAAAGGCATTTCAACAGTGGATGCTTAGCAAACATAAAAAATGTTTAAGACGTAGACTGGATACACTATAGGGCTGATGCCAATGGGAAGCCAAGCACATCAAAGGGTTGCTTTCTGAACAGCACCAACTTGGAAAAGTGTAATTTGGGCTGCCCCCTTTTCTTGTGTGCTCCAATTACCTTCCAGAACTTCTAGTTCCAATTCAGATGTGTTGGTAAACTATGCTTGGTTCAGCCTAGGAAAGCTGTGGAGGAAATCAGAATGCACAAGAGAAGGAGATACACAGAAGAGGAAGGGCATGAGTTTGGCATTACATATTCACTGAACTGTTTCAGGCTTGTTATTCATATAACTTTGAGCTGAATGTCAAAACCAGAGATGATGGGAATAAAAAGATCCTCCTTGATGTACTTGAATTCATCACTTGGCCTTGAAGTGGTAATCGAACTGGGATTAATGGACAAATGTAAGAGACAGAATTGTTGCTCTCACACACATCAACACATGCTTATGAGATCTTTTCAAAAAGATCATGAAATAAACCAGGAATGGGAGTGTTCCTGGTTGTTAAAGAAAAGCAAAAATGGTGCATGCATAGCTCAAAGAACCCAAGAATTGCCATCAGAATGTGCAAACTGGATCTATAACTAGTCATCCATCCAGTAGTGTGGGGCAATTAGAAATATCACATTCCCAGAACACCAAAACAATGCTATGGACTCCAATCTTCCTACCAAAAATGGTTCTACAAATTTGCTGTACTGGAAAGAGTATCTAGTAGTGTCCTCATTATCCATATCTCATTCACTTTAAGTTGCTTTTATTCACAATTATTCAATGTCCTGAATATGTTCCAATATCTGCAGAATGAGATGGGAGAAAGCTCCCATTTATTCAAATCAATGAATATCCAGGCAATTCAGACGCCATCAGGCTCCCCCAATTTACTGAAGACATTTGTGTTTTTTTCAAAGATAGCTGAGCCACAAACAACTTATAAACATTCTGTAAGTTAGAGAAATCAGAACCACAGAGGATAAAGGTTATGAAGTTGTACGTCATAGAAAAGGACTAAGATGCTTTACTTGGAGACATCCTGTACTTTTCATCTTAACACTGCCCCATGGATCCAAGCTTGCTACAGGCTTGAAAGTCCTTATCAGATCTGAGTACCACTGGAGTCTCCTGCTTCTTTCTACAAGCTCGGCAACTTGGTACTTAGAAACAGAATGCCTTGTTCCTTCTTTTGTACATACCTTGAAAGGAGGTGCTCTCTTTGCAGTGGCTGGCATCAATTTATGTTCCAACTTACGGCACAGATCTTCCAAAAGAAATAGGAGCTCAGCTGGCCCCATCTGCACTATTTCACGGGTCTAATATTTTAAAAGCAAAAAAACAAAAAGTCAGATACTAATCTACATAAAATGCAGTATTATAGGATCTTCAGACATTTAAACATAGTGACTAAAGTGCTTGTCCCAGGGACAGTGGAATGGAATGGGACCGCTCTTGCGTATTATTACCAGTAGGACCAGTTGACTAAAATGAGGGTGGTATCAGATATGCTGAAATTCATGGCATAGCAGTGAGCATTTACTGACTGTAAATGCAGAAGAAGCCAAACAGTCTTCCAAATAGACCTGCCAGCCAACAGTGCTAAGGACCCTGCATAAAGCATGTAGATCAAATCGAGAATTGAGGGTAAGTTTGAAACAGGGAAATGGGTGCACAAAAATGATACTCTTAAAAATTGTGGACATACCAGGAAGGTATGTTTAACAGTGAGGGGAACCCTGAATGATATGCACATGCATTGGACCTCCCCACTCTATAGATACGCTATGCCCAATCCTTTGAGTCAAGGCAGTTCCCTTCCTTCAGTTCTTAAAACGGAATGGCTGCAATTTAAGTACTGGTTTCGAATGTGGAAACTTATTGTTGGTGTGGCCTTTCCACAGCTCTTACTACTGGTTCTTCAGCTTGGGCTTAAAGATGGGGGTAAAGTCACTTGTTCAACTTCTATGTTGAAAAGCAAGGTGAGTTGCCATCCCGGCCTTCAGTGAGAGTACACTCTTGTTATGTGAGTGGAATGGAGAAGTGGTGAGCAAAGCAGTGATGAATGAACCTGCCAGGACCCCTGCCTAGAGCATCAGCCTAGGCATTGTATCAGACAAAGTGGCTGAATCTATCAGCTCAACAGAAGAGGAGGCAGATGTCAGAACCTTCACCTGGAGCATCAGCCAGGTCTCCAAAGCCAGCTTAGAGAGGCAGGCCTGATCCATCACTCCAATGACACAACCCCTCCTCTCAGGAACTGACCCTTCTAACCAGGGACATGCATCTGCAACCCCCACCCCCATGTCCCTATCAACACACTTGGAAGGATTTCTAAGTTTGTAACTTTGTCTAAGGGCCAGGTCCATACAGGCTAATAGAAATTCTTAGTAACAGTGTTTGGTCTTGTGCCCCCCCCCCCCTTTTTAAAGGGACACTACAGAGTTGACACTCAATGGGTAATTATGTAAATACATTCCTACTGATGAGCATTAGCTTAAGGAATTCCTTCCACATCAGAGATTAGCCTCCTGTTATTGCTGAATTCTCCAACTGTTAACCCTATTAGCTATGCATTAAAAGGAAACAAATTCTTCACCATCTCCACATGGTTCTTCACATCTGCTTGCCTTTGTGTGCATCTCTGTGTCCAGAATATGCTTGGTCAGCAGCCCACTGTGAAGGATGCTAAAAACCTCAAAGTCTAATTCACGGAAATATGCACTGTAACTCTGTAGCTGTATGGAAGGGACTCCTGCTTCTTTTTCTGGGGAGTCCTGAAAAAGAAAACAAGAACATAGTTAATAAAAGAACATAGGGTTGCCCCTGCACAAAGAGAGATTATAAAAGTGGCATTTGACATTAACTGCAGTTCAGTCCTGCCAGTCAAATGCAAAAGTAATACCATGTGTGGTTGGAATGGCATGGGCTGTATATGCAGACAGAACTTTCTGCAGATTTTCTTTGGACATTGTAGAAGCACTGCTAAATAGATATGGCAGTAACTGCACTTCATGTGGTAATAATTCTTTACTAATGAGTGCTGTTGTTCGAATAAAATGGACTTCATGGGAAAAAAACCCAAATGGTTTCATGGGATTTGTTGTTCCCATGGACAACTGGCTTCAGATTTTCAGCAAGGGTAACCTAATTTTTGGTATCAGTATCTATCTATCTATCTATCTATCTATCTAAAACATTTTTATGCTTCCCCCATCGCAACAAAGCCTCGGGGCGGCTCACAACAAAAACAAAATATACAAATATAACAATTATACAACAAAAATATTAAAACCCGGTGCATCTCGGCTTAAAAGATTTAAAATCCTATAAATACCAATAAATTAACAATTAAAATAAATTTTAAATAAAAAGGTCTTAGCCTGGTGCCAAAAAACAAATAATGACGGCGCCAGGCAGACCTCTCTGGGGAGCGCATTCTAAATTCCATGTCTTCATTTCCAATTTAACCTCATAATCTGAACCTTGCCTATACAGGTATACCTCATTTTTTGTGCTTCGCAGTTTTTGTGCTTCCTGGACACGACTCTATGTCGAGCATGGACATCTATCAGCACTATTTTTCCAACAGGGAAATGTTGTGTCTCTGTCTCACATTTTGGGAATGTAATTCTTGCAGATCTGTACTGTATTTCCAATGTTTTCATTGTTGTAATGTATACTGATTATCTGTTATCTTTGATCTTTGCAATTGTTTTGGGGTGTTTTGACTGATCCACTGACAGTGGTTCCTTTGTTTCTCTCCCTCTCCTTGGGCCTCCCTATTCCCTGAGGCACAATAATATGTATGCAAATTAGGCCAATTACTGTAATAGCCCTACAATGGCCCCTAAGTATTCAAATGATAGGAAGCTAGAAATGATTAAGCTTAGTGAGGAAGGCATGTTGAATACTGAGATAGCCCAAAAGCTAGACCTGCCAGACAGGCATCCAACAATATAATTGTAACTATATGCAACCTGAGTTATTGCTATATTCAACTTATTGCAATGGTCTGCACTGAACCCACAATATCTCCAAGGTATGCCTGCATACATTCAATAAAGATTTAAATTCTTATATGACTCACACAGATGAGACAATATTAAGATAAGGCTATTAGCATACAAGCTTATTTAATAAGGATTCAGACCATACTCTGTGAATTTCCATATTCTCTCTTATTGCAATAATGGAAAATTGCAAGGGTAAACTACAGCAAAGAAAGCAAACCACCCATATGGTTGCCCTACATATAATTCAAGAGTGCCAGAAAGCTATTTACTAAAACCTGAGCTCTTGTCTTATACTATATCATCTGTACCTAGTTCCTAAATCATGCATCTGAATGTTACCAGATTGAGAATAGGTTTTCCATTCAAGCCTATCAAACACTTTCTCAATATCATGTAAAAGAGCATATTAGAATAAGTGACTTTATGGCGTTAATAATTCTCTTGATATTATAAGAGAGTTTACAATGTCTAATAGAACCATTCTGATCAGTTAACGTATCAATAAGGATGCCATTCAACAGTGCTGGTTTTTGTATTGGCATATGCTTCTCGCTGATTGGATTTTCATAAAAGTAAATCATGTAAGAGCAGCACAGAGCTCAAACATCTAGAACAAGACCTGCAGCACTCCAAATGTACTGGGATTGACTTGAAGACATTCTAATGAGAAGTCAAGATGAACTGCTTGCAGTGTCCAGTACAGTTCTTGAAATTAACAGTATTAGATTAGTTTCCAGCCCTGTATTTTGTCAAGAAGCCCTGCAGTCTGTTAAGAGCCTCAATATATAAACAGGTGCCAGGCTCTATGCATTCCTCACCATATACCAGATCCCTTAGATAAGGATGATCTAGGACAGCAGAGTAATCTCTTCCCTCCCTTCTTCCCTTAGACAGTTTTGAGCACCTTACAGAGAAGGCAGAGAAGCCTCTATAAAATCCATAACATAACTGGATAGAATTGGCTTTCTGCCTAGAACCTGGAGTGTACAGAGTTGCCCATGCAACTCAGCACCCCAGGGGTGACATCCATCATACCAGAAAGCTCTGTGACCTAAAGGGATGTGAGTGTAAGCTGCCACAGAGTTTACTGATAATCTGTACCCATATCTTATCAATGTATTTGCAGTCAGTAAGGCATTTAATACCAATACAACAAACACAGGGGGGAATTTAGCCCCCCCCCCACAAGTCCTTGACATACCGCCTTTAGATTAGTATTTAGCTATAAATACGTCGGCTTTATTGGGAAACATTTTTATTTCTTCTTTTTTGCAATGCTACCCGTGGAAACTCCTTCATGGATCACTGCCTTGTCGTGGCGAAGGGGCTTGCGTAGCTCAAGGAAGCTATGAGCTATGCCGTGCAGGGTCACCCAAGATGGACAGGTCATAGCAGAGAGCTCTGACAAAACATGATCCACTGGAGAAAGAAATGGCAACCCACTCCACTATCTTTGCCATGAAAACCCCATGGACAGTACCAAAAGGCAAAAAGATATGACGCCGGAAGATGAGCCCCTCAGGTTGGAAGGTGTCCAATACGCTACTGGGGAAGAGCAGAGGGCTAGTACTAGTAGTGCCAGAAAGAATGAAGCGACTGGGTCAAAGCCGAAAGGACACTCAGTTGCTGATGTATCTGGTGCTGAAAGAAGAGTCCGATGCTGCAAAGATCTATACTCCATAGGAACCTGGACTGTAAGATCCATGAATCAAGACCAGCTGGATGTGGTCAAACAAGAGATGACAAGACTGAACATCGACATCTTAGGAATCAGTGAACTAAAATGGACAGGAATGGGTGAATTTAATTCAGATGACCATCAGGTATATTACTGCGGGCAAGAATCCCTCAGAAGAAATGGAGTAGCCTTCAGTCAATAAAAGAGTAGAAAAAGCAGTACTGGGATACAATCTCCAAAATGACAGAATGATCTCTGTTCGAATCCAAGGCAAACCATTCAACATCACAATAGTCCAAGTCTATGCCCCAACCACTGATGCCGAAGAGACTGAAGTTGACCAGTTCTATGAAGGCCTACAACACCTTCTAGAATTAACTCCAAAAAATGATGTCCTTATCATCCTGGGGGATTAGAATGCTAAAGTAGGAAGCCAAAAGATAACCGGAATAACAGGCATGTTTGGCCTTGGAGTACAAAATGAAGCAGGGAACAGGCTGGTAGAATTTTGTCAAGAGAATACGATGGTCATAGCAAACACTCTTTTCCAACAACCCAGGAGACAACTCTACACATGGACATCACCAGACGGTCAACACAGAAATCAGATTGACTATGTGCTCTGCAGCCAAAGATGGAGAAGCTCTATACAGTCAGTAAAAACTAGACCAGGAACTGACTGTGGCTCAGATCATGAGCTTCTGGTTGCAAAATTTAGGCTTAAGTTGAAGAAAATAGGGAAAAGCACTAGGCCACTCAGGTATGACCTGAATCATATCCCTGATGAATATACAGTAGAGGTGACAAATAGATTTAAGGAATTAGATCTGATAGACAGAGTGCCTGAAGAACTATGGACGGAGGCTCACAACATTGTACAAGAGGCAGAAAATAAAACCATCCCAAAGAAAAAGAAATGCAAGAAAGCAAAATGGCTGTCTGGGGAAGCTTTACAAATAGCTGAGAAAAGAATGGAAGCGAAAGGCAAGGGAGAAAGAGAAAGATACAAACAATTGAATGCAGAATTCCAGAGAATAGCTAGAAGAGATAAGAATGCCTTCTTAAATGAAAGTGCAAAGAAATAGAAGAAAACAATAGAAAAGGGAGGACCAGAGATCTCTTCAAGAAAATTGGAGATATGAAGGGAACGTTTCATGCAAAGATGGGCATGATAAAGGACCAAAATGGCAGGGACCTAACAGAGGCAGAAGAGATTAAGAAGAGATGGCAAGATTACACAGAAGAACTATACAAGAAAGAGTTTAAGGTCCCTGATAACCACAATGGGGTGGTCACTGACCTCGAGCCAGACATCCTGGAACGTGAAGTCAAGTGGGCCTTAGGAAGCCTGAGCAACAACAAAGCTAGTGGAGGCGACAGTATTCCAGCTGAGCTATTCAAAATCCTAAAAGACAATGCAGTGAAAGTGCTACACTCAATAAGCGAGCAAACTTGGAAAACTAAACAGTGGCCACAGGATTGGAAAAGGTCAGTTTACATTCTGATCCCAAAGAAGGGCAATGCCAAAGAATGTTCACACTACCGCACCATTGCACTCATTTCACATGCTAGCAAAGTGATGCTCAAAATCCTACAAGCTAGGCTCCAGCAGTATGTGGACCGAGAACTACCAGAAGTACAGGCAGGATTTTGAAGAGGGAGAGGAACTAGAGATCAAATTGCCAACATACGCTGGATCATGGAGAAAGCTAGGGAGTTCCAGAAAAGCATCTACTTCTGCTTCATTGACTATGCTAAAGCCTTTGATTGTGTGGATCACAACAAATTGTGGCAAATTCTTAAAGAGATGGGAGTACCAGACCATCTTATTTGTCTCTTGAGAAACCTATATGCGGGTCAAGAAGCAACAGTGAGAACTGGACATGGAACCACTGATTGGTTCAAAATTGAGAAAGGAGTTCGGCAAGGCTGTATACTGTCGCCCTGCCTATTTAACTTATATGCAGAGCACATCATGAGAAAGGCCAGGCTAGATGAATCACCAGTTGGAATTAAGATTGCTGGAAGAAATATCAACAACCTCAGATATGCAGATGATACCACTCTCATGGCAGAAAGTGAAGAGGAACTAAAGAGCCTCTTGATGCGGGTGAAAGAGGAGAGTGCAAAAGTTGGCTTGAAACTCAACATTAAGAAAACTAAGGTCATGGCATCCGATCCTATCACTTCCTGGCAAATAGATGGGGAAGAAATGGAGGTAGTGACAGATTTTATTTTCCTGGGCTCCAAGATCACCGCAGATGGGGACTGCAGCCAAGAAATTAAAAGACGCTTGCTCCTGGGGAGGAAAGCTATGGCAAATCTAGACAGCATACTAAAAAGCAGAGACATCACCCTGCCAACAAAAGTGCATATTTTAAATGTTAATATTATTGAATTTTATTTGGCCAGGGCGGCTTGTTTTATAGTGTATGTTTTATATTATATATTTGTATTTTATAGTATATATTTTAAAATGTTATTTTAATTTTTTGTTGTAAGCCGCCCCGAGGCTTCGGCGAATGGGGCGGCATAAAAATGTTTTAATAAATAAATAAATAAATAAATAAAGTCAAGGCTATGCTTTTCCCAGTTGCAATGTATGGCTATGAAAGTTGGACCATAAGGAAGGCTGAGCACAAAAGGATTGAAGCCTTTGAATTGTAGTGCTGGAGGAAACTCCTGCAAGTACCTTGTACCGCAAGGCGATCAAACCGGTCAGTCCTAGAGGAGATCAACCCTGACTGCTCTTTAGAAGGCCAGATACTGAAGATGAAACTCAAATACTTTGGCCACCTAATGAGAAGGAAGGACTCCCTGGAGAAGAGTCTAATGCTGGGAACAATAGATGGCAAAAGAAGACGGGGACGGCAGAGGATGAGGTGGCCAGATGGAGTCACTGAGGCAGCTGGTGTGAGCTTAGGTGGACTCTGGGAGATGATGGAGGACAGGAAGGCCTGGAGGAGTGTTGTCCATGGGGTCGCAATGGGTCGGACACGACTTCAAGAGTAACAACAACAACAACAACCTGTGGAAAAAGCTGTATTCGTTGCTAATTGATACAAAGGAAAAAGAAAAAGCCCTTTGGATGAAGGAGGAAAGGAATTCCCCCCCCCCCACAGAGTTTAAAAGCGGTGAATTAAATGAGAAGAGAGAGACAGAGCTCTTTGTAAGTAAGGAAAAGACTTTTCTTTTTTACTCTCCAAGGGCGAAGAATCAAAATAATAATTACTGTGGAATCAAATGATAGAAGGATCTTTCTTGTATGATGGATTTTTGCCAAAATTAACTGGTTATCTGCCAGAAACTTAAATACTGAGTGGTGTTTTTCTTTCTACTGTGATGATTTTTTGGGCCGAAGAATTAAAATAAATAATTACTGTCGAACTGAAGGATTTTTCGTGTATGTTGGACTATTGCCAAGAACTGATAGAAGGACATAATTTGCTTCTAGAAGTGGCCGTTTTAATTTTTGCTCCTGGGACCTCTGCCAAAATATCTGGACATTTGCCAAGCCTTTGTTCTTGAGTTAATTGCTATTAGTATGGAAGAATTACAGAAGACACTCGTGGCAATACAGACTTCTTTAACAGCTTTGCAATTATCCCAACAGGCGATATTAATACAGCAGGAGACTATTTTAATCAAACAACTTGATTGTTTTTTAATTGAACAAAAAGGTCGCTTTGACAAATTAGACATTTCCATTACTAAGGCTTTGGGCAAGCGATTTGTACTTGAGCACAATATACAAAATACCCAACAAGCAGAAGGAAAATCTGAAACAGGAAAGACAATAAGCAAGCTAGCATGGGATTGGCTTGTAAATAAGCAATAAACAGATGGAAAATTCGAAATGGAAAAATTAACACAATCAGTGAACCCAATAAGCAAGCTTCCACGGGATTTGCTCGTCATGTTGGAGAAGCAGAAGATAGTTAACCATTTAAGAGAAGCTATGCTTATGTGGCTACAATTGAAGACACATAGGCACTACAATGTTTTAATATAAAGAAAGAAGAAAGGTTCAGTAGAGGTGTAAAGAAAAAGAAAAAATAGATATGGCAGAGGTGTAAAGAAAAAATAAGAGAATTTTTCTTTTTACTTCAAAAAGGGATAATTCATATAGGTTGGTATGTTCATATGTGACATAGAAAGGCTAAGTTATTATTGCTGGTGAAACATTAGCAACTTAGCTTAATGAAATCCTGTTTAAAAGGTATTATAGGTATCAGTTGCCACCAAATAGATTAGTTAAGATGTCTTTGAAGATGTTAAATGGATGTTTCTGACTTTATTTGTAACTGAAAATAAGAGAATTTATTATCTTGAAAACCTGTTTAAAAGATATTATAGGTATTAATTATCACCAAACAGAGTAGCTAAGATGCCTTTAGAGATAATAAATGGATGTTTTTGATGCTATTTGTAACTGTAGAGAATTTTTTCTTTTTATTTCAAAAAGGGATGATTTAAATAGGTTGGTATGTTCACATGTGATATAGAAAGGCTAAGCTAGTATGGCTGGTGAAACATTAGCAATTTAGCTTAATGAAATCTTGTTTAAAAGGTATTATAGGTATTAGTTGCTACCAAATAGATTAGCTAAGACATCTTTAAAGATGCTAAATGGCTGTCTCTATTTGTAACTGAAAATAAGAGAACTTATCATCTTATAAAGCAACGACTTAAATGGGTTGGCAGGTTTATATGTGATATGGGAAGATTAAGCTACTGTTGCTGGTGATATAAGGGATGGATATAATTGAGGTATGTTAAAGAATGTAAACAGTTGGGCTTTTGTATGGAATTAATTGTATTTGACTAAATGATGTTTAAGCTAGATAAAACATTAGTAATTTAGCTTAAAGGAAATTTGTTTAAAAGATATTATAGGTATTAGTTATCACCAAACAGAGTAGCTAAGATGCCTTTAGAGATGTTAAATGAATGTTTTTAATGCTATTTGTAACTGTGGTAGTGAGGAAGTTATCTGTCTACCATTAGAAAATGAAAAGATTTTGAATTGTCTAGAAATGTTTAGATTGAACTTATCATGGAAGAAGAAAGAAGATATTGCATTTTTACTCAACTTGGAGATGCTTCCCCTTAACAGTGGTCAAGAGAAACAGGACCTTGTAAGAAGTGAAGGGATTGATTTTACTGATGAAGGAGAAGGAAGATAGTGACTTCTATCAAATTTGGAATTACTTTTTTTTCATTGGCTGGAGAAACGGGACTTGGTTTTGATCTAAAGATGTTTTCAAGTTATTATAAACAGATCTGAGTATGTTCATAGAATGTTAAAAAATATGTAGTAGGGGGTTGACCCAGTAAGTCTGATGCGTGTGATAATTGATGTTTGTAGTATTAGTTTAAAATTTTAATAAAATTTCTTTAAAAAAACCCAGTGCAACAAGTGGTTTGCTTCTTCCTGAAATCTAAAGCAGGGTTCCTTCATTGAACCAGGCCCCAGGGTTCAATGCCTCAAACTTCTCTAAAGAACATAGGATAGACAGTACCTTTTCTGGTTGACAGGTGTCTGCTTCAGACTGATTTACTTCTGTGTTCTCATCCAGCTGAGAATTGCCTGAAGAGCTATTTTTGCTGCTATCAGATTTTTGTGGCTTTTGTCCTAAAAAGAAGAGTGTGTTTCACAAGTAGATACTAAGACAACTTTACAGTGTATAGTGCATGAGTAGAGGGATACATCTTTTGTCCTAAAGTTTCTGTAAAATACAGCAAAATAGCTATACGGCATAGAAATGTTATTATAATAATAATAATAATAATAATAATAATAATAATAATAATAATACTGAATATGAACTGACGGTATGAAATGTGTTCCAATCTCTCTTCTCAATAAAGGATTATAAGTTTATTGTAATTAGAAGTTTGCAATTTATCTTTTTTTACATTAGAAGTGACTATAAGACACATCTTTTTCACCCAGCTTTAGGTTTTTACTGAAGGACACTGCATTTTGTTCATAGTTTTATACTGTAGTTCTTACGCATACACTGTTTTATTTGCCTTATGGTAAGCCCTTCAAATGTGAAAACACAGTCTACAAATACTTTAAATACAATTAACTTGTCTGGCCATTAAAATTATACAATAATTATTATACTTAAGAGCTAGAATGCCAACAGGGATAAAGGGGTCAACCAGGGAAATGTAGCTTTAAATCCCCATCAGCTATGAAACACACCAGTTTACCCTGAGCCTGCTTCTCAGCCTAACCTCCTTTACAGGTGTTGTTGAAAGAAAAAAAAAAGACAACTCTCCCTTCCTTCAAAACAATGTCATTTCATTTTGGAAAATCATTGTTCTTATTTAGTGGAAAGTGACATGAAAAATTAGAAGAGCTGCATTCACAGGAACCTGAGAGGAAAGGAACATAGGAAATATATAGTGATATAAGTGATGTGCAAGAAACTTCTGTTGTTTAACACAACAAAAAGAGATCAGTTGCAAGGAGTTTAATTTCTGATATACCCAATTAAAAGTCCTCTGCCTGAGAAAGACACTGCCTGTCAGAACATGTAGCACCAGGTTAGGTGGATCAATGATCTGACTCAATAGCTTCACGTGTTGATTTGTATTTAGGCTAGCTTAGGTCCACTGACTTCAGTGCCTCTACACTGACTTTGCTGTAAGAACAACATTTAACAAACTGTTACCTTTGTTCTTCTTTTTGGTGGCACCATTACTGATAATAGGTACTCCTTCCAAGGTGTCAAAATCAAAATTAGCAGGAGAAGGAACATACCCAGGACTTGCTGTAAAACCAAAGTGCAAGCAATTCAATTGATTAGAATAAAGCGAGTCCCATATATCACTAAATGCATACACAAATTGCAGTTCCATGTGGGAATTAATGTAGCTTTCATGTAGATCATGTGTAATAATGATGCAGTGCAGCAAGTCAGAGTAAGCCACAGCTCTGTAGCACATCCGCTTGCAACATGCTAGACACGGGCAGGATCACACACTTTGGCATATACATATTTAACATGCTAACTCCTACATTTACTTTCCATATAAAAAAGTTGTAAAATGTGAGGAAGACCTAAGGAAACTGGCACAACAGCTAAAAGTATGTCTTTTGGAAAACAATCTAACAAGCCCTACTTATCTCCTCCCATTTTTTCATTAGAGCTGTAAGGTCTCTGATCTCCATAGAATCTCAAACTGCCTGGTCCTCCACACACCACAGCAATACTACGCTTCTGGCTATTCTCCATTAGAAACTCATTCCACCAGAACTGTTCATGAAAACAAGTTCTTCACACAACTGGAACTGCAACAGGGCATCTGTGTAGAAATCTGATGCTTTTTATTGAAGCTCAAGTCAGAACCCATCTCCATAGTGATTCACAGCAGTTCTCAGACTAATGCAAGAGAATCCTCTTCCCTAGGCAAAGGAGGCGTCTGTTGATATATGGAGGTTTTTGACCAAGTTGATTATCATTTAGTGGGGATATCACTGGTATCAGAGAGTGTTGCCTACCCTTCAACCTCCTTTCCTAAATTACTTGTGAGATCTGCATACTCTTTGTGCTCGGCATGCCTGTTTTACAATCTAGCTACAGATGGATTGATAGTTCACAATGAGTTGTAAGATCTTTTCATTCGGGATGGAGCATGCAGAGCAGGTACAATATAATTTTAATTAGATGTAGTGCACAGTGTTTCATAGCATGTACGTTATTTTATTGGTTTCAAGGAGTGATACTGAAATAACATGCTATATTTGTGGAACAACCCGTGGCATCTTTCCCCTATATATTTCCTTTCTTCTTTTCTAATGTACTTTGTGAAAATAAATAAAATTGGGAAAAAAATGAGTAGAGCACAACTATGGAAGCTGCCTGGGTTCCTTGCAAGAGGGAACAAGATGGGTATAAATATACTGTAATAATAATTCCCTAAATTATTTTGGTTATCGCCACACATTGTGGTAGTGAACTCAATAGATTAATTTTGAGCTAACAGAAATACTTCCTTTTATCAGTCCTGAATCTTCACCAATTAACTGCATGGGATGACTCCAGGTCCTAATATTATGAAAGAAAAAGAAAAATGTCTCCCTAACCAACTTCTCCCTATCATGCAAATTTTGTATAGGTCTATCATGTCTCTAAGCAATTGAAGACCAAATGATCTGAGGCAGGAATGTAGTGATGGACAGCCTGCAGGTCAGGCGCAAGGTAGGCCAATTTGTGCTGTTCCTCCATTAGCATGAGAAATGCAGTCTGGACCTATAAACCGCTAACCTGCATCATATGGTTTCGGCTGAACTGAAGAGCTGCAGTTTCTGCCAAGGCAACCATTTAGGAGCACTGCAGCATAACAGAGATGAGTAACATGAGTAACAAGAGCTGCCCCAGTAGCACAGGAGTAAGGCATCTAGACTCTGTTGTCTCCCGATTAAAGAAACTTCTTGCAGATAGTGGATGTAATCTTTCCCCACAACCCCATTTATACCTGCATATTTTGTGCATGCTTACCTCCTAGGCATTTTTCCAGTAGAGCCTGTAACTCTGTAATGTTCTGTAACCGAACCAAAACTCTTCCTTTTATCTCAGGTTCTTTTTCTCGGCAGAAAGCATTCACAACCTTGAGCAGCAAATTACATTTAGTAAGACCTAAACAGGGCCTTCTGCTACTTTTGCAACCTCTGCTAAATCAGAATGGCTGTTAAGTCCTATCTACAAATCTGTTGGAATTTTTCGTAAACTTCCAGAGCAGACTGTTGAGTTTTCTCAGTATACTATTACTACATGCTTTTGCTCAGTCCTAAACATGGCTGCTGTTGAAAATTAGCTGCTGACCTGCATCAATGCAAATTCTGTCCTCCAGCTTCAGAACCTGCAGCCTTAATGATGCAGGTGCATTTTTCTAAATTGTTGCATAATGCTGCCACATGGGATAGTGTTCTGCCCCAGTTACACTGGAACGGAAGCTTCAAGAATGCTCAAAACATTGTTGTCAACTACTAGAAGGCAAAAACAATCTCCCCACTCCCAAAAAACATTCACACACAAATAAAATTAATATTTCCTTTGGTATGCTACTTTTTCCATGTTATATATGTTACTTATTCAAACATTGTTACATGTGTTGGGAAAGGAGTGTAGGATGGCAAAAAATTTTATACACATACAGGCCACCTGCTTCAGCTCCTCTGTGGAAAAAAGCGAATAATCTCTTTTGCAGGAAAATGTGCTGCTTTTAGGCATCCTGGAATTCCCCCTTATGAGAAAGAATTTCATTGTGCTTTAGAGGAGATGGTACTTTCTATATCACAGATAGACATCTGGACGGGGTTTGTATGACACAAAGTGCACCATGGACTGATACCCACAACAGGTCATTGTGTTATGCAAACCCAAACTAATTCCTGCAGAATGGCTTGTTTGAGGGCAACAAACCACCCTGACATCTCATGGACCACTGTACTCTCAATGGATTGTCATGTCACCCAAACCCTATTGTGGGTGCTGGGAGTTGGCTACAGAGTAGCTTAGCAAGAATGGAAGAAACACCTTGTTGCTATTGCCATTATATATGTGGTTTACATGTCCTAGACCAGGGGTGGCAAACCTATGGCACCCGTGCCACAGTGGGCACGCATAGCCCTCTCTGTTGGCACGTGAGCCAAGTCACCCCAGCATCACCCCAGCAGCAGAGCATTGGATAGCAGTGCACGCAGGGGCCATGCGTATACTCGGAAAGGAGTAGTGGTGCCAGGCAATGGCATCACGAGCCACAACTCATTAGCCACGATTCGTCCGAGCTTTCTCATGGCTGGTCAGTGCACTGCCAAGGATATACTGTATATATATTTGCTTGGACTGGCTGTGAGTTTTTTTTCTAAACTAAAACCTCAGTTTTCAGGTTTTATTGCAGTGTTGGCACTTTGCGATAAATAAGTGGGTTTTGAGTTGCAGTTTGGGCACTCGGTCTCTAAAAGTTTCGCCATCACTGTCCTAGACAAAAACCACCCACTGCTGTCAAAATTCCCTTTTAAAGGGGACCCAGAATTTTGACAGTTAGCTAACTGACAAAAGTTCTCTTCCCCAGAAAGGTGGTAAGATGGACTTTCACAATTTTCCAAGCAGATAGAGTCTCAAAGTCTCAAGAAAAACTGTCAGGGAAAGGGAAAAAAGATGCACCACACATTTTTATGAACAAATAACACTTGCACCTTTTCTTTCCTTTCACAGCTACCTTTTGACCACTGTCAAGAGAATGCAAACAGAGAAGCCATATTTGAAGCAACTTTTGGACAGTGTCTGCTGCTTTCTGAGGTTGGGACACACTCCCTCAACACTGCCCTGCTAAGAATCCCAATTTCCACACTCATAAAACTGTGCTCCTGTGCAGTTGCACAAGTGTGGCTATGTTTGTAAAAAAATGGCACACATTATGTGCCAAGAAATAATTTTTAAAAATGTTTCCTAACCAAATGTTTCCAGACAGCTTTTTTAAGGTATCACTTGGGCATTTTGAAGAGGATGCCAGCATATGTCAAGCCAAATTTTGCAATCTCAGGAGAAATGACAAAGATAAAGCGGGGAAAAACTACAACAAGATGAATTCCTAGGTCCTGTTGTGGTGTCCCCTGGAATACTTGCAGGACAGGTGAGGGGATGAGGTGAGAATCCCACAGTGAGCTTGATCATCTCTTGGGCACAATGTGGGTTGTTTGCAGAACAAACAACCTACTGTGGCTTCTTGCAAGGCTGGGTTAGTGTGTTGTGTGAACATGTAACTGACCTATTAGCCAAGTACTTAGTGGATGGGAAACGGCAACATGATGAGAAATTCATTGTTACTAACACTACTTACCTCCCGGAACCAATTAAGTGCATGAAATAAAAGTGTACAAAGGAATTCACGCTCCTGCTTTGACAAAGAGTCTAACTTTCCTCCCACTTCCAAGTTGGTTAGATATAAAGGACATCCTATAGCAGAATATGGTAAAAGAAAAGTGTTCTTAAGTATTAGGGTTGGGCTTAAGTATTCATGCATGTTCAACATGGGCAGACAAACATATATACCCCACCTCTAAAATCTATCTCCTCTATTCTATATGTACCTCTCCATCCCAAAGAATCAGAACTGAGGTCATATTGCCTGAGATATAAATGTCCCCAGGAGATTTCAGTCTGTTACAGGAGACTGGGTGGTATAACTTAAGAACCAGCCAATTGGTTCAAGAATGACTATCCTGCTCACATTCCTGATCTACTGCTCCAGCGTTCCAGTTGAAACATCTTTTAAAGAGACCAGACAGACAGACCCCATACCTAACAGGGCATCAATATCCTCCATGCTCCCATTGTTCAGTTCTGATACACAGATCCTAAGCAGCCGGAAGGATGGTGACAAGCACACAGGAGACACCAGCCTGGTGAGAGAGGGAGAGAAACCTGTGCAGACACTGAAAGGATTATTACTTGTACTGAATTGTGTTAGGCTCTGGATGGCCCTGATTCCATGTCAGTCACAAGGTTTTTGCATTGGAAGCTTCATTCTATCACAGCTTAGCAGATTTTCTGTTCATCTCAATAAGAACAAAGCACCACTGACCTTTTCTCCTTTCTTTTAACTGCTGTATCATCCACATTCTTGCTCAGGTAACTCTGGGACAGCATTGGCAACAAGTTAATAGCAATTGTCCCCTCACTTTCGTCATCTTCCAAGCTGTACAGGGCCTTCACTGGAAACAGGAAAACACTGCAGAGGAATCAAATAACAACTCAAGCACAACACAGTAATAACAAATGTAATAATTTTGACTGAAGACAGCATGCTTTTCTGAAATACCTGTCATTTCTATGGAGAAGATCTATCACAAAATCTCTTTCAAAGTCCTTCTCCATACTGTTCCCAATCCATTTCTAAAGAAGGAGAAAACAAACAGCAGTTTCCACAGAACTTATGGTAAAGCATTATGTTGTAGAGGGACAAAGAAAAATTATTCAGAGGCACTCTCTTTTTGAAGAACTTTAATTAGATAATTTACTAGTAAGTTCATTTGTCCAGCAAGAAAAGCTATATGTTAAAAATCCAACAAAACTGAAGGTAGATCCTCTTTTATGCAGCTGATGCGCTTAAATCATATACCCAGCTTGCCTGGAATTAAGACCCAATCCAAAGAATTTACAACAGGTATAGCATTGCATTATAATTCTGAGCACAAATGTCCCAAAAACAAAAACAAAAACCCAAGAGGATAACAGAAACAATTTTCCAAATGCCATGTTGAAAGTAGAACTGTTTTTAAGTCTGAAAATTAAATAGTCAAGGATGGCAACACCTAAACTTACACCATCCCTGCTATGATTATGCACTATTAAAAGCTAAATTGATATGAACAAATAGCTCTGCACCCTACCAGGATCTGCAAATCCAGATTCCCTCTCTGAATCAAGCTCGCAAGTTCATCGTAGTACAGAGCCAATGCCTTGGGAACCTGCCCACAGCAGGAGCACACCAGCTCCAGCAAAGATGTAATCTGCAGGGGAAAAAAACAGAGCAATTAGCAGCCAGGCGGAGAGGATGATCAAAAGGGAATGCACAATATACTGGTAAAAGCATCAAAAGCATGCTAAATTATCTCTCTAGTTCTAACAACTCCAGGTACTAAAAGAGGAAAAGGAAGAAAATTAAGGGGAGGTACAAATCCTTCCCTGTTCATCAATGCAACTAACATTTTCTGTGATGATCTGAGTATCTATCCAAGCTCTAAAATGATGAATCCCCTTCATTTAGCTGCACTGCATTCTTTCATGGGACCCATCCTTTCTCCCTAGACTACTTACCAGCAGCATGTCCCACAAACATCTACATACTTGCCTGACTGCATTGCTCCTTGCTCAGCTCTGCTCGTTCCAACAGTTGCCCATTTTCTTTACTCCTGAAATTAGTTTTGATATTGTGTCAGACATAGCAGAACAGGTTATGAACCAGAGAATTATCCAAGTACCAAAGGAGCTTTGACGAGTCTAAAAACTAATATACCAAAAAGCCTTTAAATTTGTTACATTTATCCTTGAAAGTCATTGATCATCACTGCCCAATTTACTCTCGTACCAATACAACAGTTCTCTAACAATGCTCCTGGGTATGGCAGAGTAGGAAAGTGGTGTATAAAGTCAGAGGGACAGTGTAATTTTCTTTCTGCAGAGCAGCAGAGGCACAGGCTGGGAGAGTGCTGAGTGGCCAAGGGACTGGCGAAGGCAAGGTAGGAGCTGGGCAGGGGAACAGAGGGCCAGGAGCAGCGGAGAGGAAGGGGGGCGGGGCCAGTGAGGCTAGAGCAGCCAGGAGGAAGCAGACAGGCGGGGCCACCGGCCTAAGGGACTGATAAGGCGTAGTCCCTTGTCTGTGTCCCTTAGCTGCAGCCCGGGCTGTTCGGAGACTCCCTTTGTTTGTTTGTTTTTGTTTGTGCTGTGCTGTGCTTTGCTTTTCTTCCAATTTAAGTTTATTTTATCCTTGTGTGTGTGTGCGAGTGGGTTTTTGTCTGGGAGAACTGGGCGAGTAAGAGGAACTGCAGGACAGACAAGGCAGGGGACCAAGGTAAGGTCTTGAAAGGGATACCGATGGCAGACCAGGAGATGGCCTTGGCGGGAGTCACAAGTGTGGCTGTCCACTGCGAGAGCTGCGACATGTTCGCCCTTCTTCCCCAGGAGAGGCAGGGATACACTTGCCCTCGGTGCAAGATGGTGACCCTGCTAGAAGAGGAGGTGAGGTGCCTGAGGGCCGAGAGAGCTCTCCAGGTCCCCCCCCCGGAGCAGCCCCCCTCTGGACAGAGGGTTGAGGGAGAGGCCATGGGAGGAGCAGCTGCAGAGACATGGAGGTATGTCACCCACAGGAGGAGGAGGCCAGCACGGCCTCCTCCTTCTCTTGGCACCAATCTGGAGCTGGAAACAGGTTCTCTCCACTTGGGGAGGCTGGGGCTGATGAGGCCTTGGGGGACCAGCAGGACCCCCAGCCTGGGACGTCAGGCGGCAAGGGGGCCACTGCAGGAGGGGTGAGGGCCAGGGCACGGCTGCCCACCAGCACCGGGAAGGTACGGCAGCAGGTGATTATTGTTTGGGACTCCCTGCTGAGGGGCACTGAGGCGGCCGTGTGCCGCCCCAACCTGGAGACAAGGGAGGTTTGCTGCCTGCCGGGCGCACGCATCTGGCATGTGAAGGACAGAGTGGAGCGTCTTGTTCGCTCCAGGGGTCACCAGCCGCTCCTGGTGATCCATGTGGGCACAAACGATGTGGCCAGGCAGGGTGTGGTTGGGACCACCAGGGACTTTGAGGCCTTGGGGAAGAAACTCAGGGAGCTGAAGGCCCAAGTGGCCTTCTCGTCAATCTTACCTGTCCAAGAATTTGGGTCAGGAAGGGACAGGAGGGCCTCCGAGGTGAACGACTGGCTTAGGGTGTGGTGCCAGAAGGAATGCTTTGAGTTCCTTGACCACGGCACTCGTTTTCTTGCCAATGGACTTCTGGCAAGGGATAGGTTACACCTCACGAGGATGGGGAAAAGGTCCTTTGGAGATGTTCTAGCGAGCTTCGTCCAGAAGACTTTAAACTGAGCCGGGGGGGGGGTGTTCAGGCCCCCCAGTAACGTGTCTGCACTGGACAAGTGTGGGGGGAGGATCAGGGCTCTGGGAGCGGGGTTTTAGAGATACTGCAGGGACTGACAGGACTCCTACAGAGAGGTGCCAGGTATCAGGGAGGATGGGAGGAAGGAGGAGGCTGGGAACTCCAAGGGAGGGAAGTGGTGGGAAGGAGTTGAGGTGCATGTACACCAACGCTAGGAGCATGGGTAATAAGCAGGAAGAGCTTGAAGCTCTCCTGGGAATAGGAGGGTATGACCTGGTGGGAATCACAGAAACTTGGTGGGATGAAAGGCAAGTCTGGAATGTGAACATAGAAGGGTATCACTTTTTTAGAAAGGACAGGAAGGGAAAGAGAGGTGGGGGCATGGCTTTATACATCAGGGAAGAGATAGGATGCAGTGAGACAGAATGCAGCACAGATGGGGATTCGGTAGAGGCAGTCTGGGTGAAACTTAGGGGTTTTGACAGGGAAAGAGACCTGACAGTGGGGGTATGTTATTGCCCTCCAGGTCAACTTGAGACCCTGGATGTCCTGACAGGCCAGATTCTAAGGATATCTCGGGGGAGAGACACAGTAAAGATTTCAATCTCCCGGATATTACTTGGGAGACTCACTCACAGCCAGGTCACGTTGCTTCCTAGAAGCTATAGAGGGAGGGTTTTTCACACAGTGGGTCCAAGAGGCAACAAGGGGGGGAAACATTCTTGACTTGGTCTTGACCAATAGGGAGGAGCTGATAGATGAAGTACAGATTAGGAGAGCTCTGGATGCGAGTGATCACTCCATCCTTTGCTTTGAGATCAGGGGACTGGGGACGTGCAGCAGGTCGAGCACTAGAAGCTGGGACTTCAAGAGGGCCAGCTTTGGCCAACTGAAGGCCAGACTGGGGAAAGTCTCCTGGGATAGGTTACTGGAAGGTAAGCGAGTTGAGGAGGGGTGGATAGCACTCAAAAGGGAGGTTTTGGAGGCGCAAGCCTTGACGATACCTCTAGTCAGGTAAGGTGGGGAGGCGGAGGAGAGTGCCGCCATGGATGCGAAAGGAGGTGGTTAGAGGGATTAGACGAAAGAGGAACCTCCGTAGGAAATGGGTACTGGGGGAAATAGACAAAAGGGTATATCGGGGGGAGGAGGCCCGTTGCAGAAGGATTCTTCGCAAGGCTAAGGCTGATTACGAGCTGAGACTTGCCAAGAATATCAAGAGCAACAAAAAGGGCTTCTTTCAGCATGTAAATAGGAAGAAGAAGGGGAGACAAGTGGTGGGACCACTAAATAAGGAGGAAGGAGATCCAGTGACTGATATGTGGGAACAGGCACAGAGGCTAAATGACTATTTGCCTCTGTGTTCTCCCCAAAGCAGGATGGGGGATATCCGCATAGGAGATTAGATGAGGCTGGGGACTTAGGGGCACAGATTAGAGTCACCCCCCTTGAAGTCAAGGGGCTCCTCAGGGCATTGGACATTACAAAGGCGCCAGGCCCTGACAGGTTACACCCGAGAGTACTTAGAGAGTTGGCAGGGGTTCTCTCACGCCCGCTGGCCTCCATTTTTGAGACCTCGTGGAGAACGGGTGAAGTTCCAGAGGACTGGAGGGTGGCATCAGTGGTCCCAATTTTCAAAAAGGGTAATAGAAAGGACATGGGGAATTATAGACCGGTTAAGCCTTACATCCATTGCAGGAAAAACAATGGAAAGGCTCATAATAGCGAGAGATCTAGTGATGCTAGGTAGGGAAGGGAGGCTGACAGGCACACAACACAGCTTCCGCAAAAACAGGTCCTGCCAGACAAACCTTGTGGAATTCTATGACAAGGTTTTGAGATAGCTAGATGGAGGGGATGCAGTGAATGTGGTATACCTGGATTTCAGCAAGGCCTTTGACAAAGTGCCCCATGATATCCTGATGGAGAAACTGAGGAGTTTTGGGATACACCAAAGCACTGTCCAGTGGATTAGGGCATGGTTGACTGACCAAAAGCCAAAGGTAACCATTAGCGGGGAATCATCGGGATGGCGGCCAGTAACAAGCGGGGTCCCCCAGGGCTCTGTCCTGGGGCCGGTCCTGTTTAATCTTTTCATTAACGACATGGAAGAAGGGGTGAACAGTCTGCTGATCAAATTCGCAGACGACACTAAAACTGGAGCAGTGGCCACAACTGAGGAGCAGGTACTCCAGATCCAAAAGGATCTGGACAGACTATGGAAGTGGGCAGGAGACAACAGGATGGCGTTCAATGTGGATAAGTGCAAGGTCTTGCACTTGGGGCATAGGAATCACTGTCATAAGTACAGGTTAGGTGACAAGTGGCTGAAGAGCAGCACTTGTGAAAGGGACCTCGGGGTACTGGTTGACTGCAGGCTAAACATGAGTCAGCAGTGTGATGCGGTGGTCAAGAGGGCAAACGCCACCCTTGGTTGCATAGCCAGAAGTGTGGCTTCTAGATCAGGAGAGGTATTACTACCACTCTACATGACTCTGGTGCGCCCGCAATTGGAGTATTGTGTTCGGTTTTGGGCACCTCATTACAGAAAGGATACAGCCAGGTTGGAGTCAGTGCAGCGTAGGGCCACAAGGTTGGTGGCCAGTTTGCAGGGAATGCCATATGAGGTGAGACTGAGGGAACTGGGTCTCTTCAGCCTGGAGAAGAGGAGTCTCCGAGGGGATATGTTGGCGACATACAGGTATGTGAGGGGATGTCACATGGAGATGGGTAGAGACCTGTTCTCCCCTGCAGAGGAAGGCAGGATGTGCTCCAATGGAGCAAAGCTCAGGGAGCAAAGGTTCCATTTGGATGCCAGGAAGCACTTCCTGACAGTCAAGACCCCAAGGGTGTGGAATGGGCTTCCACGAGAGGTCGTTGAGGCCCCATCAGTGCGGGTGTTCAAAGATAGGCTGGACGTCCACATGGTGGGCATGTCGTGAGTGGAGCCGGCTGGTGCCGGAGGTCAGACTAGATGGCCCGGGAGGACCCTTCTTACTTGCTCTGTTTCTATGTTTCTATCTTTCAAAAGCTTCCCCATGTAAACAAACGAAGTCACAGCATCTGTTCAATGAACAGAAATCATGAAAAAGAATCAACTTCTTCCTCACCGCTCCATTATTTGTTTACACTGTATTTTGACTATTATCTCATAGATTTAAACAAACAAAAGCAACCTATACATTGGAATCTCTCCCTGGTTGGCAGAATGCATTTGATACTGTTCCTTGAACAGAGGCAAAAATGAAGAGTTTCTTGATACTGTCTCCTGAATCAGAAATACCTCTATTGCTTGAAGGGTATCAATAAATCAATGCACTTAGATCATGCTAAAATGCAGCTGTGTCATTTTAGCAGAAATGTGCACAGGGGTAGTCCCATTAACTGTCTCGCATTGCCTATTTATATTGCACATGCTCTCTTGAATGGTTAAAACAATTATAGATCCTGCTGCCTACTTTTTCTGTTAGCATATTATTGGTATTAGTCTTAATAAAACACAGCTAGACCATAACAGGAAGCACACACTAAAGCGGTAGTTTTCAACCACTGGTCTGTGGTTTGGAAACTTATACACAGAATACTGTACGGTGTGTATGGTGCTTTTTGTTTCTGCCTTAGCAGTCACTGAGGTGGTTTTCCTGTTTTTGTCAGTCCCCAGCTGTGGAAAAGTTGAAAACCACTGCACTAAAGTATATGATTGGAAATAGAACTAAATTTTTGAAAATGACTTTCTTCTGTTTCCAATGATCCAGGGTTTGGAAACATTGCCCTATGAGGATAGACTGAGGGAACTGGGCATGTTCAGCCTTGAGAAGAGAAGGCCGAGGGGGGACATGATATCCCTCTATAAGTACCTCAAAGGCTGTTACAAAGAGGAAGGTCAATATCTCTTCTCGCTGATACCAGAATGTAGGACAAGGAATAGTCAGCTCAAGTTGCAGCAACCCAGATTCAGGCTAGATATCAGGAAAAGCTTCCCCACTGACTGAGCAATACAACAGTGGAACCAGTTGCCCAGAGAGCTCATAGGCTCTCCCACACTAGGGACATTCAAAAAGAAACTGGACGGCCATCTGAGTGGGATGGTGTAACATGGTGTCCTGCAATAGCAGGGGGTTGGACTCAATGGCCTTCATGGACCTTTCCAACTCTTCTATTCTATGATTCTCTTGCACTTTTATATGGTGCAAGTACCAAGACACACTGCCTTATGTCCCTTAAGTATTTAGAACAACATAAAATGGTAATTTGCACATCCTTCTCTACTTGCTCACCGTTTTGCTGCCATGTTACCAACCATCATAACTGCACCAATGATCCCAATACGCTTATACTTCAGAATAGTGCTGGAGAGTTGCTTTCTAATGACCATGTGCATATCATCCTGCAGGGAAAGAAGGAGAGTGTGTGTTAGGAAAAGTGACAGCACATTCAGAAGTACACATGATCAATTCCATGCAGTCAAATTACGGGCGATGCCTAAAGGAGTGAGGCAATATGGAAATGTCAATGCACACATGAATAATAATTCCCACTAGTTCTGTTTTGCAAACCTCTCACAGTCTGTTTGAAGGATATGTTCTACTGCCCAATCTTCCTGGGGGTTGCAGTAAGTAACACATCATTGTTCTTCCATTTTTGCACATACTGAACAAATATTTTGTTATATCCAAAAAATAAGCAAGAGGCACATGCCTCTCAGGCTTTGGGCAGAATGGAATAATTGTAACTTACAGTGATGGTTTTTTTCTTACTTGGTGTGCAGGAGGCACCCAAGAATGGGTGTGCGCCTAATACAGTCCAGCAAAGGCAGGGATCATATACTAGAAAAACATGCATTTGGTTGATTACCCTCTGGTTTCAACCCCAAATCCTTCCTGTGGCTGAGCTAGAGAGAGAGAAACTGAGGATGATGTTAGAATAGTCTTACACAGGAAACTGCAGAAAAGGAGAAAGGTAGCTTCATTCTGGGTGAAAGGCAGGGAAGAACTGCAGGCAGAGCAAGAGAGTAGTCAGCTTAAGATTTTCTAGCACATGATTCCTCCCTTTCCTGGTCAGCTGAAAAGTCATTACTGAGTATCTCCTAACAGCAAATGAGAAAGTGAATTTCCATATTGGAGAGATCAGGAATGAAACTCCAAAAGAAACAATAAATATGAATATGGACAACTGAATTGCAAAAAAAACCAAAAACCCAAACACATGGAAGGTAGCGCTTTCATATAAAAGTATACTGTGTCTCAAGAATTCCCAAACAGTGAAATGTTATAGAAGCAATTCCACCCTTTTGATTATGTTAGGCAATCTACTACCCAATCATGTATGTTACACTGCTCAGAATGTGGTGATGCCAACATTCACATGCGAATCACAAACACATTTTGTTCATTTCCAAACGCTCAAAGAAATGTTGACAGAAACAGGATTGTTGTCATTCAGAGGACTATGTCTGAAAAGTGGAGAAAATACTGTTATGTCTAGATTAGCCGGGAATTGGCAATGTTCATCAAAATTTGGACATACATTGTTGATACAAACAATCTTACTGATCTAGACAACTGCAACTGTGTAGAGGGAGTGACTCCAGGGTCTCCAACTTTCACTCACCTGAATGTGGCTGCTCTTGTGCCCTTGGCTGAATGCTAGCATGCTAAGAATGTGGAATAGCTTCCGGATTTGGTGTGGACTTAAATTGTCCATATAATCTAAAATGCTCTGAAAGAAAAGATAATAAAATACTCCACATCTGCATGATATATTCTGATACCAGAATTTCCAAGTACAGCAGGCAAAAAAGATCATCTAGATTGGCTTCTTCAATATGCAGGGTGAGCTGAAGATGGACAACTGTCCTATTTGCAGTGGACCACCAAGTGCTTGCTGGTTGCTGAGATTCTTCGAAAAGAATGCAGGACCGGACAGACCTTAGCAAACCAGCAAGACTCTTCTGATGATCTTGAGCAAGGTGCATCCTCAGGTTGCTCAGCATACAGGCAAGGTATGCTTTAACTGATATGCATTCTTGCTTTGAAAGACATGTTAGCTAGCCATGGGGATTCTAATAAAAGAAAAAGTAGACCCTTGCTATGCATAGACTCTCACACCTACAACTCCATTTTCCATTCTTAATCACAGGGAGATTTTCCATCAGAAGGTGAAAAGAGTTCTTAAGATCATCTAAGAGTCAATGAAGATTGAGGTCATCCACTCCTGCAGCATGTCATATACTTAACTGCTCTTGGACTTCCATAAACTAAGCAGAACTGAAAATATGGCTAATATCTGTAATATTCTAAACTGCTATTTTTAAAATGTGTTCTTTTTAAACTTCCTCTTCTTATGCATGACTTTGAAAGAGAAGTTTTTAAGGGACTGGCTCCGGCATTAGTGCTCCCAGCTTTGGCCATCCTTACCTTCAGAAATACTGCATATGGAATAACTGATGAAGTATGAAAAGTCACCAGGTCAGTTAGCATATCCAAAGAGACATCTACTTCAATATCATTCCCTCCACATGCATGAGTAACCAGGGCACCCACAATTTCCTGCAGGGACAAGTACAGGAAAGAAAAAGTGAGAAGTATAACAGTCATGACAGAGGCATGAGAGAATAGCACTCATCTGGCAGTCTGACTGCTGATGACATTCAGCTGAAAGCCCTTATGTTTGGCTTTTCAGCTATTGGTTAACATGCAACTTTACAACCATATTAGGTGGCTTCTAAAGAGTGATAAGAAACTTCATAGGATTTTCTTAATTAACTAAGGTGTGACAGCTGCTACTGGGGAAAGGGCCTTTTTAGTGGTGGCATCCCAGAGAGACTCATTTGCTGTCTTGCTTATCACTTTTCAATGTCCAGTAAAATCCAGTTAGTTTACCAGGCTTTTTAAATTTGGCCATATTTAAGGCATTGAATTTTAGATCTGCTTTACTAATACTTTGCATCTTTTGCTTAAGATACTGTTTTATGTGCTGCAACTCACTTGTAATATCACAGTTCATTGTTTTATTGTTAGTATATTTCATAGTTTAGAGTTAAAATATTAAAACAGAACAACATTATTGGGCAGCGCACAAGTACTGTAAGTAAGTATATATGAAATGGTTTGGAAAGCAGGCATTATTATTATTATTATTATTATTATTATTATTATTATTATTATAATAACATTTCTATGCCGCCCCTTGCCGAAACCTCGGGGCGGCTTACAACATGATAAAATACATTGAAATACAATAGTACATAAACTAGAGCAAAATGCAGATCAGAGACATGTTCCTCAAAATGGGTAGTAGGCATTCTAATGTAAGAAAAAACCTGCTTTGGAAGAGGCTATGCTAACCTAGTCTCCCTTCTCTCTCTTAGTTACTGGCAGCATTAAAATATCATAGGCCACTGGATATCCACTTCTCATTTTGATATTTACATAGAAGTAGAGATTTACATAGACTGAGAGATTCAGGTGGGCCAAACCTACCTGAAGCTCCTGCCTTAGGATAGTGATTACTTTTTAACATTGAGTAGAAAATAAATATCTAAACATCATATTTACATTTTTAAACTATTTTAATTCAAAAATTTTGTTCATTGTTACTGAAAAATTTGGTTTAAAATTAAATCTGAATGCAATGTGAACAGATCGTATTTTATATTCATCTCTTAAAACTGAATTCATGACCTCATGTCAAGTGCATTTAATTCAAACCTGATATAGATATATATAGATATATGGAAAAAATATCTGACTTTCCAAGGTCCAAGTGTTGCAATTACACTACATTGCTCATGCATGTATTATTGTGAGAAATTATGAATATTCATTACTATTGAACAGAATGTGCATATTTGCTTCCATTTTTCAAGGATGTACTGTTTTAAGCCAGTAAGTACCAGTCTTGCTTTTGGGAAGTCCTCAGCACTTAGCCCACAACCCAGCACACTAATTCTGTACTAAACTGTAGCCATTTTCTTCAACTATTTGCTTGGTTCCTTTGCATGAGCTGGGCGGTGCCTACTTAAAATATTAATTTATATTAATATTTTAACCGACCTCCAAGCAGATAGAATTCTGTAGTGCAACAGTCTTGACATAAGCTACATGACCAAAGTTATGGATCAGGCTTCTAGAATCCAAGCTTTAAGTACAAATATATGAGCTTATGTAATAGAATGTACTTTCTACCCTACTACATTAGAACCAGAAGCAAACAATGGCAGGGAGGAACTTTAATCTTAAAGAAATTGCACACATGCACAGACAAACATATACATTTCACCAAGCAGAGAATGGAACTGGTGTGTCACTATACCTGCTGGCAATATGCATCAAAAGTTGTGAATGCTTGCTTGTACAGACAGCTGCCGAAAGAGACAATACTGGGATCTGCCGAATGTACAAAACTCTCAGCCAATGACAAGATAGTGGGAAAGAGGTCTCTCATAACCTGAGTGCAGGCAGAACAAACAGATATTTAACTGCTTTGCCAAATTTCTATCTCACTCTATGATGAGGTATTTTACAATTCATTGCCCAGATAAGATCAGGAGTGATTCCAGAAAGCAATTTGGCACCTCATATATATGATCTAACAAAATACTAAAGTGATTCATACAGACATGCATAAATAGACAAACTTGTATTTCCAAAACTAATTAAGGGTGCAATTCTAGGCATGTTTAGGCAGAAAAAAATTCTATGGCTCTTAGCTTGGCACATCTGGCTATGTTGACTGGGGCATGCTGTGAGTTGTAGGACTTTTATCTTCATAACATGCACAGGAATGCACCTTAAGTTTCTCTCTTTGTTAGATGAAAATCAGCGACTAGAAAATCAGTGTGGGTGGGTTCATGCGTTTAAGGCTGCCTATTTATTATCCAGATGTCTGCCTAAGAACACCTATCCTGCCATCAGTTCCAAGAAGCACATTGCAAAAATTCAGAGCACATAAATTTACGGAAGTCCACAATGTTCCAAATCCTAGCGCTAAGCGTCATTCTTTTCTTATGTAGAGCCAAGGAGGAGGCAGTTGATATCCATTTCTGAACTTGAAGCCACAACTACCATAAGCACAACTATAAAAGCCTCCTTCTATCACCTGCTTTACATTAACCATGCAGATAAAAAAAGGTGCGGCATAATGTGAACTGAAGAACAGTCTTGCAAATCTGAGGATGGATGATGGAATGGAAACACTCACCAGGGTGATCAGCAGCACAAATACTCACCAGTGTGTGGTACCGAAATGCATTCCGTGGCAACTGCTCTTGCACCTGCCCTGCCCGGATCTTGCTCCTCAACACTTTCTCAATTTGCTTCTTGTTCTTGGCATTAGTAGCATAGATTATTAGCAACACAATCAGATCCATAACCTTTTTGGAAATAAAGCAACAACTGATCATGCTAAAGTTATCGACAAGCAAGAAGGATCAGTCAAGTTATTAAAAAAATGAAATGAATGCACAATACAGAATCTGTGGTATTTTGCACAAAATTCTGAAAACATTTTCATTGTATCTTTAAAGTGGCATACTCTGCACATTCATGATGTAGAAGGATGAAAAGCATGCATCCAGTATTTACTATAGACTAAAAAGCTTTTAATGGTTAAATCAGGAATTAATTCATAAAGCTTATCTTCCTATCCCTGATTTCTTCTTCCACAGCAAAATTTCTTAGGAGAAAAATGACCCATTTCTACAAATAAACAGGTTTCTGGGCATTTAGAAGAATGATGAAAAAGATACACAGACATGCATATTTTGAAGAGCATGCATAACAGAATCTGACAAGTCTTTAGCACAAAATCCTGGTCCCTTGGCCACAGTACGGAAGGAATCTGTCTGCCATTACAATTATAGGCACCTGTTGACATGTACAGGCAGAGATCCCACAATTTAATCATCTGAGACTGATGACTCTAGTAGCAGTGAGGCAGTGTATCTGCTCTGGGTTTCAGTCTGAACTTTTGAGGAGCTGTGCAGGGTTATAAGCCCCAGCCCCAAAATACTGGATGGGGAAGCTTTTTCATTCCAGAAATTCCAATTTGGGAAGAGTCTCATGGGTAGCATTCCAGCCTTAGGAAAAACAAAACACATGGTATGGGGGCCAATGGCAAATGGGAGTTCCTACCAATATGGGTATTTCCCACCAGCCATACAAAGTACTGATCATTCCTACATGGATCTGCTCAGGAATACGCCCCAGTATTAAAAAAAATTGCTGTGAACTACCTTCCGCTATTGAGTGCCATATAAAATAAATTAAGTACCTTATGCTCAGAGGCAGAAGAAACATTCTCAATAGCCTAGAACACAAAAGAAACAGTTGCCAATGTTGTATAATGAGTGCCCAGTGCAAAAGACCCAAAGAACATCATAAATCTGCTGCTGACGGGGACTGGGCGTTATGTTCACATGACTCCAGTGCTCCGTCAGCTTCACTGGCTCCCCATTGAAGTCCGGGCCCAATTCAAGGTGTTGGTAATGACCTATAAAGCCCTAAACAGCTTGGGTCCTGGTTACCTGAAGGAGCGCTTACATCCATATTTGCCCAGTCGCCCCCTGAGATCGGCGGGAGAGGCCCTTCTCCGGGAGCCCTCCGTGAGAGAAATTAGGAGGGTGGCTACTCGGAGAAGGGCTTTCTCAGCGGTGGCGCCTAAGTTATGGAATGCGCTCCCCAGAGAGGTCCGCCTGGCGCCGTCGTTATTTGCTTTTCGGCGCCAGGCAAAGACCTTTTTATTTAAGCAACATTTTAAATGCTAATACAACTGAATTTTATCTGGCCAGGGCGGCTTATTTTATAATGTGTGTTTTAAATTATGATCATTTTATATGGATATTTTAACTTATTGTTTTATCTAGTGTTGTAAGCCGCCCCGAGGCTTCGGCGAATGGGGCGGCATAAAAATGTTTTAATAAATAAATAAATAAATAAATAAATAAATAAATAATAAATAAATAAATAAATAAATCTCTCCAACAGCACATCTATCTGCTGACAGCTAGATTTATATTAAATCCTGCACAAATCTGATCTAGAGGAAATAGTTCTTAGTGAAAACCTAGCAGAACTCTCCTGCCACAGATTCTACCATCTTAGTATACAGGTCCTGCTGTCGATATATGGAGTAGGGCCAGGGAGGAGAAGCACATTTGAGTGCCTTTGCTATATGAGCCAGAATACTTCTGAACCTTCTCAGGAAATGCCGCCTCCTTCGGGAGTCTAAAGGGCTTGCAGAAAGTGGTCTCAGTTAAGAGAAACTCTTCATTCTTTGCCAGGCACCCAAACAGGTAAGTGTGTGTGGTGCAGAGAGAAAGTTGTTATAAAGACAGTGTCACTTCATTTCAGGCATGTGTCATTACTGGATTGCCCGATACAGGTTTTTAGCAGCAATACTTCCTCTCGTTCTTGCCCTGTATTTTTACCTTTTGCAACAAGAGTACTACCATCTTATTTTGGCTATTTAGGAAAGGAAAACAGTATTCTAATTCATTCTGAATTTCAGGGATGCAGTAGTTATTTTCTCCGGTGTTTTACTTCTGTGTTGTTAGTTGTTTGCATTGCATTTTAAAATACCTGCATTGTATTTTAAATCTTCAACTGCATTTTATTGTATTGCATTTTAGTCTTTTAACTGTTTGGAATCCATCCAAAGAACCTTTGTTTTTTGGTGGATTTAGAATATACTAAATAAACTTGAAGACTTATTAACATCCTGTGCAGGGTAGGAAGAGCAGCAGAGGCAAGCTATGGCAATCTGTCCTTCTGTCCTGTATTTTTTTTCTAAATAAGCTTTTTTCCCTATCTAGAAAGGGCATTCTTGCAGTGGCAGAAGTTCCAGTCAGTCTGCTCTTTGGCCTCTCTAGTCTCAAAATGCCTCATTTTCCCCTTCTCTATGTTTCTGATCTCAGAAGCCAAGTGGCACGGTCCTTTCTAAGTTGGCTGCAGAAGTGGGTGGATCTCTAACCTCCCCTTCTGAGGTCGAAGTGTGGTTTTCAACCCTGAAGGAGGGACTCAAGACTCTGACCTGAGGAACCATCAGACACTGCTTAGAGACCACAGGCTTACTCCTTAAGTCATATGCAGGTAGCAACCAGGTTGGAACTCAGAAATGAGGTGTGAGGACAGATGAAGGTCCTCATGAAGGTCCTTAACAATGCAATCCTATGTATTTCCAGTCAGAATAAAGTCCCATTAAAATTTGGTCGGATGTACTCCCAATGCAGTGGATACAGGATGGCAGCCCGAGATACTGTGTTGACTACAGGAGCCCTATAGCACTTTAAAACACAGTTAGGAAATGTTACTGAATAATACTGAATAGGAAGCACAGTTCCACAGTTGCCTGGTTCCAGGCTGTTCCTCCCCAACAGTCTGGGCACAGCATATGGGCTATCAGCAGGGCATCAGGCTACTAATGCCTGTTTCTTCACTGTAGATGTTTTTTGGTGTGCATAGCTCTGCCAATTTTTTCTTTCTCTTGCTGTGTCCACAGCATCACTCTTTTCAAATGTGCATATACATTCTCAATTCAGCCACAAAACAGTTCCGTTAATATCTTGTGTTTCATCCTTATGTGTTCAAGGATGAAAATAGTTTATGACAGATTTGGATCAAGTCTAAAGTACAATATTGTTTTACAAAAGCTGAATGTAAAAGGACAACATGGCAAAAAGGAGATACATAAGAAAAACAGTCTGACCTTCACCCAGCCTTCTGAAATGGTCTTCTGGTATTTAACAGCTGACTTTATAACTTCAAAAAGGAGCTTGACACAGTCCTGGTTAACACTTGCTTGGTTTGCAGGTAGACTGAAAAGAAGCACAAAAGGGAATAGCACTTCCAGCATCTTAACAACAATGTTACAGCACATAGCACTGATTCAACATGGACCTCAATGGCAAAATTACACAAAGAAATCCATTGGCAGAGATGAAGTAGAAAAACATTAGGAACAATGAACTGTAATCGTCTGAGTGAAGGTAGAGACGACAAATGAAGAGAGAATGGTACTGCCCAAGGCAGAGGAAATACCAAATAAACATAGAACAAATAATAACTGAAGGAGATACAACAATTGCACTAGGCATGGATGGAAGTATACAGAGATTCTCTAACTGGTATATGTCTAACCCTAACCTAGGCTATATGTTTCCTAGCATCAGTCATCCCAATTATGGACTGGCATAGTATGCCCCTCAGATATTTGCAGTTGCTAGTGGTGAGAAGATCCTCTACATGAGAGATAGAAAAACTATTAGTTGGATCCAAAATTAGCTGCTAAATCAGACACAAAGATTGCCCATCAATGGCACCGTCTCAGACTGGAGAGAGGTAACTAATGGGGTGCTACAGGGTTCTGTCCTAGCCCCAGTGCTCTTCAACATCTTCATTAATGATTTAGATGGGGAACTACAAGGACAAATAATAAAATCTGCAGATGATACAAAACTGGGTGGAATAGCAAACACCCTAGAAGATGGAATGAAGATCCAGGGCAATCTTGATAAACTGGGCTGAAAGCAACAGAATGAGAATCAGTAGGGACAAATGCCAGGTCCTCCACCTAGGAAAAAGAAACCAAATGCATGAGTACAAGATGGGGAATATGTGGCAAGACCCTCGAGTTATTGTGGACAACAGGCTAAGTATGAGGCAACAATTCGATGCAGCCACAAAAAGGACAAATGCTAATTTGGAGAGCATTAACAGAAGTATTACTTCCAAATCACAAGAAGTAGTAGTTCCCCTGTACTGCTCACTAGTCAGACCTCATCTGGAATATTGTGTCCAGTTCTGGGCACTGAGATTTAAAAATGATGCAGAAAAATTAGAAGTGGTCCAGAAGAAGGCAACAAAAATGATCCAGGGTTTGGAAACACTTCCCTATGAAGAGAGACTGGGCATGTTCAGTCCTGAGAAGAGAAGGCTGAGGGGGCCATGAGATCACTTTATAAGTACCGCAAAGGCTGCCACAAAGGGGAAGGTCAAGATCACTTCTTGCTGATACCAGAGTGTAGGACAAGGAATGATCATTTCAAGTTGTGACAACCCAGATTCAGGCTAGATATCAGAAAAAGTTTTTTTTCACTGTCAGAGCAATTCAACAGTGAAACCAGTTGCCTAGAGAGGTGATGGGCTCTTTTACACTAAAGACATTCAAGGTGAAACTGGACAGTCATCTAAGTGCGATGGTGTAAAATGGTGTCCTGCAACAGCAGCGGGGTGGACCCAGTGGTCTTCATGGACCTTTCCAACTCTGCTATTCTACGATGGGGACAATTCTCATGGCAAATCTCTCTATGCATTACTTTTATTATATGGCACTCACTCCTACACACATAATGGTGCCTGCAACGTGTAACCTAGCTCCACAATTCACAAGCTTATGACCCTTAGGAAAATGAGGTCCCTGCGGCAGATATATGTATACAGATATACCTTTTCTTTTCCCCAACATTTTAAGGTTTAAAATAAAAGATTATGCTGTGCTTCACTTTATTTTATTGTAAGACCATCCTGAGACTCTCAGTAATAGGACAGTATAGAAAATCCCTTTGAAATAAATAAATAAATAAATAAACTGTCAGATGTTTCCAAAGGATCAGATAGAGTGAGTAATGGAGGCCAGTACTACAGCGCAGCCAGAAAAAAATCTATGATGGTGGTGCTAGTTTGGCTAGAGAAGAGAGAGCACTTAAACAGCGAGATTTAACCATGAGTGGGTTTGATAGGAGATGAACTGTTGGCCACATCTAAAGTCACCAGAGATCCAGGAATAGAAAAAGAGCAGTACTAGCTGAACAGTATTGCGTTTCTTCATAATGTGCTGCTGCAGTATTGAGCAGAGTGCTCACATGCTGCCCCAGCAAGGCTCAGGATGGGTTTAACGTCACTTGGCATCACACACAAACCTTGCCTGGGGCTGACTCCTGAGTTTGCTCTGCGAAGCCTGAATCCATGGTAGTGAAACACAGGAGTCCAAGTCAAGCTTCTTACGAAGGCCAGAAATTACCTGCAGAACAGCAGTGCATATGTTCTCACATCAATCAATCAATCAATCAATCAATCATGGACACAGACAGCAATCACATTTCAAGGTGGTAGTTAGGGAGAAAAAAAATAGAAGTAAAAGAAAAAGCCTATAAAGTCTACTGTAAAGCAGACATTTAAATCATTTTATAATTGTTAACATTTTTCTACACATGTATTTAACACTTTTTTTAACTGGGAATAGGCTATTTTTGCAATTAATGTATTTTATAACTTTTTTCCTTTTATGGAAATAAACATATGAACAAGAAGATAAGGGGAAAGTATATGGTCGCTGGGGATGTTTAAGAGCAATGTTTGGTCTAAAACTTTTGTCTGCAATATGATGCCTCTTCCACTTCTATTTCCACTTTTCTACCACAATACAAAAACCAGGTAGCTTGTTAGACCTCTCACCTGGATTATTGCAATGCACTCTTCATGGGGCTTCCCTTGAAGATGGTCCAGAAACTTCAATTGGCCCAAATAGGGTGGCTAGACTGCTTACAAGAACTAGCAGATATGATCATATAAAGCCAGTCCTCTACCATTTCCAGTGACTCCCAATTGAGGTCTGGGCCCGATTCAAGATGCTAACACTAGTGTTTAAAGTCCTAAACAGCTTGGGGCCAGGGTATCGAAAGGAGTGCCTCTTCCTGTAAGAACCTACTTGGCACCTTAGAGCTGCATCTGATTTCCTTCTGAAGGAGCCCACTCCTCAGGAAATAAGGAGCATGGCGGCAAGAAGAAGGGCCTTTTCTGGAGTGGCACCCCGACTTTGGAATGTGGTCCCCAGAGAGGTTTGCCTTGCATCCTCTCTATATTCTTTTCAGTGTTAAGCAAAGACCTTTTTATTCCAACAGTACTTTAATTGTTAATCTGTTTTAATAGTATTTTAACTATGGAGTATGCCTTTTTATGAAGTTATTAGTTCTGTCAGTAGCACATTTTATGTTGGTAATACTGTGTTATTGTAATTTGTAATTTTTGTTTTTATACTGGATTTATTGTTTTGTTACTGTAACTCTCCCAGGGAACAATGTGGCTAATACAGCAGGTTAGAAAGCCAATAAACAAATAAATAAGAAACGGTTCATGTTTCTAGAATGATTATAAGGCATTTCCTCTTTAGCCAGAATTACACTCTTGTCTGCCTAAGTAAGAGAAAAGGGATTTAATGCAACCAGAAAACTTGACTATGACTCCAGATATGCTGGTCTATGTGGTTGCTCAGATGCAGACAGAAAGCAGATATCTGAGTGCTTATCCCAGCATGGAAATCTTTGCATTCTGAAAGAACACTCATGAATCTGTCTCTGCGGCTTAAGGATAGGTTCCTCACCTCTATTGCATCAGTGGCCTTGATGGAACGAAGAATAAATTTAACTACTACAGGCAAATCTTCCACTTTTACAGCAGCTACTGTGACCATGATAGACTGGCGTACCTACGGGGAAAGCAGCAAATTGTTCAGTTGTAAGAATGAGAAAAGGCAAAAGATTTATTTATTAATGCATGCTTCCTATAGGCCCCATTCCTAGGGCTCCTGACAGATTGCAATGGATCATTCACACAGGCTAAATAACACTTTCTTTTTGCTTGCATGCATTTGCATGTAGATATATAATACAGAGAAGAGTGTGTGTGCGTGCAAGTTAAAACAAGGTATTAGAACAAGGGTAGGCAGAGTCTATGGGTCTGGGGACTAATTCCACCAGAACTCACTGGGGCCACACCCATCTTTTCACTGAAATTGCTATCATGCCACCCTTGTTGCCACCAAAATCCAAAAAACAAAAACAAAACAAAAAAAGGGAGCATCAATCTTTCAGGAAAGCAAAAATGCACTCCTGGGCCCCTTCCAGGACTAAGATTCTACTTTCCAGCAAGGCATGCTTTCCTTGTGTGCTACACTTTGAAGGAAAACTATAGGGAATTTTACTGCTGCTGTGGTGGCTAATTCAACAGCAGGAGTGAGGGTGGAAGGCAACAAGGGCCACAAAAATGCCTGGGAACACCTCCTCCAACATTAGAACCAAAAAATCACATGTGCCCATCCTCCCCTTTAGAACCCAAAATAATCAGCAAAAGAAAGAAAAACATTTTAGAGGTTGCTCAAGCCTTCCCAAAAATGCTTAGAAGGATCATATGACTCTCCAGAGGAAAAGAACACAATGGTTATGGCACAATCAACACCATCGCCTCCTACCCAGGTTCAATATGCAGATGGAATTATCAAAAAGGAGTTCTTAGCTGATCTGAGAATGTGATATTTTTAGCCTGGACAAATTTAATTCCTTTTGCTTCTTCCTGTGCTGCATCTCACATTTTTATGTACCAAGAGTACATGGTTTCACTTGTATAGTTACTTTAAAAAGCACTTACTTCTTGCCTGTGAGCCTTTCCATGTAACACAAGATTTCTTACCTCAGACAGAAGTCCCAGATCAAGATTCAAACTAGAAAGAGCATCCAGGATTGGAACAGTCAACTCAGTCTTCTCTTTTAGCAAGGAACTGAAATGTAAGACAAGCATACATACTTTGCATATATGTGCAACACATAGGAACACACCCAAAGTGGAGTATTAACTACAATCTATTCAATATAACTAGATAGCATACTAAAAAGCAGAGACATCACCCTGCCAACAAAAGTGCGTCTAGTCAAGGCTATGGTTTTCCCAGTTGCAATATATGGCTGTGAAAGTTGGACCATAAGGAAGGCTGAGTGTCAAAGGATTGAGGCCTTTGAATTGTGGTGCTGGCGGAGACTCTTGCGAGTCCCTTGGACTGCAAGATCAAACCGGTCAGTCCTAGAGGAGATCAACCCTGACTGCTCTTTAGAAGGTCAGATACTGAAGATGAAACTCAAATACTTTGGCCACCTCATGAAAAGGAAGGACTCCCTGGAGAAGAGCCTAATGCTGGGAACAATAGATGGCAAAAGAAGAAGGGGACGGCAGAGGATGAGGTGGCTGGATGGAGTCACTGAAGCAGTTGGTGTGAGCTTGAGTGGACTCCGGGGGATGGTGGAGGACAAGAGGGCCTGGAGGAATGTTGTCCATGGGGTCACGATGGGTTGGACACGACTTCGCAACTAACAACAACAATTCAATATAAATTTACATGGAGAATTATTAATAAACCGCTAGGTAGAGTTTTCCAATTTTTTAGCAGCACAAAAGGTACAAAATTAACTAAACCATCCTGAGACTCTAGAAGAGGGACGTTTTATAAAAGCTTTAAAATAAACAAATAAATATTACAGCTGTTCTAAAATAATATACCACTTGCCAGCTTTTGTTATTTACAAGGAATAGCAACATCTTTAAACACTTCAAGTACCTCACATAGATTATTTTAGTAATCTTTATAACACCATTATAAAATGGTGTTCATTCAAAGAAAGACAGCAGCTCAAAGCAGCCAGCAAGAAGATGCAGTGTCATGCATGAAGCTCCGACAGAAGCACTGACTCATGAGGAGGACTTGCACTTGACGACCAGTGTCCAAGAAGCGACCCCACAACTCAGCGTAGGGACAGCAGAGCCAGCTGCTGCGTCTTCCTCTGACTCCCAACACGTTGAGCAAATGCCTGGTCCTTTATTAGAGCCAGGGAGTCATGAGAAAGAGGAAGCTGTGAGTTCTATGCAGAAAGAGGCAGAGCAAACTGCCTCTTCCCCCATGATGCTGATCTCCCCGAGTCAGAAACAGAAGACACAGTAGGCCTTGTGGATTTTTCAAAAGCTGAGAACAGGAGGATTTTACGTAGATATCAACAACGGCAGATTTATTACGTAGGGGGGAGGAAAGGCGTGACTTGGGAGAATGATCCCACTTGGGCTTGGGAAGAGAAGCCATTAGGGGGTTAACATCTGTATAGCAAGGACTGCTATTAGAAAGCTTATCTATAGAGTTATAAATCTTGTAGACAATTAGCATTAAAGGACTTTAGTTTTATTGCTGGTGAATGTGTGGATTGTTTACATACTGGGCTGGCAAGACATCACATGCAGAAAGGTTTAATAAAACACGGTCAGTTGATCATAGCATCATGTATTAGCTAGAAGTTCTTCTTGAGGACAATAGGAACCAATTCCAATATTATAGCATCCAAATGGAAAGTAATATATTTGCACACAGCATTGCACAATCCAGCCATATACATATATTAGCAATATGTAAGGTTCTAAATTTTGGACCCACATTATGTAACACCATCGTGCTTGTCAGTATGGTTTGTGTGTGACATGCATGCGCACACACACCTATCTGCCTATCAAACAAGTTTTTAAATACACAATAAAATAAAGAAAAATACTATGAGTTTCTCTTGAAGTGGTTAGCTATAAACCATAACAAAAACAGAAAAAACCTTTAGAGTTTAGCTTTCAGCTACCAGCACAAATAAGAAAGCATGCAAAGAAAATAATGTTCATTGTCAAACAACAGAACACAAAGTAATTGTTATATTAGGGACTTTTTGCTTGGAACTATGTGATAGGTGTTTATATATTATACCTCCCCCATACCCAGCTTTTTCAACCATTGCTCATGACTGATGTGATACATGACATTTGGTTTCCAGACACTTCAGCATCCTGATTCCCCTTCTTTAGACATGTGCTAGTTTGTCTTTGTTCACTTATGCCAGATCAGCTGGGCAAGCTAACAGAAAATTTCATAAAGAGTAAAACATAAAACATATTAGAATAAAACTTACCCAAGCTCTTTGGCAATTTCACTATGTTGGGAATCTTCCAGGATTTCTGGCAAGCTTATGATAATGTCATGTTGGATTGGTGGAGGAGAAACACAAATCATTTCCATGATTGTTGATACGAGACCCTGCAGGTGACAGCAGCATCAGAATACACAGGAACAGCACATTTCCCTAACATTGACGGCTTAAATATAGCATTAACAGAGAAGCCAAGGTATTTACGCTATGTATACACGTGAAATGGAACTTGGAAATATATTACATAGACTATTTACCTTACAAACATTTAGCTTTCCCTTCCATTTATTTGTCTAACCCCCATTTAAAGCCATCCAACTGCTGGCCATCACTATATCTGGTGGTGAACATAGCTTGATTTCTCCATAAGGAGAATAGCAACACACCACAAGTTATGTGCTGTAGGAACTAGCACATACCTAGCATATTGTTAATGCTCAATGAATATTAAACGATATCAGAGTAGAAACAGAGTACTGATTGATTGCAGTGGTAGTACTTGCCTTGTTGTCAACTATTCTGTCAAGCCATTTTAACTGACTGACAATGAGTCGGGGCAAACTGAGTCCATCACTGCCCACACTGAAAGATCAGAAAAACAAAGAGTGGGGGAAAAGATCAAGCATAGCTATCGCCCTTTTTTAACTACTGACAAAAATCTTGAAAGAAGCCAAAGCAGGATGCAATGATGCACTGCTTATTCCTCTCTAAAAGCATCCCAAAATCTGATTCATCAAAAATAACCTTTTCTTTAACAATTTCTGTTGGGAATAATGGTACTCTGTCATGCTATGAAGAAACCACTTTAGGAGATGCAATAACACTGTGAAATATTCTAGTCTAGTCTTGTGCATAGCATCAACAAAGTTCACAATGACTGATTTATTTATTAGGCCATTTAAGATTTTCATTGCAAAGCAGGTAAGAATCTTGTGCATCAAACCTCAAATTTTATAGAATGCTCAGAACCTTGGAGGAAATATTTATACAACTCCATTTTTTATGGATGGATATGACCCAATTTGGGGTATTGCAAGAAGTAATTAAAAATTGATAGCTAGAAAATCAACAATAGCCCACGTTAAAAATTAAAGTAGCAAAGCACTAACCTTTCATGAAAAAATTCAGGGAGTTTTTCAAATAGCAATCGTATTACGGCAGGCTTCCAAAGAGAAAAAGTTCAAAGTGTTTTGAGAAAATTATAATTGCCTTGTGTTAGCACACTTTTTACACAATATTATAGCTCCAAATCTCATCCTGTAAATCTCCTCTACAAAATGCAAGAAATCTTCCTCAGTAATTCATGGTATGCAAGGATTGGCCTCTCACTTCATGCTGGACTTTGGAGAAGAAACAGCAATAAAATGAATTTGTGTTCTTTTGTCCTTTCTCTGAAGCCCAGCACAAAGTGAGGCAAGCCCCCATCCCTCACCCAAATTCTCTGTACATCCAAAATATTCAGGGGATCAATGATGAATACAAATAATTAGCTGCCAAAAATTATGGATATCTACTGCAGTTCATGGTTCTGCTATTTTCTACATGTGAACACCAGACAGACAAGAGAAGATTAGAATGACTGAGTAGTAATCTTACCTGTAATATCTCAATTCCAAGGAGCAGCTTAATGAGACTTTCACAATATGAATGGATGCTATTACTGTAATGGACAGAGATACTTGAGCTCTTTAAGTAAAGGAATGTACACAGATATCATAAATACATTTATAATAAAAGAGTATGCCTGTCAGTCAGTAGTGCCAAAACTGTGAGACTTAAAAACCTGAAACGTGGCATGCATACTAAGGAGATGCCAGGGTTGTGCACCCTGGGATTATTTGGTGGTTTTTTAAATATTAATTAATTAATTAAAAACATTTCTATGCCGCCCCCCATCGCAACAAAGCCTTGGGGCAGCTCACACACACACACACACACAAAAATGTGTCAATGCATCTGAAGACAGCAATACCACCTTCAATCACTGGGTGGCAGACCTGCCTATTCATTGCAAAGCTTTGCAGACAATGTAGTTTGAAGCCAAGGACAAATAGACACACACACACAAAAATGTGTCAATGCATCTGAAGACAGCAATACCACCTTCAATCACTGGGTGGCAGACCTGCCTATTCATTGCAAAGCTTTGCAGACAATGTAGTTTGAAGCCAAGGACAAATAGAGGGATTGTTATAAAGCAGAAACCTCCCCACTGCTGTGGGATGCACCTTACTCAAGAGACTGGAATGAGCAGATCCCTTCCCTCAGGGAGTTTCAGAGGTATGCCACGACAGGGACAGCAGTAGACATGGCTTCATTTAGATGGAATAGGCACAGTGTGCCCAACTCTGACAGCTGTGTATGTTTGAAGTCCCTATCTTTTGTTTTTTTTGTTTAGGAGTTGACCTCTAATAGGTGTATCTGTAATTAAGTTTTATTCCCCTCCCCACTCCCACCAAAATTAAAGTTCAGGAAACTCCAATTTCAATCCACTGGGTCGTACACTGCCATATAATTATACCATGCAGGGAGGAAAAAATAAACTTTTTCATTGACCTTGTATCCTGACTTTGTGCAGGAATGCATGGAAGAAGACAATTCCTGAACTGATCTCTGTTTTCAATGTGGGATTCCAAACCACTAATTAACTCCTCAATGATCTAACAGGAATAAAGGAAAGCAAGAAAATAAAGACCAAGCTATATTCCTGACTGTAAATTACAGCAAAACACTAACACACAAATGGGAGACAGAAATTTCTGCTCAATGTCTGTTCCTCTTGAACTTTATGAGAAATATAAAATAATTCTACTTTGTACATTATTAGGCTTCCCTGTAAAATCCACACACTCCTTCCAAACTGTTAGCAGATTCCTAAGTGAAAAAACTCTCTATTGATCTTCAAGGCATTTATCTTTTTCTCTTCTGTTCTACTTTGATTGCAATTCACATAGCTAAAATCTTAGGTCACTCACTGAAGTGAATGGTGTGAGAAACAGATTCAAAGCAACATCTGAACTTAGAAACAAAGCGGTGGTGATGAGTGCCTGTTCAAAGTTTTACATTTTTCCATTTACAGAATACAGAATAGTCTTGAGTTGTTCTCCCCCCCCCCCCCCCGCTTTGGAAGTCAGAATCATCATAAAATGAGCCTATTAAATTTCAGGTACATCCTGTGATGTTTAGAAACATCCTGCGATGTCAGGTTCATACCTGCGGATAGGAAGGGTGCTTTCTCAAGGCTTGATGTAACTTCTTCTGGAAAATTGCTCCATCCACAGCTATGGAAAAGTATCAGAGCCAAACAGTGTCACACTCAAATCAGAATACTCTGAAAGTGCCACCTTCCTCCCTTCTTTTATTTTCTCCAAGATGGACAAAATTGCACCAGGCAAAGCTCTCCCCAGCCTATAGGTGCAGTGATAGTAGGGTACAACTGTAGCTCAGTGAAAGTAAATAAATACATTTCTGGCAGGGCTACTTTATATTTAACAATTGCAGCAGAAAATCAGCAAGGTGATGCTGTATTTGCATGCTGAAAATAACATTCACTGATTCTTTTTCTGTTTGCTATACAGCTACTGAAGGCACAGAAGCCCACCTAGAAAAACATGACAACCTTAAATGAAAGCAATGCTGCACCTGTTGCATGTCTATCTTAAAGCTGCTAAAGGTACAGAATTTATCTCACTAAAACAAGGGAGCAAAATAATGAGTTCTCCCTCAGACAATCTGCTATTTCTGTTTCTTTGCCATTACTTACAAATACTTACAACTATCTAGAAATATCAGAAAGGGAAAGAAACAAGCATGCGTAACTTGCAACTGAGTAAACTGAATGTAGTTCTCCTTGCTGAAAATATCAGTAGTGCATTTATATAGACAAATCTCTGCTAATCCAGACACACCATAACACAATCTTTAGTTAAACTTAAACGATCATGATTAAATGGAGCACTTCTTCAGAACTGTTGACAGGAAATCAGTGTTGATGAGATGGAACTCAGTGATTGGCACTTAATTTCCTTTTAGCATAACTGTTACCATCAGCACAAAAATCTGTACCTATTTCATTCTGGCTTTCTCCTGCTCTCAGTATAATCCCTGCTGTCTTCAGGAGCTTTCCAAATGCACTGTTGCTCTCTACAACTTCATCTTGGGCAATGGCTTTTTTCTTTCCAGAGACTCGAGGTTTTTTTGTTTCTAAGATGGAAAAGTTAAATGTCATAGTTGGGAATGATAATTCTTAATATAACTAACTGAACTGCACATTAACTTTTATGCAAGAAATTCCACCAACATTTTGGGAAAATGAAATCAAAGAAACATGTATCAAGGACAAAGCATGAGAGTAGTCAGTAAGAGATATTATTCAGGAAGAGGATAAAAAGTGCAATCCCCAGAACATTTGAGAGATTTGTGGTTTGCAGTCCAAATTATAAAATTATTTCTTACACAGGATCTGCACATCAAAGGGTATTAAAGTGAAATCACTGGAGTTTAAAAGTGCTTAGCTTTTTAGCTTGTAAATAGCATTATTACAAAACCATATGATGCTTTCAGGATCTGTAAAACATGACTGTAACCTGAGACTTCAGATTAAAATTGTGTAATATTATATACAAGGCAAAACCCAGCCAAAATTCCCCCAATTCTTCAGAGATCACAGGGAATGCAGAGGGACTACATGTGGGAGAAGAGGATTGGAAAATCCTGCTCTGTTCAAGGTATGTAAGCTGCTGACAGAATGGCAATCTTGGAACCAACACAAGGTCAAGAATAATTGCCAATTCAATGCTCAGTAGTAGCACTGAAGCTCATTTCTGTCACACTGTTCCTGAGGTCCTAAGAATACTTCCAAACTATTGTGCAGTATCTAAGAGCTACAACCATCTTCCATTAAGAGGAGATAGGAGCAGGAATCATCTCCAGAACGCATGGAAGAAATCTGAGAGACTTCAGGTGCAATCCTATTTAAATTTAGACAGTAAAAAGACCTACAACTATGGTGACTGGGACATGCTGGGAGTTGTAGGCCTTTTGTAAATCTAAGTTTTCATAGAAGCATGGCGTTTTGATAGAAATATGTTGCCATAGTCACATTACATTTCTAAGGCTTTGTGAAGCATGGTATAAATTCTGGAATATACTCCACTACCCTTCCAGTTCCAGGCTTGAAAGGAGAGGTGGCTCTTTTCCTTCTTGTGCCTCAAGCTCAGGAAAAATGGCAATTGACAGAAGGTAGAACATTTGCTATGATAAACATATGTATAGAATACATGGATATGTATAGATAAACGCCTGCATAGAACACAGGAAGGTAAATTCAGCTCCTTCCTTCCATCGTGGATCTAATTATTTGCATTGCCAGTTTTTGCATTTTATTTTCTGCATTGTAGATTGTATTGCTTTGTTTTATTGGTTTTATATGGTTTTAATTAATTGTGTTAGTTATTGTCATGTTAAATTGTTTTAGATGTTTTATTATAAGCCACCCAGAGAGCCTCTGGGCTATAGAGTGCCATATAAATACAACTAACTAACTAACTAACTAATTCACTCTTCCCCAAAGAGATTACCATACTTAAGAGAACAATATCCAAAATATACAATGTAGATACATTACTCATATAGCAATTTTCTCTGTGCACTCACAAATAATTGTATATATTCAGTGTACATAATATGGAGGAAATGGGCTGAAGAAATGCAGATAACAACTATGTTTGTCCTTGCTGTTGACCTGGGCATTACAAAAATAATGATATTCTCTCTGCCTGGTGTCCTTATCCAAAAGAATTCCAGATGCCAGAAATGGTTTTTCCTTTACATACTTGGTAATTCTTCTATCGGGTTTTCCATACAGGCTCCAGTTTTGGACAATTTCCGTTTTGAAATCATGGCAACAACCACCAACGTCTCCTATTACAGGAATATTGAGAAAAGTATTAAGATGCTGACTGATGGGGAGATGTTTTTATTTTAAGACTTTGCAAATAACTTGGCAATGGAAAGAAATCGTGGACGGAACCATGCTCTAGTGATGTCTTATTATTAGTATGCAAACAGCAAATAACCTACTGAGGTAGTAAACAATTTACCACAGTACAACATATTAACAAAGATTAACAAATAGTGATAATTAATAATCCAGTGTGGCTTATCCATAAACCATGGAGGGTCATGAGCAACAAATGGAAGGAGGAAGGTGTACAGAGACTAGAATTGCATTCACATGCTTTCCAAAATATTTAGACAGCCTATTTCAGCTAATTAAAAGTAGGATGGTGATGCCCTGCTTCTCCCCAGAACACTCCATCTCCCTAGGCCAGTTCTTGTTTGCCAACTTTGGAGTCCAGCCCAAGCAGAAAGAACCACGCTGGCTTTGAGGGTGGGTGGAGGTAGGGGCAACACTTTCTGCTTGATTACAACCCTAATTTGTAATCTCAACACACTTGGCCACACCTTCCCCCCACTGGTTGCAATGACCTTGTTGTCAAATAAATATGAAGATGGGCTCTTATTACCTGAAGATTGTTGCTTATCAACGAATAAGCTGGAATCTCACCATTTTAAAGACTAGTTGCAAAGGAAGATAATGCACTTTGACTTTTAATGATTAAGCTGGAAGAAGCCTGACAGACGCTGCGGCTTTGTAACTACAGCTCCAAAAGCCCCAGCCAGCATGACTGATGGTTAGAGATTATGCGAGCTGTTGCGAAAGATTTCTAGAAGGGACGGGGTTGCCAAGTATAGTATTAGATAGCTACCAATACAGGACTGAGCAGAACCCCTCGGCCAGTCAGCGGCTGTTAAACTCTGCCCTCGCCCGGCGAGGTTCCCAGGGCAGCCGGCGCAGGCAAGCACCATCGCCCCCCGCCGCCCTCCACCAGAGCAGTCGCGCGACCGCCGCCCGCTCAGCGCTTACCGCTGCCGCGCGACCACAACAGCCCCAGCGCGAGCGCCGCCTCACTCAAATTCTCCCGCCAAGCAGCACCGCACCGGGCGCGCTGCGATGACCTCGCCGAGCACGTGACGCCCCTGCCGATGGGCGCCTGGCAAAAGCGTCGTTCGTCGTTCCCGGAAGAGTGAACGGGACCAGGCCGGTGTGGTAAGAGGTGTCGGGCGTTGTTGGGTTTTCTCCAGAGCCAGGTCTCGGACTTCTTTCTCCCCTCCCGCTTCGAGGGGCGGAAGAGTGGGGTGGCTCTGATAGCTGTGTTTCAGCTGAAGGGGGGTGTGAAACAGCTTCCCTCTTTCTGTGGTTAATTTTGAAGAAGAGAGGGGCCGGGGCTCCAAAGCTCCATGACCCGGAGGCCTTTAATTCTGGGTGTGTGGAGGCCTGCTGTGATTGTTTCCTGGCAAGGAGAAGGCCGTCTACGCAAGCTTGCGTGGCTTGTCTGTATTTATTAGCTCAACGGTCCTATTAAAACAAGGTTCTGGGACTGAGCTCTTGCTCAAATCCAGCATTACTTCTGAAGGTATCTTAGCCTGGCAGCTCCTTAGTTTCCAACCTCCCCTCTTTCTGTCTTAATCAAGCACTCAGACTGCTATCTTTTACAGCCTTGGTCTTTCAAGATTTGTATAGATCCAGTGTCTTGCCTTTTTACATTGCCAGGAACATGTGAGTGTAAGAAGTGTCCGCTTTTGTGGAGTTAGCTTTAACGGTCTGGAATTGGGACTAGGGCTTATTGGTGTTGTATTCCTCAATCTGGTGCCCTTCAATTATTCTGGTCATCAGCTCCACTTGGGATACTAAGTCAGAAATGCTGGGAATTGTAGTCTAAACATCTGGAGAGCACCAAGTTGAGAAACTTTGCTTTAAATTAAAGAGAGCTTAACTAGTAACACAACAGGTGGTCCAATATTTTTGGAAAGTTGAGGACAATTAGAAATCTTTTATACTCTTGACTGTAAGACTTAACAATTGTTGCATCATACTTTGTGTGTATGGATATTACAGATTGAAGCTGATACATTTGACCAGAATAATATTTTAAAAATGAGTGAGCCAGAACTGTTACTGGATTCCAATATTCGACTATGGGTTGTGCTTCCCATAGTATTCATAACCTTCTTTGTGGGAATGATTCGCCACTATGTTTCTATCCTGCTTCAAAGTGACAAAAAGCTCACTCAAGAGCAAGTGTCTGACAGGTAAGATGCTTCCAACTGAGTATTTGGCTATTGTCTCTTAACATTAATCATTAAAAGCTCTAGAGACTGATGACACCTTTCCCTATTCTTTTATTGCTGACTTTACTGGATGGCAAAGTGATGAGCTATAATATATTGGTGTGTGCATGCATTTATGTGTAGAAATTTGGGAATATTCCTAGACCTGGCTTTGCTTTGGGGTGTCTGTGTAATGGCCCTAATTTCTTCTGCCTTGTTGAGGCTGGGACACCAGTTGTGCCCATTCCTAAGAAGGTAGCTCTGATGAGTCATACCTTAATTGTAATCATACTGGATTGCTATTATGCACCCTACACTGGGTGGTTGTTGAAGAATCTCCAGAAACTTTTCATGATCCAGAAAATAGAAGAGATTGGGTGAGCACCAACAGCTGCACCAGGTCTCAGTTTGCCAACACAATGGAAAATAACAGTTATTACCTTAAAAGCTTTACATGGCTTAGGCCCAGGATACCTTAAGCATAATTGCTTCATTTCCTTTCTAAGCCTACCCACTGCTTAAGATCTTTGGGGGAATTTTCCATAAAAAGGGTATATAACAATGATTGTATTTGCATCATATGGACTATCAGTTTGTACATATAACCGAGAAGTTTACACATTCATTTTAGCGTTACTACTGCTGGTATGAATAATAGTCTCTGAAAGTTATTTATATCTATCATTGAGGTATCTTAAATTAAGCAATATTTTAGTCAACCACTTGCATTTATATAAAGAGAGATTATAGGATTTTATAGCATTATATTTTTATAATGTAACATATAACATTCTGAGCATGAATATGCATTGGGTTCACATCTAATACCTTGGAACCTTGCAGTCACTACAAGGTATGCACTCTCAAAGTAGAGAACATATGTTTATAAGTGAAAAATATAAAACAATACACTGATTTCCAAACAGGAAAATTTGTAGGGGTGATCTATAGTGGGTCATGTTTAGCTATTATCATTGGCGATCATAGCAAGTTTGGAACTTTTAACCCAAAAATTTGATTCAGTTAACCACTAGACTATATAGCCATTTTTTGTTAGTGTATGTTTATTAGTTATGATTTGTTTTAAGTTACACTATTTTTCCCATTATAAGGATGAAATATGTAGAGATTACTCTAAAAATTAAAATTCATCTAAAAGTTGGTACCTTGTTATAAGGCTATCTTCTACATGGATGCAACAGGTAGTGTTTGTGCAGGGATATGCATCCTTAGGCTATTTCCTATTTCACCTGTCCAGTGATGGTTTCTTTCTTCCAGCCAAGTTCTGATTCGAAGTAGAGTTCTCAGAGAAAATGGAAAGTACATTCCAAAGCAGGTATGACTCCATGTATGTGAGAATATTTGTGTGCAAACTTGGTCATTTGTGTATGTGTTTAATTAACCAGTATAGGAAGGTTAAACCTCAATTATTCCAAGACTTAGTAATCAGTCTTTATAACAACCTTGTCCTTACATTGTATGTGTCTACCTTAAGCAGCTACTGAATTTATTAACTGTTGTTTACTTCCCAGAGAGCTTTAGCTATTTGAGAGTATAGAAATAAAATAATAAAGTCTATTAATATCCACATGAATCAATGCATTGCCAAGGCAATACATGGTCAATATGTGATGCCTTCTGGTCGAAAGTGGGTTAGCATGCCAAAGGCAGGATTTGTGCTAGGAACATTGACTCTCTCATACAACAGAAGGGAGAGTCAGAAATCTGACCTTTCTCCCTCCTCCTTTATAACTGGCATGAAAATAACTGTTCTGGCTGAAAATCAACCTCTGAAAAGGGGTGTTCTGGTGGGCAGGGATGGGAAGAAACCAGAGAGATCAGGATAAAAGTCATCCTGAGCTGCCTTCTCCAGCTTCCTTTCCTACTCCTCTGAAGTACCCCCCCCCCCCGCAAAAAAACCCTGACTAGTAAAATGTGCTGGATGGGAAGTTGGGAAAATGAGGAACATCTCCATTGCATTGGATAATCAAAAGTCTCTCAGTTCAATTGGCTTGCTTTGTTAATTGATGCACTTTTTAAACAATAAAATGTCTTACTGGTAGCTGGGATCATGTCAAAGCAAAGTGAAGGCTTCTAACTGCTCCCATCTTTTTTCCTCCTGGATGGCTCAGCTGCGCATGGACCTCAGATGCCTTGGGAAATGAAGATGATAGATGACTGATACTTGCATCTGTTGTACACCCATTTTTGTGTTGGTGCCCAAGACAGTTTTCCAAATTTCCACATGTGCAGATGAACCCAAGAAATTTGCCTGCACCTGGATTACAGTGTCACCATTTCAGTTCATTAGAATTTTGCAAAATGTCATAGTTCTTAATAATATCATATGGCTCTCAGTACCATTTTTTTGCCATGCTTCATTGTTATTAGTATTCTGAAATGAGGAAATTCTCTGCTTGTATTGCTCCTTGACTGACTGACTGACTGAATGCTGTCTGTTTTGCTGCATCTGTATGGAAATCATATGTCTAAATCATGTCATCAGCACTAGGGAAAATGAAACTAAGGAGCTCAAGTGCTAAGGGTAAGGAGTTTTTAACCCCATTGATTCCAAATTGGATATACCACCATTGTCATTTTCCTTGAAATCCATAACTGTTTAGGAATTCAGGGAGGCTAGTTTGAAATGCAAATATGTTATAATAATATATCTGTTACCCCAATTCTTTTAAAAAGATGTAGACTGTATTTAACTTGGAAATGCATGCTCAATTCTCTTCATCATTAGAATTTGCATTTTTTCAGTCTTTTCTGACAAGGAAGTATTACTTCAATAATCCTGATGATGGTTTCTTTAAGAAAACTAAAAGGAAGGTAGTGCCGCCTTCTCCAATGACAGGTATGTAACAAGCCTTCTAAGAGTGCTTTGCTCTTTTATGATAAATTTATGTCATCTAAAACCTGAGCAATAATTAGAATAGCTGCTATGGTTATGTGCTTAGAAACAGTTATGAGACTTGAAGTCTAGTTAGCATCTTAGCACAGCCTTTTGCATGTCATAATAAATCTTCCCTTTTGCTTCATTATGGTTCTTGAAAATACTTAAAGATAATCTGGAACTGTGTTCTGATTTTGCTATGTGGTAAGTTAATGAAAAGTGGCACAGGTTTCTCTGTAATGTCCTTGATCGAAACCTACAGTACTACAATCTCTAAGCAGTTTGAAATACTCAGTCACTGGAAGCTTCCTCTGATGGTTGTCATTAAACAACAAAGATTGCTGCATCAGTTTCCCATCTGTTCTTGTCATTTGGAGTAATCATACTGTATATTACCATGTTCTGATGCTGCCGAAGGCAGTGTTGCAAGGATTGCAGATCTGTTGCAGACCAGTGCCACGGGGCTGTGGACTGCCAAACAGAAGTGAGCATGATGCTGAGAACAAGCTGCACTTTTGAATCCTGCCTTTAAGAATGAAGGGTCTGCTGGCTTCATGTGCTTAAAAGGAAGCAGAGCTGAGAGGAGAACCTGTGACCTGTTGAGAATGAATTAACTGTATACCTTGATGGTCATAGGTATGTATTATAAAGTTAAAAAGCAGAAGAGCACAGGTAGGCCTAAATGCTACAACCATGTTTCAGTAGCAAAATTAAATATTGGAAGGAAGATCAAACCAGGGTAATCAATAGTGCCAAGCAGGTTTTCTCTGGTGTGTTTTTATTCATACTCCAAGGCTTTAAAAATCAAAGGGATCAGACAGTGTATATTATGTATTCACCTGAACTGTGTTTACCTTGCAGATCCTACCATGCTGACAGATATGATGAAAGGGAATGTAACAAATGTGCTGCCTATGATTCTGATTGGTGGGTGGATCACCATGACCTTCTCAGGCTTTGTCACAAGTGAGTTGCAGCCTAGGAATCTAAACCTGGGTGGTCTGGAGGCCTTGGATCTCATTAGTTTGCTTATCACCTTCTCAGAGAATTTGCCTTGTACTTGGTGATTATGTGCAGTCTGAGCAATAGTGGACTTGAGCAAGTACGTGTTTGGCAGCTTCTGTTTCTGAAAAGGAAATCCTAAGTTACCTCACACCGAGGCCACTGTGTTAGCTTGGAATTCATACTTGTTAGCAACTGTGGGTGGTTACCTTGCTCCCAAAAATAATTGTCCACTTGAGGCTGTGTTACACTATTACTTTAATTGTGCTTCTTCAGAACTGCAATCCCAGAGTTAGGCTTTGCTGCAGCCAGCTTAGAGTTTTCTCTTCCAGTCTTTGTCATACAGTAACCACAAGAAATACAAAAGGAAATACTTGTGCCAGAGCTTCAGGCAGAAGTTTTCCAATAACTACTCTTTCCCTTCTCATCATCCTAACATGCCTCTCATCTGTAGGCAGAAGATACAGAGTTGATCCTATTTTGAATCAAATGTCAAATGGTTCCCCATGCAGCAATAATATTTGCTTTGTGCAGATTATTGAGGGGGTGCATGGGGGTTACTTCCTCCTGTTCCTTAGAAAGGAAGGTCTTGTGCACTTCCATTGGAGATTGTCTTGTTCTTTTAGATAAACTGAAAACAGATGCAGCTTTATTTTTTTGTCTTTTTAGGTGATTTCGAAATGCTTCTCAAATGCAACAGTAAAGGAGAGAAAAATTAAAATTCCATCTTTGTTGTTTTATTTTTCCTTTTGGCTGGTACATATTTAGAAGCTGTTTTATACCAAAGCAAACCAATGTTTCATTTATCTTAGTATTGTCTTCACTGGCTGGCAGCAAATATCCAGAATTTGAAAGAGGAGCCTTTTCTAGTCTTCCTTGGATATCCCATAATTTGAATCTGGCCTTTTTTACATGTAAAACATACTGAAATATGCCCCTTGCCTTCTGGGGTTGATGTTTTGTTCATCTGGCAAGCACTCTGTCCAAAAGAGAACATCTCATGCGGGAGGCAAAAAAAAAGAAAAGAACACTGTTCCTTCTGAGAAGCATCTAAAAACTTATGGCATAGCAAATTTCTAAGCTGTATTAAAAAGTATATTTCTCAACACCTTTTGGGGGGTGCCTTACTCTGTTTGCACTTTGACCACCTTCTCTGTGTCCCTTCTTCATTATACCTCTCCTCTTCCCACCTGTATCCAAAACAGATACTGTCCTTTGTCTTGCTCAAATCATGTGACATTGCTCATCCATTTCAGTTCTAAGCTCTGTATGGAAAAGACCTGTCTTGATTTATATACCTTTGTCAAGCACTGCGTAAAATTAGTGCTATATAATAATTGTTTTGTGACCCATTTTTTTCTTGCAGCAAAAGTCCCCTTTCCTTTGACACTGCGTTTTAAACCAATGCTACAGCAGGGTATTGAGTTGCTTACTTTGGATGCATCATGGTAAGAGTCTTTTATTATTAGACACTGGAAAGCATATTAAAACTGAGAAAGCTACTATACAGTCGTTAGGCATTCATGTACTTAAGTGACACTGAATATTTTTGCTTTCTTAGGGTAAGCTCTGCCTCTTGGTACTTTCTAAATGTGTTTGGACTTCGAAGCATTTATACCCTCATCCTTGGTCAAGATAATGGTACGGTTTTGCTGTTTACATGTTTGCTATATTAATGGGCCTACAACTCACAGCATGCCCCAGCAAGCACAGCTTGTAAGCCTTTTTTCTACCTAAACATGCAAAGGATTGTAGCCTTAGACTGATAGCATATGCTCTATCCATTCAATTAATATTCACTTGTAGCTCAGTTCAGTGGACTTAATGCAAATAATTAAGTGGCAAGAGTTGGTCATAATCCCAACATGATTTTCTTGAACTAGGTAAAATGCCATTGGTTTTCTCTCCTAGGAGATCCTTTCCTGTTAGTAACCCTATTTGTTTGAGATAGCAAGAGTGTTTCTTATGAGCTTTGACTCAATTACTTGCATTACTGTCCAATGCAAACTATAACGTACTTCATTAATAACAAGACAAATGCTTTGTTGTCCATCAGAGCTGAAGATAATTGAACCTACTTACCAAGGGCCTCCTACTTTGTCCCTCTATTTAATTTGCAGAAAGTTGGTGGGATATTTCGCTACCTGTCTTGAGAGCATAACAGTTGTTGCTCATCTTCTGGAAAATCTCCCCTGCTAATACTCTTTTTTAATAGCAGCCATTGGCCTTGTTAATTGGGGAAGATGGGTGTTGCAGTCTGCCATATCTGGGGGGACACTGGGTTAAGGGAGGCCATTATGCAGAATAACCATTCTTTCACATTTGCAGCTGCAGATCAGTCCAGAGTTATGCAGGAGCAGATGACAGGAGCAGCCATGGCCATGCCTGCTGATACAAATAAAGCATTTAAGGTATGAGTCTTCTCTTCCAGCTGCAGCGATGAGCCTCTCCGATGTCATGTTCTGTTTCCATTCTGTGAATCTCCAGGGGAAGTACCTCAAAAGCAAAAGACACCTACAAAAACGGTCATTCTTAAACACATGCGTTAGAAATGTATGCCAAAAAGTTTTCTAGCCTTTACTGGGGAGAAGGAAAACACTGTTCTGTTTTCAAACTGTTCTGAGAGTCTTTGGAAGTTTATTGTGGAGCTGTGATTGAGATGAATGATAGCAGACAAGATACTGATGTGTGTAGTTGCCACAAGTAGGTGAGTTCTGTGACACACTCGGTTAATGCAGGACAGCAGTGAGGTTCAACAGGTGTGCCTAGTGGCTTGCAGACTGGAAATGGAGGTTTATATGATTGAATGCTGGCAAAGAGGAGTCCCTCATACATCAAAAACTACCACATCAAGGAGAATGGTAGGTTAGAACCCTTTTTGTATTGGGCAGCATTTACTCATGTGAGCCCCCATCTCTAGATAGATATGGTGCATAGCCCAGGCACAGACTTCCCAGTTCTCACTTTCATAAGAAGTAGGCCTTTTTGTCCTTCGAATGCACAAAGCATTGCACTGATTCCCCAGCAGAACAGTAGACAATGGTTTCCCAAAGGCAGAAATTTTGCAAACCAGTGCATTAGAATGGCTGGGCTCACAGCCTCATTTCCTGTGGTCCTCCACCAGGTTAGCCCACTGGGGAGGGAGGCTGCAGGGGAGTGGGGGTCAGAAAGAAAGAGAAATGGGGTGGCCTCACACAGCAGCGCTGCATAGGCTCCTGACTGATTATTTCTAAGGGAATGTAGCCCTCAACTGAACTTTTCCTACCCCTGCATGAGAACACATCACATGCTAGTTGTTTGTCTTCTCTTATAGTATAAAAATAGCTGGAAAAATATGAGGAATTCTGTTATAGGTTGTAACTCAGTACCAATATTATGAAACAGCTTGTTTCACTCTGACCTTTCTGGTCATGATGCTTGCTTTGTGGACCAAGTGGAAATAGATAAAATGAGGAAGTAATATCTTGTTCAGTGTTGTTTCTTTTAACTGGAAAGTGATCATGAGGCAAGGAGTGGGGTGGAGACAATCCATGATAAGGCTGATCGACTGCATCACTTATTTGCAGGGTGGGGTGGGGTGTCATGTCATATGAACACAACCAAAATCTCATTTGCAAATGGCATAGCATTATGTGGTGAGGTTCCGAGTCGACACCACCATGAACAAATGAAGGCAGAACATTTAGCAAGCCCTCTCCAGCCAGTGTTCAAAGTAGGAGAGCAGGCGGTCGATGCACTTCCACTGGCCCATCAGTGCTCTTTCTTTGTCACTGCAGACGGAATGGGAGGCTCTAGAACTGACTGACCATCAATGGGCACTAGAGGATGTTGAAGAGGAACTCATGGCTAAAGATCTCCACTTCGAAGGCATGTTTAAGGAAGAGTTGCAGACGTCCATGTTCTGACATTCTTCATATGATTGGCATTCAATAAGTTCTGTTTAATACCTACAGTGTATCCTGATGGATAGCCAGAATAAACATGATCAGAATTTATGTGAGTTACCGAGCTGCGGGCAAGGTCTCATCTGATGTCATTTCAGTTATGATGGAGCTGTGGCATGCCACCTGTGGGTGGGTCAGAGACTAAGCTTCTAAACATATAGCTGTTAACCAAACTTACTGGCAGAAGCATGTGCAGGATGGTTTGAAATTGACAGCTCTGGAAGATTTTTAGAAGTCTACCAGCTGGTACTCTGGAAATATTTTAAGCATTGTCTCTTAATATTTCTTGAAATATTGGTATAAGATTATGTCCTGAAGCTTCTTTCATTGCTGGGGTTCAGATTTAAAACATTTGAATAACTACCAGTCTCTAGTTATTTGGGTTAAAATAGAGGGAGCTTCCAGAAAAGGTTCTCCCTACATGTTTCCATCCAGTGGTCTAGACACTGAAATACTCTCCTCTGTCCACTAGAGGGCAAGATCTTTTGAGAAGATTGACATGGCCAGTCACTGAACAAGGAATTACTTTTTCCGTTCTTGCTTATGTTGCTCCTGCCTCATCAATGACCAGGCACAGATTTGAGTTCTGCTCTGCTTGGCCAGTAGCGAAACACTGATTATATCAAAAGTACGCAGTTGAACCCTTCAACTTTAGCTGTCTTCAGTCCCTAGATCCATTTGTAATTGTATTTCTTTCATGTAAGTATTTGATTGGAATGCTAGTAAGACATGTGCTGGAACCAAGGGAAATCCCTTTTTTATTAAGAGATTGTTCTTGCCTTTGGAAAACAGGCTTGAGGTTTTAACCTTATTACTTCCTTAAGGAACAAGCACCTAAAGTCTCAATGTCTATATAACCTAAGCCCCCTTGTGATTTGTGTTCTGTTGCTTTTTGGAGAGTCGTATGTATAATAAAAATGCACATTCCTAAAGTTCATAATGCTAGAACTAGGTTGACTAAATAAAGGGTTCTTGTTTATTTCTCAGCCAAAAGCAGATAGTGGCTGTGAATCAGTTGTCATCACACTGTAATAGTAACATAGCACAAATAGATAAAAAGCTGCTGAAGCTGTATTCTTAGCTATCTGAAGCTGGTCAGAAGGCTAATATTGGGAATATTAGCTTTTCAGGGTAACATTTGGCACTAACCTTGATGTGATAGCCTATGTTTTTATGCATGAGAACAATGACGGGGGGAAGTTTACCGCCCTTGTATTTTTAAGAAACAAGCTGGTGTTTAAAGTAATTAACCAGAACCCTAGGCAGCTCATGTTGCAACTTTTTCCAGCTCAAAGCCTGTATTGCTTCAGTGGAACCTGGTGTAGACTGCTTTTGCAGCAGTAGGTCAGCTTTATTTATGGTTCATGATGCAAGCGTAATTCCTTACTCTCTAATATATTAAAGACATTGTTTAATAGTCAACTTCAAGATGTTTGCATTTTATTTGCTACTTCTAAGCCAGTCACCTCACTTCTATTAATTCTTATTCTTGTGTGGAAAGTGGTTTTATGCAAAATATTTTCTAAACAACACAATAATTTGGCTTGCATCAAGATGCTAAGCTTGCATCCAACATAACAGTAAAAGGAAGAGCCAACAAAGCTAGATCAACAAAACAGAGCTACTTCCATCTCTGATGTGCGTCAGGTAGTGGGGGATGGGTCCAGACACTTGCCCGCTCCGTGTTTGTGGCATACATGTGGAATGTTCTTCTGTGGCAATGGTCTGCTGAACATCTTTTTGTGTTGTATATGAATCAGTTACTGCTCTGGATTGTAAACCTGAAGAGTAAATGGCACTAGATGATGCTTTTTAAAGGGCGGGTGGAAGAAATAATACCTCTGGTTATTCTAAAGATTCTCTGAGTATATTAACTTCAGTTCTGAACTTAGTTTTTCTTGTATCTTTAGCTGTCCCTGCAAGCTATATTGTCTTAAGCTGCTTTTGCCTTAATGTAGAACACAGGTGGGGAACCTTTTTTCTGTAAATATTCTTTGACCAACAGGAAAAATCAAAGCCTTTGTCAGAGGTGGACAAAGTTTGCAGCATTTCATATCTATTTATGTGCTACCCTGTCCTTCCATGTGTACCATTTTGCATGGAATCAGGCTGGACATTGCAGATTCTTTGCTCCAGATATAGATAATAGGGCTTGCACCATTTTGCATTTTAACTAGTACTCATGACAGCCTTTGAACATGCTGTAGCTGTAATTAAGAATTGCAGATATCATTTTATTGGGAACAGTGGTTCAGTGAAATATATTTTGGCGTGTTCATGTCTTATTGCAAAATCCTTGCCTCATCTCTGGAAACTGTAGAAACCCATTTTGGCGTTTTTCCATTGTTTATCTGTTTAGGGTGGGCCACTCTCCTCCCATCAGAGTAACTCCCTGCTGGCATCTGCCTTCTTGTGTGGGTGGATACCACACCAAAATCTTAGGCCCTAAACGTTAAAAGGTAAAGAGATATACAAGAGTTCCTTCCATTGCCACTAGCTCAGCTTTACCCATGACATAGTTGAAGGGAGAACTGTATTTGTAAATAAAGGAGACAAATCAAAAGACAACTGAGTGTTTTATCCATTTGTAATTAACTTAGATTTGGCATTTTTAAAGTACACATCTATGACCAAAGATGGATTCATGAAGCTGCTCTTCTGTTATCTCCAGAGGATGATCTGTTTCAGGTGAGTAATAGAAGAAAGTGCATGTTTGGCTTCCCTCACCAAAAATGTATGTGCGGTTCTCAGGTATCACCACTTGGGATTGTGGAGTCACAAGACTCGCATTCAGTCTGGTTCTTTAGTTCTAAAGTGCCACTGACTGGGCCTACAGTCTATTAATTCTTGTTGATATAAGGAGTTTATGCAGCAGTAGGATTTGCACAGTTGCTATTGCTCCTTCTAGTTTAAGTTGTGTTTGCTGCAGGCATCATCTTAAAAATTCAAGTTGCAGCTGCAGCTTGTGTCATCCAAACCTGGTGGGGGTGGGTTGTGTGAGGCTTGAACAACCCTTCCATAATCCTAAAACAGACCATGAGGTTTGGATGGGTTGTTCAAGCCTTGCACAATCTAGTCCCACCACCTTTGGATGACTTGACAAGCTGCAGGTGCAGTTTTCATTCTCAAAATGGCTGCTTGGACACAGCAAGATATAAATAAATAAGATACAGTGGGTTGTTTGTTGGTGCAAATGGGTTCATTGTCTTTTCCCATAGAACCTACCCCACAGTTCAGAGCCATATTTTGCTTTAATAAATGAACTAATATCCAGTGTTTGGCAATATTTTGTTAGAAAGCATGACAACCTGTTGTTCTGTATGTGATCCCCTGTGCCTGTCCTCATTATGGAAAAGCCATGTCTTGAAAGGGACCATATCTGATTGGTAGTATTATTTTTCCTAATTCCAACTGATAGGTTTTCACCATGGAGAAAGTACTATAATTTCACAAAATATTGTGAATTGCTTGCTTTAATAGTGCATCATACAACTGACAGGATTGTTTTCTAAAGTGTCCCTGGTTCAAAAGTGTTACTATCAAACTTTAAAATGAAAATAGCTCACACCTTATACCAGCCCATCTAGTGTGGCTGATGCAAGGCGGAGCTGTTCAGTCTGTACTCCTCTTCCATATCCAGCAGTGTTTCAATAATGGCATCATCCTCTGGGCTGTACTCCAGGACCTTTCTGAAAGTGCTCCTCACATCCAGATCCAGGGCTGAAGCCTCATCTAGAGGAAACAGTTCATCTGACATCCTAGAGTTTTGCTGAAGCTCATTCACAGAATCTGACTTTCTTGGCAGCTTTTCTGCAGGCCAAACAGCTGAGTTGTCTTCCGTGTAAAAACAAAAATGCGACATATCAACCTTCCTTTCAAGTAACTCTCAGTTTCTTTTAAGACTGATGAAGCTGACAGGAATTTTCAAGATGAACAATCTCAGTCATACATTAGAAAATTCAGTAAAAATACTTTCAGCTGATGCAGCAAGACTGCTACATTTTATTTGAAGACAAGCACCTTCAAAGGGTAATGGAACTAGAGGATTCTAAATAAAGAGTGATATTCTGGCCACCACGGCCTACAGCATCCCTTCCCCTCTGCAATCATATGCAAGCGTCTCCTGAGTGCTGAGACCATACCTCTCAATGAGGTGTTTGGTTAGCACTTTGTGCTTTTCAGGCCTCGGCCTTCTGTTAAAGTTACTTGCTGTGATACACTCTGCACTTACTAATTCATATACTCTGTAATACTGATTGAACAAACAGCATGTGCAGGAAAATAAGTCAGCAGGCAAAAATTAGGGGTACCTTACGCTATACTTTATCAGACAGACAGGCTCCCACTGTTTCCATAAGGATGTAATACTGCTGCCCTTTGCCTACCTGGTTTAAGAAGAGAGCCATATCCAAGGAGCAGGGCAGGCATCACTTACCACCCACATCAGCAAGATCTTTGGGACTCTGTGGAGGGACATCGCTGGCAGTTACACTTGTTTCTGACTTCATGGACCTTTCATCGGTTTTGCTAAACACCACAAAAACACTGACTGAACAACAATACAAAGCCAATGTCCACTGTACAAGAAACATTCCCAAGAAAATGTTCTGTGGTATACTATAATTTATCCCAGTAAAGAGTAGATACTGTAAATGTCTGGCTCATGGTACTGGAGGTTCAGAACATTGCTGTGTCTGTTCTGTTATATTAAGAAAAAGAGTGAAACAGTCTACAGGTGTTAATTGCAGACTGGGCTTCTGGGCTATGTGGGATTCTTAGCAAGGGTACTGTAAAGATTTCAGGGGAAATTATTGGAGAAAAAATAATATCCAAGATAATTACATCACAAGGGTATGTGTGTTTATGATGGTGACACAAGATCTGTGACCTAGTGCAAAACAACTAGATATGATGGAGATATTTCTGAGACATAAAATCACAAGTAGCATGCCCCACCCCTGATTATAAAACATTGTAAGTCCCAGACTGAAGCTGCAGTTGCATAAATGTACCCGGAAGTAACATTGAACCACTGGAACTTGCCTCCATGTAGATACATATAGGACTGTGCTATAAGGCTATAATTTGCTGCAATTTCTGACTAAAACTATGCCAGATGGGCCCTGCAACCTGCCTGGAATTATAGGAGCTCATTTTTGAGAAAGAGAAACATGTCAGTGCTTGGATGCTCTCCGCCACCATCAACTAAGCCTGTTGCCCCCCTACTAGCTTAGGCTTGCTTCAAGGAGCTTCCTGCATGGAGATAGGCATGCCTATCTCACAGGAGGGGCCTGGCCATTTTTAGGGAGGCCAAAAGATGGGACAGTCACCTGCAGCAAAGCAGCAGATGCTTACAAGCAGAAGCAAAATGGAGGTGGGAGGGATACGGTGGTAGAGCCAGGGCCTGCTGGCATTCAACATAAGCAAGCATATTCTGAGCACCATTAACAGATATCAAATAGTTACTCATAATCTACCCCACTGGGGCATCTTTTGACCAACAGGACGCTGGACTGATAGCCATTAAACTTGCCATGCAAGGGCTATTTACAACAACACAGAAGTTAAGCCCATGCCAAGCAAAGCATACCTTAGATGTCCTTTTCGCCATCTCTCACTGTCTTCCAGGCTAAGAAAAAACTGCCTGTCAGCCATGAAGATGGGAGGATGCAGCCATGTATTTTCCTTGCTTGTCAGCGGTTCCCGTTTTGTACAAGAAATGTTGGAGCCTACAGTCACTGGAATGAGACTTGGCCTGAAGAGAGGATTCTCTTTTTCAGGAGCAGAAGAAACTGGTGGAGACAGCTGAGGGCAACAAACAGTGGGAGGAATTGGCTCTCCCTTGTGATTAAAAAGATCTGTGTTGGGAGGTGTAGATGGTTGTGTTATCAGCAGGTCAGAGTTCTGGTCAGTTGTGGGATCTGGGGAGGGGGGGAAAGGAATGGAAAGATCTTCCATTGCTCTGTCAATAGCTGCAGTCAGCTCCTTACGGCATCTACGTAGCTTTTCAGACATCTCACCTGAAAGGGAGAAGTACCTCATTGTCTAGGAGGTTGATTCCTTAAGAAAATATACAGTTGAAGTATACAGAGCCACTGAAGGCAGTGCCAAGCTGCCAGTCCCTCTTGAAGCCAGTCCTCTCAAATCATGCAATGGCTCCAGAACATAACAGCCACTAAATGCTGACTTGGCAAAAACACAAATGTGTCCTACCACTATCTGCTCCATCGGATACTGGGCTAGACTTAGATTTAAGCTGGATCAGCAGTGCTGGCAGAGGTGAACCTCCCTACCCCTCTCTAGCCCCAGCTCCCTTGAGAATGCTAGACAGAGAGGAGAACTTCCAGAATTGAACACATTCCGATTACTGAAGGACCCTTCCTAGCAAGAAAGGCAGATCATGGATCAAACCCACTGATTTTTCAAATACACACAGCCAAATCATGGTTTTACATTTGGTTCCTGAGATAAATGTGGTTTTCTCCAGGACCTCCAAAATGGCATTACAGTTTGACATTTATATAATACGGACTGCACCTTGCCAATGAAGCTAGAAGTTTTTAACCAGGAAGATACATTCCCATATCTCCTCTCAGCCATTAAACTTGTTGACTATCATTACCTCTCCAACGATTCTACTTCAAACATTATTGTCAGAATAAAAATGTGGGGGGGGGGGCTCTGTATGCATTCTGGGATTCTTTGAGGAAAGGTTAGATACTATAGAATAGCTAAAGTACTTAGTAGTGGACTTTAATAAAACTTTTATTTATTTTTAATTGCACTAAATCCCACCTTTTTGCTCTTACAGGGAAACCTAGGTGGCTTACATCGTCATCCTCTTCTCCCTTTTATCCTCACAATAAGCCTGTGAAATAGGTTAGGCTTGAGAGTACACAGTTCTCGTGATCAAATAAGCCGCACTGGGTTTTGAGCCATGGCATGTGCCAGGCACAATATGTATAACCATAGTTTATTGCTACATCCTACGCAAGCAGCATAGCTTCTTGCAGGATTAAAAAAAAATCAAAGAGCCTATAGGTTATTGTAGGGCTTAAACCATGTTGGCTTGTTTCAGTCATGCATACTGGCCCAGTGACAAGCCCAAGGTCACCCAGGAAGTGGGGACTGGATCTCCTGAGTGCCAGTCCAGCACTCTAAGCATGATGGCACATTGATTCTCAGCTGCTACCCTTGCTGTAGCTGTTAACGTTGTTTAATAGTTATATCCTGCCTGTCATTTTCTAAGTGCTGTTAAAACTTTCTAAGCCCTGATCTGCAGTTTTCCTTAATACCAATTTTATGTATAAAGCTGTTACTTTCATTTTGATCTTACCGGCCTTACCTGGGTTTGTCTTGCCCTGGCAAGTCCCAGCCACAGATGCACAGGTTCTATCTGTTCTACCTTTTTAGTGTAAAATATTTACATCCATTTTCCTTCTTTTAGCTTCTTTATAGTCACATTTAATTTTAAGATCCATAGTTACCAAAGCATGATCTGTCACCTTTATCAAACCTATATCTGAGTTATACACTCTAGATAACAAATCATTAGCCACAAATCTATAGTCTATCCTTAAATAAGCCTTATGAAGCAAAGAATAAAATGTATACCTGTTTTTCATTTCCCTTTAACTCGCTCCATACATCCTTCAACTCACTGCGTTACCCTGCCATGATCAATGTATAAAAGCTCAGCTGTGCCATTTGTAAAAAAAATCATCGGCAGCCAGTTAATTCTCAAAAACCTTGCTGCTTTGTGTATTTTGGGCATATACACACCAGGACACAGGCCGTTTGGTCAACACCACTGAACTCATGTTCAGTGTTACTCTATGTAGCGCAACCTCCATCAACAGTCTGGTGCCCTCCAGATTGGACTACAACTGTCATCATTCTTAGCCAGCCCTCAGCGGGAGGGGGAGTCTACCACCCTCATCATCCCCAGCCCACATGGCCAGTGGCACCAGATGGCCCTGCCCCAGTTCTATACTAGTGGTCAGTCTCAATTCATCTATTGGTAAGTTGTAAGCATTCACTTTTAGATCGCTTTAAAGCCTACGCTGATATTTCTTGGGGGCTAAGGGGTTATTCAACCCAATCAAGTGATCCTCTTGTAGACCAGACACAAAACCTTCCAGACAAAGCAAAGCTGAACTGTTCACCTGCTGTCCCAAGCGTGAAACAAGGAAAAGACAGGAGAACAATTGCTCAGGCGTTCGTGTTTTGCATGGAAATCGTCTGCTGGTCCACAGTGTGGTGCCGCTGCCCCGCTCGCTCTCTCGCTCGCTCGCTCTGGCGGGGGTCTCAACTGCCACGGAACCTTTGCCCCTGCTGGAACCTTCCCTGTCCTGCTGGCAGGCCCCTCTCTCTTGGGCCGCCTACAGCGCTGCGTCCACTTGCAACCCTTTTAGCAGAGCATTTCTCTGCGTGTAAGCCTGAGGAAGAGAAATGCAGCTGCCTTTTAGCCCACCGGCCTTCTGACAGAGACTTTACAGCCATCTTTCTCCATCTTTGTATTTCCAATGTTTCCATGCGACAAGCACAGCAAAGTCTACAGAAAAATCGAGGCGTGTCATAGATGCGAAAACCTCATTTGCGGTGTTTGTATGGGACACATCTCCCCTCCATCTGTTTGATGACCTTGCCTACACAGATAAGGAATACCTGGGGCAGTAGAAAGTCTGATTTTCTAGAACAAGAGTAGGCAACATTGTTGACCAAATACTCCGTGTCCTTATGTGCATGTGAATGAATGAAACTTGTGTATGAAAACCAATATGCACTAGGTTTTCTTTTCAAAGATTTATTCTCAGGAATAACCAGCTGCCAACAAATTGTTACAGATGGCACCCCAGCAGTCCCCTGTTGTCCCTTTTATACACTGACAAGTAAAGTGTTACATGTAACACAGTTAATACTTTCTAAAAGGTTACAGAAGTAAGAATGGTGTGATCTTTCCTGCCTGCAGACCAAAGCAGAAAGAAGATGCTCAGAGGTGGGGGGGGAATGGGTTGCTATTACATAGAAGAGGAGGCAGATGGGGTTGGTTAATGTGAACTGCCCTTTGTCAGAGGTGCGGTTATTTGTCAAGTGCCAACTAACTTTCCCTAGTGTCAGCTATGATGCACAAATCAATAGGTATAACCCACACAGATATAACCATGCAAATAAATATCAAGCTATAGCTGGACTAGAAAAAGAATCCTTTTCTTTAGACATTTTCTTGAAATGTTGCTGACACTAACCAGGCACCAGTCCAAAGACATTAAGCTGACACTTACCAGCTCTAGCAAAGGGTAATTCACACCACCCTCCCTCTTCCTCTGAATTACACTCCACCCTCCTCCCTTCCTTAAAAGAATCTTCTTTCTCTTTGGAATGCAGGCCAGAAAGATCATGAAACTTTTTAATTCTGTAACCTGATAGCAAGTACTAACTGTGTTACCTGTAATGCTTTAATGATCAATGTATAAAAAGGTCAACTGAGGACTGCTCAGTTGGTAGCTGGTTATTCTTGAGAATAAATCTTTGAAAAGAAAACCTTGCCCTGTTTGTCTATTTTGGGCATACACACACCAGGATGCAGACCATTTGGTCAACAGCTACATTTCAAGGACGCATACATGCTGATTTCCAGAAAGGAGGGTTTTTCTCTTGCCTAGCTGTGTGTCCATGATTGCATGATTTTACCTATGAAAGTTATACCTATTGATGTGTGCATCAGCATGGTGCCCAAAGACACTTAAGGGTTCCTCCTCTGACATTTTTCTTGGCAAATTCCAAAGTACATCTTCCTCCTACTTTTTAAATAGTAATAAAATGTTCTTGTCAGCAGCTGGGATCACTTTAAAGTGAAATGAGAGCCTGCAGCCAGTGCCATCCTAATTTCCCCTGAATACCTCTGGGCCACATGTGGGGATCTGAGACACTAGGAAATGAAGACAGAGGGTGGCTGCTGGGTGATACTTTCCTCTGCAGCACATCCAGCTAACAAGAAAAAGGGAGGGAGAAAAGAAGGGTCTCCTGACAATTTCATCTGCTAAGATGGGGCAGGGGGTGAGGGGCTAAATGGACCTGTGGCAGGAGGGGCAATGGCAAGCCGGCTGGATGATTAGGAAGCCAATGGGAAACAAGCTGCTAGCATGGGGTTGAGGCTGGAGTGTGTACTTGTGGGTCCCACTGGACAAGACTGTAGGCAGGTGAGAAAGAGAAACTGAAGGAAGGTTGAAGGGATCCTGGAAAAAGAGCAAGAGAGAGGGGGAAAGAGAGAAAGTAAATGTATTAAGGGAAACATTCTATGAGATATTTGTTGCTGGAGAGGTAATTGTTGGAAACTGGGTTCAAACAAATTTAGTGTGATGTGGACCACCAGTTGGAGCTGATAGAAGGCTCTCTGAGCCAGTGAGGCCACCTGTGCTTCAAGAGACAAAGATGGATTAAGGAGACTCTCCGAGCTACGAACCTGCTGCTTCAGGGGGAGTGCACCCCTATCTAGATCAGGTTGAACACCCTGCATCTGGTCAGAGGAATCACCCAGCCTTGTCTGGACGGAGCTTCGATTTGTTAGTCCTCATTTGTCCATTCTTGCAGCCAAGCACCAATTTAACACATTCATGGATTTAAAGCTGCATGTTATCAGCAATCCCACTCAGCAGTTTCATGTAGATGTTAAAGAGCATGAGGGACAAAACAGACCCCTGAGGAACTCCATGCTGGCAAATTCATGGGGTTGAACAATATTCCTCAAGCACCACCTTCTGGAGGCAGTCCTCCAAGTAGGAGCAGAAGTGCTACTATTAAGTTAATGGCATACATATCGATAGTATTCTAATAACATTTTTGGTCACTGTTTCAAAAACTCGGTATACTAAGATGCCTTGGAGCAGAATTCCATCATCCCCCACTAGTGGAATTCTTCAGGTTGGAACAAAGACAAGTACAGGAACATGTGATAGAGGTATTCAAAATGATGCATAATGTAGAGAAAGTGGTAGAGAGACACTGTTCTTCCTTTCCTATAATACAAGAACCTGAAGTCATTCCATGAAGCTGATTTGTAGAAGGAAGTGCTTCTTCACATAGCACATAATTAAGCTATGGAAATTACTTCCAGAAGATAGAGTGGTGGTCACAAATTTGGATAATTTAAAGGTGGATTGGACAAATCCCTGGAAAATAAGGCTATTAATGGCTACTAGCCATGATGGCTATCTGATACCTCTGAGATCAAAGACAGTATGCCTATGTACACTAGTTGCTGGGGTACATCGGCAAGAGGGTGCTGTTGCTCTCCTATCCTGGTTGGGGGTTACTGTGTGAACAGAATGCTGGACTAGATGGACACCTGGCCTGATTTAGCACAGCTCTTCTTATGTTCTTATATTTTGATGGATGGGATGTGGTTATGTGAGAGCAGTTGTGGCAGTTAGAAATAAAGTGACATGGCCTCGAGTTGTAAGATTCCTGTCTCTTACCATGATTCCTGGAGGGACCAGCTTCGCTCTCCCAAAATACAGCATTACAAGGTGGGTACCTTAGACTCTGCATCTGAACTGGATGAATACTTAGTTGAGATGCCAGTGTCAGCAAGATCAAGATAAGCTGGGCAACCATTTCACCTTTTCCTCCAAGAGAAAATAGGAAGATGAGAATGTAAAAGGGCAGGGATGTGCAGGTGTACAAAACATGCTCAAAACAGCTTTCTGAGAAACCAAGTGACAGAGCAAGCCTGTAGAAAAACTTAGATAATTGTGGCAAAGCTGCATCAAATTGCTGTTCTGCATTGATAACCTTGGACTGAGTGTGTACTATGAGACTTCATAGATGCTACAAAGAGAGAAGATACAGAAACATCTATAATTTGCATGGAGTTCAGTATTGGGTAATGGGGACTAGTTCTCTAGTTTTGTGACTGTGAGAAATACATCAGTTCTATTTCACTGCCTCCCACCCCCTTATTTATGTGATTATTTTTCAAAACATCCATTTGCTATTTGGAGTCCAATTTACTCAGCCGGGCCTTGTCCGTGTTGAAGACATCAGTGATCCAGTTCATATGTCATGGCTCATGGTTTGTGTAACATAACCCATAAAAAATGCAGTTTCCAAGTTAGGATGCCATGCTAACAACCAAAAACAAGAAATCTGTATGTTCTTTCTGAGAAATTGAAGCGGTTGGTGCACAATGCAGATCTTCACAACTTGTGATTCATTGACTTGTCACTGATTTGCAGCCAAATGCTCTGATGTGCTAACAGCCCCACAGATATCATTCTTGGGTAGGACAGGCAGTTCCATATGTTGACCTTATTCCACATTGTACCCTAAACTGTTTAACACCTATGTGAAAGGACAGAGAGGGTTCATCTGGAGGTTGAGGGTTTCTTGTCAAGATGCTGATAATACTCTTGTTCCTCGTTTCCAAATATTAAGCCCAGGGAGAGTGCAAAAACTCTGAACTGTTATCTGGCGTCATTCTGGTTTAGCTGCAAAGAAGCTGAAACTTATTTGAGATCAGATAGGTTGTAAACTGATAATTCTAATCTGATGGAGAAAGCTAATTCTTCCTGGCTCCTCCTTTCCAAGAATGCAATCTGAGGCCTCTTCTGAACCCACAAGTATCTTTGCATGTATGGTCAGCCAGCCAGCCAGGAGTGTCTTTTACCAGTTCTGACTGACTTGTCAAATTGTTACACATGCACTGGTTGCTGCAATCCTCTCTGTGCAAAGCTGCCCCTTAAAGAGGAATCAGAAGAACTCCAAAATATGGAGAAGATACTAATAGAAGCTCATACTACACTGATTCTATGTCTTTTTTACAAGTTACCAAACTCTTTGCAAGTTCAGTCTGAAGGGCTAATCCTGATATTTAAGCCCTAAGAGGGCTAGGACCAGGCTATCTGAAGGACAGCTTATGCCCAATATGAACCTGACTCTGGAGGCCCTGCTTTCTGCCTTGCAGTTAATTAAGATCAGAAAAGCAGGAACCAGATACAGTAGATGGACCTCCCTTCCTTGGAAAATCCAGCAAGCACCCTTCTCTTGCTGTCCTTACCTGTGCCAGGGAAACTTTTTTGTTTTGTTTTACAAGGTCCTCTATATTCTGTAATGCTTTTAATCGTTGTTATATTATTTATACTCTAAGCTCCCTTACAAATTTTCATTTTGAATGGACTGTATACATGAGTAAAAGATACTGGACAGAGAATGAATCATCCAAAGTTTCCACAATATCTGAAGAGGAAGATGAGATTCTCTGTGACACGCTGCTCCATCAAATTGACATAAAGCAAGTGCAGTGAACCAGTTCTGTCTGCTGGATTAACTTCCCATGTTCACCCTCGTACTTCAATAAAGGCAAATCTTTTAGATGACTCTTTTAAAACGATTAGTCCTGCATCATGAACAAGGAAGTTGTTCTTTCAGATATCGGTATGTCTAACACACAAGCGTCACACTTTCCTAACAGTAAACCTGCACTTATGCAAGATAGCTCAATACTGAACAAATGTAAATGAAACTAGTATCACTCTGAATTAAACAAGAATGATTACCTACCATGGTTGTCATGTTGTGCAAACCTGCTAAGACTACTGGAAGCCATGGGCATCAAAGTGAAATTGATCAGCTTTGGGCTCACCTGTTTAGGCACATCTCTTAAGGTTCCTGCTTGCTTCTTGTTGCCCTCTCCCGTTGAGAAACACATCAATACTTATTTCTGTGCTTTCATCAGCAGATACCAGCAAGAAGCCTCTATTTCACTCCAACAGTATGGCAAAGCTGGGTTTTAATAGGTTCTTCTCCATAGTTTATCTGACCTTTGTTTTCTACCAAAAGCTGGTTGCCTGCTTCAGGAGGTATAGTAATAAAGGATAGGGCTTACGCTCCTCATAACTTGAAAAACTTCCAAGAAGCTGTGTATGTGATACAATAAGAAATGGCTGGTGTGAAAATGTTGATGTCACAGGCTATTAAATCCACCAAGATTGCAAGCCACCACTATTTTGCAACATCTCCTCTGCAAAAAAAAAAAAATGACCAACAGGACTATTGCGAGCATTCCAGCAACATTTTAACAAACAGGGTGCAGGCTTAAGGATATTTGCTAAATCCTTGTTCACCATGGGCAAACAGCAGAAAGCTCACACGCACTGCAATCCACTCTTTTATTTATTTTCTTTATACAGTAAAGCCAGCCACTTACAAAGTGCTAGTCTAAAAACAAATTTTGACACTATACAGAATGTGCACACCAACTAGGATCCAGCCTGGTCAGAGGCAAATCCAGGTTCCTAACACCATCTTTACAGCATTTAGAAGAAAATTAGTTCAGGAGCCCAAAATCACCCAAATATAAATGACCATACTAAGAGCAGTGAAAATATTTCTCCTTCAGCATGGAGCAGAAATGCATATGGGTACATCAAATTGCTCTCTGCTTTTAAATATTTGTTTCCTTATCTCTCCAAGTGTTGCATTGTCAAAAAATTAAAGAACAGAAAAACAAAATTTCAGTGACGATGTGAACTTAGCCTTTAAATAATTCTAAGCCCCACCTACTATCATCCCAACTGTGCCAAAAAAAAAAAAAAAATCCAGTTGAGGCAAAACCTCAAACCAATTTTTAAAATCCAGAAGCCTCAGCAACTGAACTAAAGAACCCAGACTTCAGTGATTTAGAAGGTGTATTCTGCAGATGTCTCAAAGAATAATAGGAAGATTGTTAGTGAGCAGAATGTTGCTGACAACAATTGAGGACACTTCTAGTAGAAGCTACAAAGAACACTTGACCATTTTAAAAACATTCTGCTAAAATGACATCAGCTGTCTATGCCACTGGTTCCTTAACACCTGCAGTATTGCAGAGTAAAGAGATCAGCACAGAATCTCTCTAGGAAAATAGTATCTCCCAGTCCATGGAAAGAACCCTTGGGAACATTTAGAACACAAAAGTGCAACGGCCTCACATAGGTATCAAAATGGCTTCAAAGCTACAATGCTTAACTGCAAGTGTTTCAAGGTGCACACAAACTTTTATGATATTATGGAAAGCTCTCTCAACCTAGAAGACTCTCATCTGTCATACTATGTGAGTGGGGTTAATTACACTCCCAGCCCAGAACAACTTAGAGAAGTGGAAATGGCTAGAATTAAAGAAGTGCCAGATTTATAGGGAAAATACCTAAAAGTGAGATATGAGTAAATTTATTCCACCAGGAAATGGCAACGAAATGGCTAGAAAGAAAAATACTGGATTTGAGAACATTCAAAAAGAGGTAAGCTATGAGGCTATATAGCAAGGGGATGGCATATAAAAACTTTAAATAAACATCAACTTCTGTGCCACTTCATGAGCCTTTTACAGTGCTGCTAAAGCAGTACATGGAAACAGAAGCAATTTTATGGCTATACCTCCAAGAGTGCCAGAAGAATTTTTTAAAGTGTCTCTAATGGGACACATGAATAAACAAGATCATACTTTCCCCTGCAGAAGTTAAAAACTGAACCAAACCAAAAAGACTAGGGTTGTTGAAAAAAAGTAGAACATGGAAGACCGATGTGGACTGATGTGAAGAATGAACCGTGTGAACAGGGAGCAACTGTGTCTCTGTCCTAAAGAACTGCTCCATTAGCACAGGTGTGTGGGGCTTAAGGTGCAGTTTACAGGTTGGCTGGCAGGTGGCCTCAAGGGCAGGGCAAGCACTTTAGGCATACCCCAGTTCCCCAAGTCCAGTCAGCAATGGACTGTGGCAACATGTGCTAGGCAAGACTGAAGCTCATGCCAGGAGTGCCCCAGCAGCACTCCATGCCCCATGCATCTTCTACAATGAGTAACACGCTGCCCGTTGTTCCTCAGCTCTAGCCTATTTACAGCCTGTTTAGTGCGCATTGCCTCTTGTAATACAACACAGGCACCTCTTTCTTATTCTGTGTTTGTGCAGACATGTTGCATAACTCCTCATATCACACAGTTTTTTTTCCCAGAATACAAGGTCTGATTTGGAGAATACTTTATTGAATTGCTAAGATACCATTTGATTAAAAGCTCTTTGGCTGTGATTTGCTCAAGTGTTGTCATCTTATTGCTTCTCCTGTGCTATCCATTGTTACTGCTCACTGAACCCTCCTTTACTGGACTTCTTGTTTTGAGTCTTACAGATGGTCCAAATCACTTCTCAGTTGCACTTTCAGATCAGCAATTTGATGGTTTGAATGTAGGTTCAGTTAGTATCCATGCCATCACATTCTTCTGATTTCTGCTCGACGCTTGTGCAAGGAGATGGGTTACTCTTGAGCCTGTTATCTCTGCGTTGGTAGAATAGTACGTAAGCTGCTTTTGTCTGCAACACAAGAAATGAGATATATCATAAGGAATAAAAGCCTTGGTAATAGGATTAGATTGTCTCTAGGTCAATCTATTTCCACTCCCAATTCTACGTGCTAGTTCTGAACTTTAAAGCCTGTAAAAGCTTGGAATCAGGGAACCTGAAAGGTTGCCTTCTCCTACATTTATCTGCAGAAGCCCTGAGAGGGGCTTCACAGGGCCTGCTTCAGGTATCCCCACCAAAATGAGGTGAGTATTACTTGACAGAGGCCCGTGATAATGGCACCCAAGCAGGTGAATGCCTCATTTTCTGGTCCTTTTTGGTGTCAGGTGAAAACACTTTTGTTCTCATAAGTCTTTTAAGTGTTTTACCATACCGTAAAACAGTTCTCTGCCCAACCATGTATGCCGCACTATATTTCTTGATTGTATATCATTATTTAATGTTTGTAAGCTGCCCAGGATAGCTCATACAAATGCTGTGAATCAGTAATTTTTGCAGGTACTCCAGTATCAATGCCCTGCTCTGTAATGACTTTGTAAACTTAGGGAGAGTGGGTCCTAACCCTGATGCCTTTATAGAATCATAGAACAGTAGAGTTGGAAGGGGCCCATAAGGCCATCAAGTCCAGCCTTGAGGCAGGACTCTGGTTAACGCATCCCGGACAGACAGCTCCAACTGCCTCCTGAATGCCTCAAGTGTGGGAGAGTCCACAGCTTCTTGAAACATATAACACCTGCCTCTCTGCAAAAGCCTAGCCAACATGAGTAAAAAGCAATTTAAAAAATAGCAAAAGACAGATACTCAACTTGCCACTGACAAGTCAACGGCAATATGGATTACACTCTTGGACAATAATCTACATCTGTTCAGTTCTGCAGCTTTTACATATTAACTTTGATTTTTAAAGACACCAATGGAAATAGATGTCAGCACACATTCCTGAAAGTGATGTATGCAAAAAGTGCCAGGAAATATGACCAAATTTAACCGAGTTATACCTAGCTCCATCTTTGATACAAATGTATGTGTGAATTTTCTTTAGAAAGCCAATTGCAAGTCCATTTTGCTCATTTAGCAGCTGCACTTGTTAAGTCAGAGGAAGCACCCTTCACTAAAAAAACCAAACCCGTGTCCTCAGGAGAAAGTGCCTAAGGCCATAAAAATGCAAAATCCCCAAAACTGTTTGTTCTCACTGGAATTTTCCCCCTAGGTGCTGCAATGAGCAGAAGAAATATGTCAGCTATAAGCAAGCACCGATAATATACTGAGACAATCGCCTATCATAGCACAGCCTTTCCTCAATGGATTTTTTTCTGTTTGTTGAAGGTTTTAGTTTATATCTTTAAAATGAGATGGAAATTGAACATTCCTTTCCTCAGGGCTTTGTATGGGGTCACAAAGTCATCCCACCCAGCTATTCCTATGGTGCTTCCAGGGTGACTTTCTAATCCCAGGTATTTTTCTTTTATTAAAAAAAAAAAAAAGTAGAAGGTGGGAAGTTAACATCTGGGGACCTTTCAGACTAGGCACTTCATGACAATGTTGTAAAATAACAAATTAGTAAGTCTATTCATATGTAAATCATAGCATAGAATGCATGCCTGGTGTACCAAAGTCACCCCATAATGCAGGATGAAGGCTATGGTAGTCCTCCCCAACCTGCTGCCCTCCAGATTGTTGAACTGCAAGTCTCATAATTCCTTAAGGTGTATTTGATTCAATTCACATACTTACCACTATCTGTTCTTCGGATGCTGGAGACACACTGCTATCATCAAAATAATACCATTTGCCATTGACTTTATTCTTAGCATACGCAGTATCTGTGAAGGGAATGGGCGGTGGGAGAGGGGAGGGAAAGAGAAAACAGGCTTACTCTAGAAGGATGCTGTGAGATACAGAAGTACTGATCGTCTTCAATTCTATTTAAGAAAAACCTAAAGGAACAGCTTCCTTTTTACTGCAATTAGTAATCTATCACTAAACTCAGGAAAGTTAGACCACTTTGCATTTTGGGGCCAATATCTTCCAGACCCATACAAACCATGAGGAGCACTAATCATGAAAAGCCATTCACAGTATGAGCTGAAAAACCAAGCTGCCTTGAGGCTTAATACAAGACTCCTACCCAAGCCAATATGTCTTTAATCTTAAAATAGTTCAACTGCAGTTCCCACAAAGTCTCTCTCTACATCATAATCTCAGAGTCTTATGGATAGTGTGGACAGGAGCAACTTCTCTGTTTGCACAACAATGGTGCTAGCCTTAATCCTGCAAAAGGAGTGAAAGTGCACTCCTTACAAATGTAACAGAGGCACAGCATGCTGCTCCTTGGGGTGGGATGAAGAGGAGAGTTTTGCTTCAATAGCCTCACAGTAGAGGAAAGGTTTGCTTAAGAAGGCAGGTACTCCAGTAATAGAAGAGAAAGTTGCCTAAATAGAGGGAGTGCTGCTGTGGGGGAAGGGAAAAGCTTTGCACTTTAAAAAGATCACCAGCAGCACAGCAGTTTAAACCACTGCACCACCTGCATCCCTAAAAGGATCACACAAGCATTCAAATGGTAAGCAGGCAGGCCACTCACACAAGTTAAAAGAAACTTTTAAAACCACAGCTTCAAAATACAGAAACACAGGGGAGGGAGACACATGCAATCATCAGGGATGTCACAGGCGTTGTTCAAAAGCCAAGGGTCACAGAATCATAGAACAGAAGAGTTGGAAGGGGCCAGAGGGCCACTGGGTCCAACCCCCTGCTCAGTGCAGGCCTCCAAGTTAAACCATCCCTCTCAGGTGGCTGTCTACTTGCATCTTGAATGCCTCCAGTGTGGGAGAGCCCACAGCCTCCCATGGTAATTGGTTTAACTGCCATACTGTTCTAGGTCAGGAAGTTCTTTCCGGTATCTAGCCAGACTCTGGCCTTCTATAACTTGAGTCCATTATTCCATATTCTGCATACTGGGATGATTGAGATTCTGGCCTTCTTCTGTGTGATAGCCTTTCAAGTACCTGTTGAGGCTAGCAGATCTTCCCTCAGTCATCTCCAGGCTAAACACACACAGTTCTTTCAGCCCTCACAGGGCTTTGTTTCCAGTCCCTGGATCATCCTTAGTGCCTTCCCCTGAACCCTTTTGACCTTGTCTTCATCTTTCTTAAACTGGTCAAAGTACTCCAGATGAGGCCTAACCAGTGCTGAGTAAAGGGGAAATAGTACTTCAAGTGATTTGGAAGCGATACTTCTATTATTACCTCCTAACATTGCATTTGTCTTTTTTGCAGCCACATCACATTGTTGACTTATATTCAGCTTGTGATCTACAACAATCCCAAGATCTTTCTCACATGCAGTACTGTTGGGCCAAATATTTGCCATCTTGTAATCATGCATTTGGTTTCTTTTTCCTAGGTTCAGAACTTGGCATCTGTCCCTATTGAATTTTTTTCTGTTGTTTTCCACCCAGCAATCCAGCCTATCACCTTGAATCTTGTTTCTCTCTTCCAGGGTATTAGCTACCCCACCCAGTTTTGTGTCATCTGAAAATCTGATAAGCCTTCCCTGCACTTCCTTATCCAAATCATTAATCAAAATGTTGAAGAGCACTGGGCCCAGGACTGAATCTTGAGGTAACCCACTCGTTACCTCTCCAATTTGAGAAGGTACCATTGATGAGCAAAATTCCCACCCATCTTGGACTCCTTTTCTCATTGGAGTCACTTGCTGTAGGACTTTGCTTATTATTGGTCTGAATTTATTAAAAATCCTAAAATCCAGGGTACATATTTGGCTACATGGCTTTTCCTTCCTTGAATCAAGAATTCAAGTGTGGCATAGACACTTTTCCCCAAAGTGCCTGTATTTTGGGTGTACCTTAGTCCTTTTATACTCGGGACTTGATTGGGCTTGAGAAAAGAAATGGGAAGCATTTCATAATTCTGCTGCAACTTAAGTCTTTACAAGCCTGCAATCGAATGGATGGATGGAGTGAGAGCAGCCTAGTATTCTGGATTACTGAATCCCAGTATTCTAGATTAGTGAATAGTTACACAGAGGAGGAAGAAACAAATTGCTTTGGTCTTCAGGAATACAATCTTGTTATACCCCAACTACTGGGACACTATAAATCCTGTCAGCAGTTGACCATAGCAATGTAGTAGGCTACAAAGCTAAAACTGGATCACCACTGCTCCTTCTTTGTGAACTCACAATTTTAATGCACAGAGTATTTGGAAAAGTGGCCACCATCCAAGACAGCATCTTACATGAAGGAAGAGGAGGAATTGCTTTCCACTGCCTACAGAGTCCACAATTCAGTTTTCCCATTAGAGCAGTCCTACAGGCTATGCCAGGCAAGCCTGACAAAGAACCAGAAGCATAAGTGCAATGTCACATTTTGAAATCCTGCCATAATAAAATAAACAAAACAAAACAAAATGTAGTTACTCACAATGTCCCACACCCATGCCTCCATAATGATTGGAAACTGCAATGAGGTCATATACATATGGGCTCGCTGCCGGGTCACAAACAAACTCAGACATGTTCAAATCCCTAGAAGAAAGAATCAGAAAGTGAAAGTAAAGCAGTCATAACAAGTGACCCTAAGTGGTTACCACACTGTGATTTTTTGCCTCAATGTGCCTGAGAAATGATCAGGATCGCCATGGTAACTGTCCTCCTGCCCACCATCTCCTTCCCTCTCAATCCTCCACGTGGTTTCCGAGGAAACACTGCAGGGAGGAATGAAGTGTTTCTCTTTGACAGCTGCAATCATGAGTGGACCTCACCGTGGCTGTCAAGCAGTCCCTGTTGTCTAAACAGGACTCCGGCCCTGAAGAGGATGAGGAAGCTCATCAGGGGCTGCTGAAGGAGGAGCCAAAAAAGCCTCATCTAAAGCGGGGGGGAGATCAGCTGGTCAGTGCTGCCTGGTTGGGGGCTGCACAACTGAGCAGTTTCCCCCTTGTCATCCCTTTCACATGTGAGCTGGAGGGGCAAGAATCAGCTGTTCTTGCTCCTACTTGCCAGAGAGCTGAACCCCAATAGAGAATTTAGGTGACCTAACAGTTGAATAATGCTAAAAAAAGAAAAGAAAAAAAGAACAACCTTGCTAGACTCTGTCAAGTCATTCAGACCTACCCCATGTGAAACAACAGTGCTAGTGGACTAACCAAGAAAAGCACTTCCATGAGCCCACAGAGAATGCACTCTGCTCCCAGCACTTCTGCTTTAGTTCCACTCCTCCCTGCTCCCAGCAAGGAGACAGCAAGACTGTTTCATTTCAACATAATGCCCTGAAATTGTTCCTGGGGATCCATTTGCACAGATACTGTCTTACTGAACAACCGAATACTGCAGAATATAATTTCTACAATACTGCAGAATGAAATTTGCACAATACAGCCAACCACTTCTACAATCGCAGTGGCCAGCTTTCCAATGTCTATAATTATAGGAATCCTCCACAAGCAGCAATAATCACATTGATGGAAAGACTGTTTCACCCATGAGGGCTGATGGGATAGCAGCTGCCAATAGGAGGAAAGATGGAAGATAATGGAAACCATTCAAATGTGGAAACCTTGCTTCTGTTTGATACCCTGCGGTTACGGTGAGGAACGGTTTAGTGTTAAGTGTGAATGCTGCCAAAGAGGTAGGATACCCTGCGGTTACGGTGAGGAACGGTTTAGTGTTAAGTGTGAATGCTGCCAAAGATTCAGATGCTGCAGTACATGAAGACAGCCAAAGCTGGTATTTGGCTGATAACACAGGACTCACACCAGAATTCTTCAGTTCACTTAGCTTTGTCTGTGCAACAGACTTCACATCTATCGCATTATGTCATGCTCACATGTTAATCTACCAGTGAAGTATGCCTTAGAATGGCAAACTGGCTGTTCACAATTTGAAGGCTAAAATCCAGCCTTGGGTTCAAGATTCCAGTTCCAACCTGAGCCTCCAGCCAATAAGCCCAAATCAATATAACTCGAAGTTTTACCTGATAGGAAACTCAACCACAGTGTCAAGCTTATCCCTCCAGTATCTGTTGTATGAGAAGCGTTTCAAATGCACTACTAAAATACGTGGCAGTGACCACAGGTCAAATTTCTTAGTAGCTTGCTGGTGTTTTTTGCAATTAGGACAGTACCTGAAAGAATACAAATGAAAATGTAACTATTCAAAAAGAAATATTACTGGGAAAAACCTTCCTTCCTTCCCTTCCCTTCCCTGAATATATGTATAATCTCTCTGTGAAGGACATAAAATACAAAGCTGTAATGTAAATAGGAAGTTTCTCTTTGGTGTGAATTAGAATGGAGAAATGCTTTGGTAGGGCAATCCAACTTGTATGGGCAACAGAATTAAACCCGGCAATGAAGAATGGCTTGATGTGGAACATAATCAATGATTCCTGGTCATGATGGTTAAATATTACCTCCAGGATCAGAGTCAGTATGCCTGCCACTACTTGCTGCTAGGGAATATGAGTAGGAGGATCCTATTACCCTTATATCTTGCTGGTGGGTTTCCCATAGGCAGCTGGCTGGCCACTGTGCTAACAGAATGCTGGGTTAAACTGGCATTTAGGCTGATCCAGCACAGTTCTTGTATTTCTGGTTTACTTCTAATCAGTAAGGCCTCTATATCCCTCAGCAGAAGTAAGTATGACCAAGAACACAGTTTCACAGGTAAACTGAAGAATATGCAAAGTTTTAGAAGGAGAACCCATCAGAGCTTTCAAAACCATGCAGGGATCCCAAGTGAATATCCCAAGGGCAGATAGAGGAGAGATAAAGAGATGCACTCCTAATAAACTGTTAACTAAACTAATCAAACTATTCTTGTCTTTTCCACTTCATCTTTACATCAGATTCATCCACCGAAAATATCAAGTGTAGACACACACTGGGTCTTGAGCCCTTGGCTAGATGATCTTGGGGAAACATGGTGTTCTCCAGATGTGGAAGACTGCATTGGCCATAATGGGTGTTGTAATTCAACACATCTGAGAAAGCCTGATCAGGGAAGGCTGGGTTTAAAGTATCCAGAACAGAGGGCAGAAGTGGATCAGAGCTATTTTTTTCTGCATTATACTTTCAATATCATTTTGGAGTTACAGGATCCACAGGAAGCCATAAGGTATTACATTATTTTGCTGCAACTTTCTCTAACAGTTGTAGCTATTCAATTTGCAGACACAAAAGGAAGACTAAGCGGGACTAGGTGATAGAATGGGCACAGTATGAAGCCTACTCATCCTCCTGCACCCTCACCAATGGTTTGCTGTGGGCTTCAACATTCACTTTGTCTATTCAGTCTAGCATGTGCTGAATATTAAATCTGTAGGCAAGATGCTGCAAGATGAATCAGTCCCAATTGATTCATTCTCTGAGAACCTAAGGAGGCCTCAGAAGTGACTATGTATATCCACCCTTCAAACTGCATTTCCTTCATGTCCTACAGTACAAAATGGAGAGATAATATTCAAACACTACTTGCTCAATTTAGTTCAGAGAGGTAATTACTACCAGAACGTAGCAAACCTACCATGGATCATGTTCGCCAAGCGTTTCCATAGTTGTGAAGAGTTCTATACAATCTCTAAGAGCTACAGTAGTTTTCTTCTTCTGTTGTTGACACATACTGCTGTCTTTTTCAAATGTCTATAGAAAACAAGTATTTTCCCCCAATGTAAAATGCATGTTAAATGCTAAAGATCAGTACATCACACAGAAGGACCATTTAATGCAATCAGTCTACACTTTTAACTGAAACTTGTCTTCTTGCTTTCCAGTTTGGCAGTAGCATCCTGCACTTTAGTCACAAAGTACTAAACCATTTTTTGTGGTAATCATATCCTTAAAAACATTTTTCCTTCAGTACAACATCAATGGTTAAATGTAAATATTAATGAAGTTAATGATTATTCAAAATAATCAGTTGCACTTGTAATAAAATATGATCCAAACAGATGATCAGTATAATGAAGGGCTAAAAGGTATAATATTAGAGGTCATGTAATGAAAGCATTCATATGAAGATTTGTTGAAGAAGCAAGGAAAAAAGTAAAATACTAGTAAAATGAAATATGAGAATACAGTGCTCCAGGTAAAATTTCCAGGATAAGTGAAATTTCTTTCTAGCTGTGTGTAAACATAGCAATTTAGCAAACTCTACAGAAATAAACTATTCCCCATACTCTGAAAAAATTGGGTTACCCTGAAAAAAGTTCTTTAAATAGGTGCAACTGGAAGATCAATGTTGGCCCATTACAGATGTAACCTTAAACCACAGCTGAATTTTATTTGAAGGAGAAGCCAGCCTTGAGCTTGTGCACATCCCTTTACCTTTTCCTCTTCGTGTTTGCAAATAGCAGATTGGATGCATCTGCATGTTGTTTTAAACTAGTAAGGATCTAATCATTAATAAGTATTAGCACTTCAAAAGCCCTGAGCAGGATACACTTTCTAGAACAAAAATAAGTATTTCCAGAATCAATGGAATCTATACATATGCAAGTTGGAATGAGAGTACCTATGGAATATTGAGGTATGTTTTGCTCAGGAATTGTCCAGTATTTTCAGAATGAACCATCTAATTATCTGGGAAACCCTCCACCCAACAAATATCTCCAAAACACCAAATGAAGCTACTGTCAGCTCTTATCTTCCTGATTAGGAGCAGGAATGCAAAAGAAAAGGGAGGTATGGGACAGATATAACCCAAATGTGAAACTGTCAGACCTTTGATTCATCCTAGTTCAATACTGTTTAGTCTGAATAGCTCTGCCACCTAAGAATTTTTAACTGGGAATGCCAGGGACTGACCAAGGGGCCTGTTTAATGCAAAGCACTGGTTCTGTACTGAACTATGGCATCCTCCCTCATGCACAACTGCTCTGCCTTGAATTCCCATAACTAAAGATTAAACCAATGTTTCCAATAAACATTTAGGCTAAGATCAAGTGCACTATCTGTTCCTATCAGTATAAACAGAGTAAAGGACAACTTCATAAATGGTCTTCCTATGTAGATACTACTTTCATGGAAGAATAAAATATGTATACTACATGCAATTATTGTATGACAAAAGTATTTTGGTATTTCTTCATGAGAACACAACACAAAAATTCTTCACAAGCTCTCGTGTGCATGCTACTTTCTATACAAGAGTGATCTCTGTAGGAAAATAATCATGTGAGAAGCAGTTTAAAGAGTAGTTGCATGAAGTACTTTAAGTAAGCATACTGATTCACTAAACTACCTTCTCCAAGTCCTATTCAGTTCACACCCTTAATGTTCTATGTCACTACTTACTTGCCCAGTGCCATTTAAAGATAAAGAGTCAGAAGAAATCATATTATTATGTTTGTCTCCCTAGTATAAGAAGGAACCAGACTAGTATATAATATTGCCCTTTAAAATGCGGACCAGAAAAAATTGATCACCTGAGCTTCAAGTTCATCAAAAAGCAGTTTCCGAGTGTCAGAGTCCCAATCAATAGCAAGAGTAGCATGGGCTAGAAAAGAAAAAGAAAAGAATGACAGCATGTAAATCTGCCACAGATCCTATGTGCCTGGAATGAGGAATAGAGGTGATACCTACAACTCAGCTTGAGGATTTTTCCCTCTGTAGTAAGGGAATTTATTTCTGATGTCCCATAGGAATTCACAAGACTGAAGCTGAAGAGTCGCTTTCTGTGGTGTAGGCCCTCTTTTCCCAGCTCATCCTGGATGCAGTCTTCTGACTGGCAGGCCTCTGTTTCTGACATCTTCTCCTTGCTTTCGTCTTCACCATTTTGATGCTCCATCTCTTCAACCTCACCTGGAACATATTTCAAATACTGTTTTCCATTTTGCACATAATTAGCCCTTTTTAGCATTTCCAACATCCTCTGCCTGAAAAAATCAATGTGCTTTGGGAGACATGTGATTGTATCAAAGGACCAGGGAGAAATCTGTGTCTGAGGCACAGACCACAGTGTTTTAAATTGCAACATTTCATATACATGGTATACTACATGAAGAACATTTGAAAACAACAAAAGTTGTATAAGTCTGATGGCACCTGATCTTTTAAATAGCATGACCATCTTCAAAATATCCCTTGAAGACTTTAAGCAGTTATATTATCCTGAATATCAGGATCATCACGTAAATGTGAAGTACCATGCTTGAATATACCAAGAGTTCTACCAAAGAACTAAACATGCTGAACCCAGTATCTGGTCTAAATAATATCCATCTTAGGAGACTTTACCTTCTGTTGCACTGCTGGAGCCATTGCAAGTTTCACTTTCTGGATATATGTCAGAATATTCTTCCTTTGAAGGAAGTTTTACATAGCGGCTGAAACAAATAAATTGTTTTTTAATTAAACACTGACAATGATTAAAAGCTGATTAAACTCTGATACTGGTGGTCAGTACAAAACAGCAAAGCATTTGTCCTATTTTAGCAGAGGGTGATAGTTTATGATGCTTTGTCATAAATCAACACTTGTAAATTTCAGAAAGAAGCTTTGTAATAAATCTAACTCCTGTATACATGAACTTAGCAGTGATCACAGAAGAGTGAAATTAATAAGTATTCAGTTCTAATCACCAGAAACTTAAATTACCTCACTGATCTGAGGCAAAGGGGAGTTACCCTTAGAAGCTGTCTGAACAGAGGAATGCTACTGCAGAGCAATGGAGAAAATGTACATGGCTGCACTTCCAAACGAATAAACTGCTGTGCCTTGGAGGAACTTGTACTCACCTAATCTGCTCCAATATAACACTGTACAAGTACTCTAGGGTAAGCTTGTGTTTGGGTATAGCTATGAGCAGTGGTTGACCGTAAAGAACAGTCCCTGGAGTAGCACTGGATTGTCTTGCTTTCTTTTCTCTGAAGTAAACTGAAAGAGTGATGTACTCAGCTCCATCCTCAGGTGGCTTACAAACTTCATATCTGCAGGAGAGAAAGAAACAGTAATTTAAGTATTTAAATTCTTTACAGGCCTGTCAAGAGGATCATGCTAATCGTACACATTCACACTTAGGAAACTTATATATTCTTCAAGGCTAGTGACCTCAAACATTTTGATATCACAGTTCTTACACTTGCAACTGGTACTGACCTCGTATCTGAGTAGATGGTTGCTTCCTCCTCTGCTGACCAAGCCAGATTCCATGATGCAATACTTTTAAATAAAAGTGCTGGGGAATATGCCTGCAGGTTTGCAATCTAAGATGATCTAGCTGTGGTTATACAACCAATCTTGTGGTGACTAGATTAAGTGTTTGGTGAAATAAGCATTTTGCAATACACTATGTATTCTTCTTTTATGAAAATGCATTTGTACTATTGGTCCTATGTAAATCCCAACCAATTCTATGAGAATGTAAAGGCTTTAAAAGTTTGAGAGAAAGATTAGTCTTTTAAAGAACAGAGGAAAGGTATGTTAAATTAAGACAGTAACTTGTGTTCTCACAGGGTTCACAAGCATCTTTTAGAGTCAGGAAAAACCTATAGCCAGACCTCAAGTTTCTGGGACCCGTATAAATCATTCTCCTTTATTTATTTAATGTGAATTTGATTCAAATTAACCATGTTCTTTGTGGATTAGGCTTAATAAGTTGCTTAGCACTAAAGCAATAATTTGTTCCTGCATGAACGTTTGAGGAGCCAAGAAGAGTAAGTTTAAGGTGCATTACAATCTTTGTGGGGGGTGGGATGGGGTGGAGGTTAGAAGAAGAAAAAGAGAAATCTGAAGATGAGTACAGGAGCCAAGGGGACAAAGAAAAGATCTGCAAGGCTCATTTAGGACAGAAAGAGAAGCAGCTGAATGCACAGCTTCCAAGAATAGGAAGCAGATAAGCATTTTTTCTCTATTTCTTCCCTCGAATTCCTCACCAACAATTGCAAATTACACAAAAGACCTCCCATCTATAATCACAACTCATACATAAGAAATTGCCATGTCCTACAGTGATCTTTATCCTTTGGATACTGTCCATGGGGTCACGACTTAGCAACCCAATGCACAACAGTGATCTTTCACAGCTTCTCTGAGTAGCAAAGCAGATGCACTGTATTTACCAAGACAGTTATACAAAAAACCTTTCATCCCTCAAAGTGAAAAAATATTTATCTGTGACTATGTGAACCGTATATATGAGTAAATACAGAGGAATTCTTTTTGCCATACCTCTGTATTTTGGGGTCTGGTCATTCAGCCAGATAAGACAGAATTTCAGTCTTATCAATATAAGGTAAAGGTTTCCCCTTGACGTTAAGTCCAGTCATGTCTGACTCTAGGGGGCGGTACGCTTCTCTGTTTCCTAGCTGAGGGAGCCAGCGTTTGTCTGCAGACAGTCTCCGTGGTCATGTGGCCAGCATGGGTAAACACCAAAGTGCTCGGAATGCTGTTACCTTCCCACCAAAGTGGTACCTATTTATCTACTTGCATTTGTATGCTTTCAAACTGCAAGGTTGGCAGGAGCTGGGACAGAGCAACGGGCACTCACCCCGTTGTGCAGATTCGAACCGGCGACCTTTCAATCAACCAGCACAGCAGTTTAAACCACTGCACCACCTGCATCTCTGCGTCTTAACAATACTGTATCATTAAACAATTACACATCTTAATACACTCACACTGCAACTTCCCACTAGTGTTAACCCAATCCTACCTAACAGCCTAAATAGAATGTTTTTCATAGGAAAAAGTAGTCAAATGGAGCACAATAAACAATAAACTAGACAAGAAGAGGAATTACAAATTCAAAATCATCAAAATCAGTCATGTAACTGATTTCCCTCTCCTGTTTAAACTCAAGTTTTAGTTTATGGAATACTCTGTCCAAAGATTGTATTCTTTGATATCACACCCTTAGGCTGTAAAAGCAGCTTCAAGAAATCACACAATTCTCAAAGTAAACCTTTTTGTCCAGACTACCAAGAATGAACTACTGATTGCTTACAAATGCATGTAATAAAAACCTGACAAAGTATCTGAGGAAAACTACCTTTTGGGAAAGGGCACTATATCATGGAAAAACAACAGGGAAGGAAGGCTGCTTAACCTGAAAAATATGCAACTCAAATTCTGCTGCAGCAGAGAAGCACTCCAATAGCGAAGCAGCGAGGGGGCATGCCTTTTACCTTACTGCTTTTCTAATGAAGCATCAACCCACCAAAACTGCTTTAAAAAAAAAAAAAAGAAAAGAAACACCCACTGTTGGCATTTACTACATCATATAAAATACAGTATAATTCCACTTTCCTCTAGGCAGACTTGGCAATGGACAACACCTGGGCAGTAGTAAGCCATGTATAAACAGATGTTGCATAATTTGGGTGACAATAATTATGAGCAAGGATGTTGCTCCTTCCTGTTTTATGGCAGCCTTCCTCAACTAGATGCCCTTCAGACATAACAAGATTGCAGCTCCCAGCATTCCAGACCACTGGCCATGATGGTTGGAGCTGATAGGAATTGAAGTCTAAATAAGGCATTAAGTTGGGAAAGGCTGCCCCATGGATAGCATAAGAAAAGTACAAAGATCTAAAGCTTTACCCAAACTGCAAATTGTAGATAATCTTTGGATCAAGCCCTGACACATTTTTCTGTTTTTCTTATTTCAGCAATATTAATTTAAATTAAAGTTGAGGCACGATAGATACGGTAGATTACATTTCCTACTACAGAAAAGACAGAGATTGCTTTACTCCACAACCTTCCCAGAGCTACCTCTCAAGTAAAGGGCAAAACTATTCTTCATTAAGATGTACAATGTACGGAAATATATTCTTAGGATCGTATTTTATCCTATTTATTGCTGTATTGCCTCAATAACTTACTGCAAGTTATTTTTAGAGGTGAAATAAGGAGCAGTGGGATCAATCTTATGTAACAGGAACTAGGTTCAAAATTTTCATAGTGATTTGTTCTATCAGTTCCAAGCACTTCTGGATAAAGCACAGTACAAAGTAAGAAACTGGGTAAAGTGGTTGACATGAGAATACATGGCATTGAAAGATGAAATTTTACTTATTTTTGTAAGCTAAAGGTGACCTGCAAACCATTTTGGCAAAGTTTCATCAATTTGATATATATGCTGAATGCTTCCATCATCCAGGCTAAGAGAACAGAGGCACTCAAGCATATTTACTGACTCTCTCGGGTCACATGTCCCAAGATCAGCTGGGGGAGTAGGGAGAAAAACCCCAACAAATCTTTGCACTGCAGTTTGTTAAGAGTCACTTACCTGACCCCGTGTAGGCTGGCTCCATGCTCCAGCAGGATCCTGGGTGATGTGACATCACCATCATGGTGCATGCTGGGGCGTTACATCGGAGCAGGAGCCTAATGGGGGCTGGACATCATGGGACCTAAAGGAAAAAAATAGTAAGTGTCTGGGCTGTGTGCTGAATGCCCCTTTTAGTTTAGCCTGGGGGAATTCAGCACAAGCAACCCATGCTGATGCCATTTTGTCAAACTGATTTGCAGATCACCTTTATTACAATCTGTCAACAGAACTTTCTGCAGAAAGAGCATCTTTCCTTAAACCTCTTGATTCTAGACGCCAGGTCTGCTACAACATGCTTATAAATGTCCAATAAATAAATGCTTAGAAATGTAAATCCGTCTTGCACTGAAGAGCCCCTCTTATGCATCTGGTCAGTTAACCATGCTCAGATTGCAATTATGTTACATAATAGACCTCACAATTTCAGTAGCATTTATGTTACAGAAAACCTATGTGTGGCATTTGCAATATAGTTTCATCAAAGAATCATAATTCAAAAGGGAAAAAATCTATGTATATCACAGAAGAAACCGACATCCTAAAATGAAGAGAAGTGGGTCAGTAACTGGATCCTTCAACATTATTTCTTGCCACTTAAAAGGAGCTACAGGAGGTGAAGGACGATCCAATTTTGGTCATTACAGTGACACAGGGGTAAACTAAGTTAACCTTTTTCACCCTTGTCATTTTCCAACTCCATATCATCAACAAAACAGTCACCTACATTTTAACACTCACATATGCATGGGTTGATAGAATGCACTGTTGTAAGATAACATTATGTACATCCCTTTCATCTATGAGTTTCTCTAGTTAATCTCTCCGTTAATTGGAATAGTAAGTAAACTAACACCTAAGAGACTTAAAAGCTATTTGGGTTCTGAAGCTGAATTAAGAACTGATAACAGGAAGTACTTCTTCATGCAGTTTATAAATAATTGAATTTGCTAACACAAGTTGTAGCAATGGCCAGAAATGCAGATAGCTCTAAAAGGAGATCAGACAATTTCAATAGTTATGAGTCATAATGGTTATGCTAACTCCAATACAGAAGCAGCATGCTTCTTAATATTAGCTGCTGGGAAACATGAACAGGAAGGAGGGTCTTATTGTTCTGAGCTCCTGCTTGTGGGCTTGCTATAGGCATCTGGTTGGCCACTGTGGGAATAGAATACAGCACCAGACAGGCTTCTGGCTGGGTCTATCATGGGCCATCCATTCTGTCATTTTATGACTTTAAAATAGAATGTCCAAAATGATTTTTGCTGTATCTGTGATACATCACTTGAAAAATCTCAACTACAGACACTAGCTTAAATGAGGCATGAGTCCAAATCATAGTTAAAGAAGCCATGGTTTATTGTATGGGCATGCAAATGCTGGCTCTCAAAATATTTTAAGTGGCATTTCCAAGCATCCATTATTATTGGCAATGTTGGCTAGGGCTGATGGGAGTTGTAAGCCAGCTTGTCCATACGAAAATACTAAAGCATGGTCTGGTGCAACCCTTCCACTACAAAGTGGAAGATGGCCTCTTTCTCTAGAAATGAGAGCAGAGGAAAACATTCATATTACTGTACCAAAAATCCTACTTAAGAAAATTATAAGAAATTATTCTACTTGTAAAGAGTACATAAACATAACTAGAGCTGGTCC